ACTCTCTGCAGAGTCTCTGGTGCAGCCTGTATCACTGGCCACACATAACATACGGGTGTGGACGGTTTTGCCATCGCAGAAAATTGCCCTGTACGAGTGAGATATTTTTTGTCATGAGTACATTTTACTAGTATCATTCTTCACCAATCGCTGAAGGGTCCATCATCAGGGCAAATGGACTGCTAACTGGTGTTGACTGCCTGCCTAGACATACATCATAAATATGCATGTACAGTCAGACTTCGCTTATCCGGTCCTCTTTTATCCGGACTCCTCGCCATCCGGAAGGAAATCGTTGGTTACCGATTACAGCAGATGCCATGCATACGTACAGTGTGCGTGTTCGATTTTCCGGTTCCCTCGTCTGTCCGGATATTTTGTGGAAAAAGGATGTGTGCGGTTAAACGAGGTCCGACTGTATCCAATGTGCTACGTGGTGGTTCTATAGACGGACTTAGGCTCCTTGCTACTAGTCTGAATGGTAAAACCGGTATGAACCAGATTGGCTCATGAAAGTGTGCCGTGCACAACCCACACATGTTAATGCAGGTATGCATGGGGAATAAGCTGGGAAGGAAATGTTAGTTTTTTGCTCGAGGATCCGGCATAGTGTGAAACTCGAGTTGCAAGAACCCCTCGTTATGCCTTCTTGTAAGGAAGCTCTGGCCATTATGCTTGTATTGACACTATTGAGCACTGTGAGGACAGTGGAACATTTCTACGGCGGAAGCCGCAAATGATGCAATATCATCAGACATGACATTCTACTAGTATAAGAGCTGTTTTTAGAATGCGGAACCATTTTTAATTTAAATATTATTTAAATTTAAATATTTCCGCATTCTAAAAAGTAAAAACAGCTTCATGTACTATGAACGTTCTGTGTGTTTGCAGGTTTTTGAACCAAGCCATGATCGACAATCCAGCGACGGTAGTTGTTCCAACTAACTTTGTTTTCTTCACGGTCAGCGCGATTATTGGTGGTAAGGCACGTTGTACTTGTACTGGGACCGGGAAACCGGGGCCAAGAATGCTTTGCTGTAAGACTAAATATGCCACTCGGTCTGCCAGCAAAGTGCAAGGTCAAAGCCGTAATACTTCCAGCAATGGCGGTTTGGTGCACTATTTAAAGCCAGTTACATGCAGTCATGTTGCCTGGATGGGTGGGAAGATGGGAAGACCCCCCCCCCCCCCCCCCCCCCGAAATAGCTAACACCACACCAACCTGGTCATATTTCAATCATCTGCCAGACTTCAGTATGCACATGCAAATGTAACATCAGCAAAATGGTGGACCCTGTGGGTATCAATACATCAATGAAATCTGCATGCACGCTGAATGGGACCTTCGTTAGCACATGCACTGTGCACTTGGTCCTGAATCGACAGCGGTGCAGCAAATCGCAAGAAAGGCACCATCCTTCCGGGTTAGTTGCTGCACTGCTGCCTTCCGTTTTGAATTTCAGTAAGAGACTGGTTGCGATCTTGCTACTTGTGCTGCCACTGTTATTTGTTACAATCACAGGTGTTGTCTTCTACCAGGAATTTCGAGGATTACACATGCTTGAGATCCTGATGTTCACTATAGGGCAAGTCTTGATAATTATGTGTTTGTCTGCTGTCTCTCTCAGTCTCTGTCTGTCTGTCTCTGTCTGTCTGTCTGTCTGTCTGTCTGTCTGTCTGTCTGTCTGTCTGTCTGTCTGTCTGTCTGCCTGTCTCTCTCTCTCTCTCTCTCTCTCTCTCTCTCTCTCTCTCTCTCTCTCTCTCTCTCTCTCTCTCTCGGATTTTTGTGGGTTAGTGAGGTGAAATTCTAACGAATTCCGTCTCAAAACCAGCAAATGACTGTACATGTACAAAATTATCGTTTTGTACATAACGACTTCAAATGTTGACGATTTATTTTTATTTCGTTAAATCGTTAGATTAAAATGTTCGTTAACATTACTGGTCTTACAGTACTCGTTAGTACGTTCCAGAAATTGACCGTGGTTGGCCCTCTGGGGTAGGGAAAAGACCCACTGCAAGTGCCATAGTTGACTAGGGTTTGTCCCAAAGGGAGGGCACTGAAAGACCCAAGTGCCATCAGTATGTGTGGCACGTGTTGTGGGCTCCCTGTGGAGGGAAACGGTCGTCACTGCTTTTTAGGTTTTGCCTGGTCCCATGGCTTAGATGGTCAGAGCATTGCTCATGACAAGCAAGGTCTCACGTTCATTGCTCATGACAAGCAAGGTCCCAGGTTCATTGCTCATGACAAGCAAGGTCCTACTGAAGCAGGTTCATTGCTCATGACAAGCAAGGTCCCAGGTTCATTGCTCATGACAAGCAAGGTCCCAGGTTCATTGCTCATGACAAGCAAGGTCCCAGGTTCATTGCTCATGACAAGCAAGGTCCCAGGTTCATTGCTCATGACAAGCAAGGTCCTGGGTTCATTGCTCTGGTAGGGTTGGTATTTTCCCGCTGCCGGTTCTGTGCTCACAATTGCGAACTAAAATCGGCGCAAACGTTTTACAGTACATGTACTTGAAAGCAATGAATCATTCAGTTGAGTCCAGGCCGTCACTGGGACTGTGTTGCATTGTGCTGTGTGCAAGCAGGTGCTGCCTATGCTTTGCTGGGGTGCGCTTCATCACACTGGCTCACAACGCTGCTCCATTGCAGAAGTCCCAAAGCCTATCGCCGTACATATCAGCACCACGTGAGTCTCCCCCTGCGCCCGGTCGTGATCTGCTCAAATCCTTTCCCGTGTGTTAGATTATTATTCTTTGTCCGAATGGGATCAAGTCAAGAAGTGTGCAATGCCCCCCCCCTTTCTTTCAAGTTTAATGCTGACCTTTGAAACGTGCTAGTAAATCATTGCCTGCTGTACGTATACTAGTATAATTATATGTGTCTAAGCTGAGGAGACCTAACAAGGTTGAAAGAGCTGGCTTTCCAGTCGGAGTGAGTAAGTATATACATGTACATGCAGTTGTCGGAGCTGTCTGATGATTGCAGTGTGCGTGAAGCCCAGAGTTACAGCAAGACAGTTTTACCGGCCCTTCTCTCACTCTCTCTCTCTCTCTCTCTCTCTCTCTCTCTCTCTCTCTTTTCCCGGCCCTTCTCTGTGTGTGCAATTGTATTATACGCATGCAGCTACTTTGTTTGGACTTGCTGCTGATGAGAATCGATTCATCCTCATCCATGGAGGCAGTAGCAGCCACGACAGCTCGCCAAGTCGCGGGGTGCCGCCGGACCACAAATAGGAGCTGAGCTCAGCAAGGCGAGAGGTAGGATCACGGATATGATCCCGGTGGAGGTGCAGTGATGCTGCGGGCACTTGAACCGCATCCAGAACTGCTGCAGAAAGTTATAGTACAATGTCGTCGGCGAAGGTGTGCGGATGTCACAGTGAAGCTGCATCTCTTTGCCAGACCTAGGGATATTGGAGCAGCACAGTGATGTTTTCTGTTCCAATCAGTACTGTACTCAAAATCAGGTTTGTCACGGACTACTGCTCACAAGCAGCCAAGCAGGTTGCATTCGAATGACATCACCCGGAGAAGCCCTTTGTGTTTGGCCACGTTGCTTTAATAGCAAGAAAGAAAATACGCTATCACTATTCCTATTCTAACTTTTGACTATTTGCTTTTGTGTACAATCCCATGCTATTATTTCCTCTTCCAGTTTTATGTGAAATGTCCGAAATCCACCCTTTAGCTTTGTCACATTCAACCTTGAGAAGAAGCGATTCAGATTCTATCCTCTTGCTCTGGGCATTGAACACCAACTACTAGTATACAGCAAGGCGGTTAGTTGAACAGACTTGAAGATTAAACTGTACCACGTTCTTTGAAGAAGTGCATGGTTGTATAAAAGTGGTCAGGAGGCCGTTCCTGTAGCTTCATGCATTGTAGAGCGACTCTGAGAAAGAGCAGGTCTAAAACCTACACCACTGCCTTTCAACTTGCGGTATCTGCCTGCAAAGATTGAAAGAAGCTGGTGGAGGCAACACCCCATTTTGGTCGGGCCCGGTCGTTTGAGCTACAGGACCGAATGGCCACAGGCACAGGGGCCGTTTTCTTAATTCGGTGTCTTCCGTGTTTGCATGTCAAATTATCGGTACGCCTTTCCCATCTGGGATGAGTTTCAACCAGCTAGTTGCATACCTTGCGCGATTCCTGGTTTCAACTGACCCGCCCAGCCTGCCGGAGCTGGAAGTTCATCTTCAGACACGCATCTGTCGTTCGTTTCTGGAACTATGTACAACAGCTACATGAATCTATTTAGGCATTGCTTGTGTGCGTCTGTGTAGATTTACACACCAAGTACATACTACAGTGAAGTGACCATTACCACCAGGGAGTTGACCGCTTCACAGAGTCACTCAGTTACACTGCAGTCATCATTGTAATTGTTGTACACGGTAGATCATGATGCTGTGATGCGTGTAGACTGTAGAGACTAGAGTAGAGGTGAGAGATTATACAGCACGGTGACTACAGACATGACATTGTTCTACTACTGGCAGTGGCAGAGTGGCACTTGGTCTGCAGCATCAGTGTCAGACTTATAGACTCAAACACTTAGTTATACGTATTTTACGACTCCCTGCTGTTATGGATGACACTTTGCAAAGTGTCATGCATAACAGCAAGCCTACATTATGTACTCTTGATAACAGTGACACCAGGGAGTCGTAAAATAGATATTTTACGACTCCCTCCCTGCAAAACACATACAGCAGGGCCTACAACAAGTAACATGCTGTCAAAATCGAAAAACATGTTAACTACCAAGCAAGGCTTCTGTATAACAAGTACTAGTAGTAGTACAACTAAGGGAGGGACAGGGCCACTACATGATTGTAGTACTCAGTAGTGACGTCTACAGCGTAGTGAGAGGGGAGTCGTAGTCAGAGATAGCTTTGCCTCGGCTTTGATCATGATTGTGGCTGAATGCATTCAGCCGGAGAGAAATGTGGAGGTGTGACTGAGGTGTGTCAGTACTCAAACCAGTAAGGAGAACTTCTGAGAAGTACAGTCATGTAATTAACCTACATGTCAAATGTAGATGTTTAGTCTGTGGCTCTGTCCATGTGTGGCAAATGTCAAAAGCTGACTTTAAACGCCAATGTGTCGTGTAGTTCGTTTGCTTGTCCTTGATAAACTTGCTAAAGTCACAGCTGCTTCCGATTCTCCATCACGGCATCAGTGTTTTGCAATGCCCTAGTCTGTCAGCGCCCGATCGTGGTATACCCCGACCGCTGTTGAATTACCACTGCATGTATACCACTATAACGACAGTCACATCCGGCGGTCGGCTCAGCTCAGTTGGGGCAACTTGATGACAAGACAGTTTATACTATAGTAATGTACTCACAATCAGCGAAGTAAATGGACCTGCTCCAGCTTCCTAGCCGTGACAACAATTATGATCTGTAATGGTCCTCCTCCATCTAAGTCCAAGAAAAGGAAGTGCAGTGCATGATGCTGGATACAATAGTACCTATATCAGTACACGTCATGTACTTCTAGAGATTGTACCGCCAGAACTAACTAACTACTTACCCTAACTAACTTGTTACTGTAACTTGGCCGAGCAAACTGAACAACTTTGCAACGCTACTTTACTCCCCAAAAGCGACCCTGGAGTGGAGCACTAGCACTGGAGGCTGTTGGCCGTGTTGGCACTGCACAGGCCGCGCTCATTCACTGATTCAGTGCTGTGCTGGAAGACGGAGCGCAGGCTTGACAGCTGGTCGTGGGCTACCACAATAAACAGATGCCGAGATCATGGTAGAACTGCAAAGAAGTGTACATCGACGATCACACCGTGGCACTCGGCAGCTTACAAGCCAGTTGAGTTGAAGCCACACACTCACACTGGAGTCAAAGCACACAGAGAAATGCTGGTAGATACTACAATAGTCAATACTACCATTACTGGTACTGCTGCCGTGCTGGTAAAAAGTCAAGACTGCGTGATGCAGTATGATGTACTTGACGTACTTGTACAGTAGTTCAACAGTACACACGAATATTTTGAAAAAGGGAATCGAAACACTTTGAAAAAGTCTCCTGTGCGCGATCGTGAATCTGACAGCTTGTGACCGGGGTCAGTTCCTGGATCACTGCGACAGTGAGCTAGGCTAGTACAGTTCAGGCTTCTTCTCAACTAAAAATTAATAGTGACTCTTGAAATCTGGTGCACATTTGCAGCTGTGGTTTTCTGTTGGTAGCGTTATGCCATAGTACTCAGTCACAGTGTACGAACCTCATCAGTTTCTGATGCCTGTGATGACTGATGGATTAGAAGGATCTCTGACTCAACGATAACACGTTCGCGTCTTCCAGCTGAGTTTACTACCTCACTACCTGGTCTGCTCGAGGAGCTCCGAAGTGTTTCTCTCTGAAGCTTCTCGGGATCTTCTATCACCACCTCTTTCAATCAGTGCAGTGACGCGTAGTTGTACGTAGCGGGGTACGGTGTGATTGTTGGCTGTAGATTTCAAAAATCGTGTCTATCCACGATCGTTCGACAGCTAGCTGTGGAGTCGTTTCGTTTCTTCTTACCTTCAGGCGTGTAATGCAATCGGTTTCTGGTTATAATGTGCTCGTCGATCTCCAGCAGCGCTGACCATTGTTGTGACGGATATCCTGATAACGTAGAAAGTGAGCTGTCACCATTGTCTTGAGTTCAGAAACCGTTGAGTTTTTCGGGCGTTTTGCAGGTTCACAGAACGTGACCGAAGCCTAGAAAGCCCTCTTTTCACGCCGGATCAGGCCGAGTGCATGCTGAGTAGTGGTGACGAAAACATTCTTGCACAACTGACAACTCGTTTTTTATGTCGTCATGGAAAGCGATTCACCTTTAGCTCAAAGGAGAAAGAGCAGCCATCCGACCACTCCAAGTGCAACTGCGAGAAGAAATTCGTCTGGTTCAGGAGGAGTTCGCCGGATTACACACGGCTCGTCTTGCCCTGAAGCTGTGTTTCCTTGGCAGAATTCACCGATTGCGTATGGAATTATGCAGGCCAATGGATCAAGCGACCCTCGGTCCGGCACCGGCACATACCCCTGTACATCAGAGGAAGCAGGCGCCGTCAAACTTGGCGTTTGTGCAATGAGCAGAAAGGTAAGATCACTCTACAAGTTTTGAACACGCAGTGCAGACTGGAAATGAAAAAAATTGGCGACTTATTCGTTTGCGTTCTGAAGATACTAGTATACGGTGCATGATTTTTAGAAGTGTGCTGCGAGTATTTTTTAAATTTAGCATTCGCTCCCGAACCTATCTTCAAAGTCGTAGCAGTTGTTTCTGGTAGACTCTGCAACTCACAGCTATGTGTATCACACATTCTCTGCTAAAAGTCTGACAACAAACAGGCAATATTGCCTTATAATGAAGATGACAATAATTATTATGTTCTGAGACGACTCGGATGGAGAGCCAAGGATGATTTTATAGTAGGGCTGAAACGGTTACACATTTGTGCTTAACGGTTAGCTGTTAGCATAACGGTCGGTTAACCGGTTATAACCTATAAGACTGCAACATGGGGTCTGCGGAGTAAAATAAACAACAACAACATGGAAACTTCATTGTTTTTGACGCCATTTTATGCCTTGTCTGAAGAATTTTTATGATTCTGTACAAAATACTCGAAAATAGGTAACATCCGCTGGGTGGCTAAAAATCGGAGTGCACAATTTTCACCTTACACCTGAGGTCATCACTTTGGTGTCCTTCACTTGATTTTCACAATCTTGGGCTCCTTGGAAAGCTCCTGGTGAGAGCAAAGCGATGATACTAGGTTCCATCAAGCAATCTCCACATATCAGGTGCAGGGACACAGCGAAGTCGTTTCCAAGCCCGATATGCAAGCAAATCCGTCCCATCAACGCCATTTCACTTTCTTCCATCGCAGAATGAACAAATATTTTGAGACGATTGAACTTCTGGCCGCTACGTCACTAGCTTGTGCTCAGTCGACTACTACATAGTAGTAGCTCCAAAGGCACGCCAAAAAGGATTTGTTTCACAAAAGGTGGTGATGCGTGTCGATCGAAAATTTGAATTTGCAGAGATAGGAATCCGGCATGCGATATCTCTGGAGTCAGACATCGCAGATCTTCGGCGATTGTTGCAATGGCGAGCTCGGAGTTTCCGCTACCACGTAGAGCCTTCGATTGTTGAATTTGAACAAGAAACGACGGAGTTATGAAGGTTCCTATTTTTCCAAAAATGTTGGAAAATACCGCTGCAAAACCGTCGATCAAACGGTTATCCGTTTGTTTGGACCTAACGGTTACATAGCCGGTTATTCGTAATAACCGTTTCAGCCCTATTTTATAGGAAAGAAAAAGGACCAAGGAACTACACATTACGCACTAACACCACCAGTTACTGGACAACCAGCTCATGCGATAACACTGCATGACACTGACCAACGGTACTGACATTCTACAACTAACTGCCAGTTGGCTCTAGTACGTCTTGGATTCGTGCTCCAGCAACCTTTCAACTCGGAAGGTTCTAAGTTATAGTACCAGGCGCGTGCCCCGTATGGGTTCCTGGGTGCCCGGAACCCCCCCCCCCCCATTTTTCGCTCAAAATGCAGGATTTTGGTTCATTTTTTGAAATTTTTCCCAGGGGCGGGAGGACGCCCCAGAACCCCCCCCCCCTGAAGGGCACCGGCGCACGCGCCTGACTGTACCAACATAGGACGTGCTAGAGCTGATTGGCAGGTAGTTGTAGAACAGCGATACCGTTGGTTAGTGTTGTGCAATGTTATCGCATGAGCTGATTGTCCAGTAACTGGTGGTGCTAGTGGACGGTATAGCGTAGCTTGTAGCCCCTTGGTCCTTTTTCTTTCCTATAAGGCCATCATTTTTTATATCTATGTTTCGCGTCAGTTCAACTTCCAGAATCATATGCGAGAGGTGGAAAAAAATAAAAAGTTGCAAAATAATAAAAAAAGGCTCATCACAGGTGTATAGAACTGTACACAGCACAATAGCTCGTGCATGGTGTACATCCGAAAGAAAAATCGAACATCGAAGCACAAAATCTGCATCACTTTGGACAGAGGAGGCAACCGTTGGTGCCCTTGCTTCTCTGGATTATTGTACTCAGCCTTCAGCAGCGGTGCAAAGAGCTCCGGAACGACGCATCCTCTCAGCTTGAGGCGATCGATGCGGTCTGTTGTAATATTAATGTTGTAAGCTCATAGAATACTGCTCGCAGATGCCGAACAAACGATTTACCAACGCTGGTGGCCGGCCTCGAGGCCATTTCTGAATCCCAGCTTCGCCGTATGCAACCAGTCTACACTGATGACTCGCACGATCGTACACTAAATGTGCATGGTTGATTTTTTTATTTTTTTCCGAAAAAAATCAAAACGTATGCGTGCGGACGACACGAAACATAGATATAAAAAATGATGGCCTAATAGCAACAATCATGTTCTACTGGTCGTTCATACACACGGCACAGAGCACCACGCATCTTTCGTTGTAACTAATAGTTTCATGCCCATACTAGGCAATCATCCGACAACTTTAAGACAACTTTAGTTGTCTGATGATTGCCTATGGGCATGAAACTATTAGTTGCAACGAATGATGCAGGGTGCTCTGTGCGGTGTGTAAGATAGCTCTATTCGAATGAATATTGAGAACTCTACCGAGCCGGAGGACTCTCATTTGTACTGGTCGTTCATATAGTATCGTACTGGCCTTTGAAGTTTTTCCCCGGCTATGTAATTCTAATTTTGCGAGACTTGAACTTTGCTTTATCTATGCAGTCTTCAGTCCCCGCTCAATTAAATTCTTAAAGAAATAGCTCAGTCAAGGTACACGAACATTGGGTGCACATGGACGGGGATCACAATAGCGTTAGCCGGGGAAAGTTTTTCAAATAACTTGTGTTTGGGTTACCGATGTCAGACAAGCAGTCGTCAGAAACCCTGTGTTCAGATAGCCAGTGTTGGGATGGCTAACTTTCTACTGCTAAGTGGTCGAGACAAGACGGGAGTGACACGAAAGACAATTGAAAAGAAACCACTGCTAAGTGGTCGAGACAAGACGGGAGTGACACGAAAGACAATTGAAAAGAAACTCGGAACATGCTGCCTTTACAACCGAGACAAGAAGTCAACTATAAAATATAGTGTATTATGTTCATGGAACTACTACGAGAAGGACGACGTATTCCTGATACTGGTATGGTGGCCAAGGCAGAAATGGCATTCGACTCCCCTTTCTCTGTCTGTCTCTCTCTCTCTCTCTCTCTCTCTCTCTCTCTCTCTCTCTCTCTCTCTCTCTCTCTCTCTCTCTCTCTCTCTCTCTCTTCTCTATTTCTCTCTGTGGTGTAATTGTGTCTGGTTGCATACGTGTAGGTGGCTTCGAAGCCGATGCAGACAATTCTTTCTCGTATCCAGTCGTACGGATTTATCGAGGTCAGTGCCTGCTGTAAACGTGTTTCGGCTACTATGGGTAATGGTGTTTGTATTTGGCAATTTGCTCCTCATATTGGTGCTTGTTTGTATGCCATGGCCGTGGCCATGTGTGTGTATGTTTGTGTGTGTGTGTGTGTGCGTGTGTGCGCGTGTGTGCGCGCGTGTGTGTTCATAGAGCAGCACTGTAGGTTTACAGAGAATGGATCTACAGAAAGTTGTCTCTAAAGAAGACATGTACTTCAAATAGAAGTTTGCCAGTACACACCACTAGCATGGTTCCTATAGGATTTTTCCACTTCTGGTAGTTTGACACTGGTTTGTGTTTCAAGTATGTACACTGGCCACAGTGGGCGATGTTGTTTATTATTACATGTCACACATCTTTCCTTTGTTGTCTGTTGCGCTGCTGCTGCTGCAGGTGATAATCTTTGACGACGACACCATTCTGAACAAGCCCATTGAGGAGTGGCCACACTGCAATGCCCTGATCTCGTTCTTCAGCACTGGGTTTCCGCTGAAGAAAGCCATCGAGTATGCCAAGCTTCGACAGCCATTCCTTGTCAACGATCTTGAACTTCAACCATTACTGCAGCACAGGTTAGGATGCCAACAGTATAAGATTTACAACAGCCACAACAACAACATCAACAACAACAACTCTTATTGGCCACAGGCCATCGTGAGAATACAGATTTGAAACAACAACAACAAAATCAGCAACTACAACTGCAACCGCAGCAGCTGCTACCAGAGGGGCAACAGACTGCTGCTCAGACTTTCAGATAAGGATGTGTGTTATCCTTCCTGTTATGCTTCACGTGCTGAGCAATCACCAGACTGTCATTCATGTTACGAGTGCTTGGATCTGTTTTATAGCTGATGTCGTTGTGCTGTGTTTCTTTATTTTCATGTTATTGTTTGTGAACACGTGTGTTTGCCTATGTTTCAGACCCAGTGTCTATGCGGAACTAGAGAAGCATGGTATTGAAACGCCGCGCTACAAAATCCTGGACCGATCAGAGGGCGATGGTAAGTCTTGCAGCAGGGACGGGTTCGGGGGTGGAGAAAATTGCACTCCTCTGGTATCACCCAAAAATGGGACTCAATGTCAGTCAGAATTATGCGTCTACGCTACATTGCACTTTCTACGGAGTCTCGACATTTGTGAACATTATGTATCCATTGATGATAAAATGAGCAACCCTCAGTATCCAACCCTGGATCCAACCCTCAGTATCCAACCCTGGATCAGTATCCAACCCTGGATCCAACCCTGGATCCAATCCTGTGCAGCTTGTACTTGCCACGTACAGGAACTATCCCCTCTGGCATTAGCATTAACACAAACAAGTACACACACGTGTGCTCGTGCTGCACACACACACACATACACACACACACACACACACAAGCATATGCCTGCTGCTTGCAAGATGCTTGTCCGCAGCTAAACCTGAAACGCTCAAGTGGTGTTTTTCCGTCTGTGTGGCCTTGGTCTACTTGTTTCCAGTTGATATTCTAGAAGATGCAGAGTCAGTCAGCATCGATGGCGAGACTTTCATCAAACCATTTGTGGAGAAGCCGGTCAATGCGGAGGACCACAACGTATACATTTACTACCCACCGTGCGCTGGTGGTGGCAGCCAGCGTCTTTTTAGGAAGGTGAGCATTTGCATTCGATTATCCATTTTTGACATATTTCCCCCAGTTATGCGCCTTTGGCCCATCTACATGCTGCACAGCCTTGTTTGGTGTCTGCAAGTCCACATGCATGGCCCCTGTACATGCTGTAATGAAGAAAACGACGATGTAGGATTGTGTTTCTTGTCTTTGGTGTGTGTGTGTGTTTAGATCCATGACCGTGCTAGTTTCTACTCATCAGAGACCAAAGTGCGAAGTTCAGGCTCTTTTATCTATGAAGAGTTCATGCCAACCGATGGAACAGATGTGAAAGTGAGTCTTTCCTTGCACACACACACACTCACTTTCTATTTCTCTCTCTCACTCTCTCTCTCTCTCTCTCTCTCTCTCTCTCTCTCTCTCTCTCTCTCTCTCTCTCTCTCTCTCTCTCTCTCTCTCTCTCATGTGCTTGCTTGGTTAGTTACTGACTTGCTCCATTCTCTGTCGGTTATTTTCTTCTGGACACAATTCAACACGTTTGCGATTTGTGGTGGGCTAACTTCGCAGTGTGTGTGTGTGTGTGTGTGTGTGTGTGTGTGTGTGTGTGTGTGTGTGTGTGTGTGTGTGTGTGTGTGTGTGTGTGTGTGTGTGTGCGTGGCTGTGTGTGTACATGCCGTGTGTGCAAATGCTGTGTGTGGTGTGGTGTGGTGTGGTGTGGTGTGTGTGTGTGTGTGTGTGTGTGTGTGTGTGTGTGTGTGTGTGTGTGTGTGTGTGTGTGTGTGTGTACTGCATGCAACTGCCGGTCTAGGTCTACACCGTTGGTCCTAATTATGCTCATGCTGAAGCCCGGAAAAGTCCAGTAAGTACAGCAAGATACTGATAATCTCTCCAGGTCTGGTCAGCTTGGGACCAACTGGTGGCCAGATTTCAGAATTCTCTGGATGGTAGAACACCCATACGTGATTATGCACCCTTTATAGAATACGCTTCCGGCCATTTTATTCATTTTATGCTGGTTGTAGCATTTTCCACTCAGCACCTGATTCCCCACAGTGGCTGGTAGATGGATGTGCCCAGGTCGATTCGAGGAAATTTGTTAGTATGATCATTCATGGCATGGCAGGTGTATTGTGTACATCTCTTGACAAGTTTAGACTGGGAGCCGTTGCTGACAGCAACTCTTGCTTCAAGGATTGCTCATCCTTTCTCCACTCCACTGCAGCTTGGTTATGCGTTGCCAAGCTAAAGTGGAAGTTTAAATTTGCGCAAATATGACTTCTTCTTCTTCGTGTGTTTCGCATGCAGGCATTGGATGGTAAAGTAGAGCGCGATGCCCAGGGCAAGGAGGTGCGATACCCTGTCATTCTCTCTGCGTACGAGAAGGAGATTGCACGCAAGGTGTGCGTGGCTTTCAAGGTGAGTCACATGGCTAGTGATAGAGACTGGGTGAACAGTGACAGGCATGAGTTAATCATTGTACATTTCAGCCATGGCGTGCTGTTATTTTTTTAAAGTACATTAAATTTTACTTTGCACTGCGAAAGTGATCGAGCTTGTGTCACCAGAGTACATGAATCCAAGAATTTTAACAGGCATGGCGCAGGCCCCGTTTCTGGTTTGTTTTGTGCTTTTTTATTGTCTGTCTCGTAACTAACCGCATGTGTTCCATGTTTGTGTTCTCTCTTTCTGCTTAACGTTTCTAGCAAGGCGTATGTGGCTTTGATCTGCTGCGGGCTCATGGCAAGTCGTACGTGTGTGACGTTAATGGCTTCAGTTTCGTCAAGACGTCGCAGAAGTACTACGCTGACAGTGCACAGATTCTCAGGTTAGTCTCCCGCGCTGCTTGTGTGTGTGTGTGTGTGTGTGTGTGTGTGTGTGTGTGTGTGTGTGTGTGTGTGTGTGTGTGTGTGTCCCATATGGTGCAGTGGTATGTGCAGCGATTTCCAATCGATAGGTTGCGGGTTCGATTCCCGACGATTATGGTCACACACGTCTTTCTTCTCTTTCTCAGACTCCTCCTGACTTTTCTTTCATTCTCCTGGGTGGTTACCAACAGCCAGTGCATGCCGGAGTATGTGGTGTGATGTGTGTGCGTGAAAAAATGAAAAAAATGAAAAAGACCAAAAAGTAGGGATTCTCTGGCCAGAAAAAGCCACTTCATAGCTGTGTGGTGTAGACCAGGCTGAATAGTGGCGGTCAATTCTTCAGCCTTGCAAGCTGTTGAATGATGCAATCCCAGCACAAGCTGCTATGGCTTCTGCTGTAGCATCGCTATCATCGCCTCCGGCGATGGGCGTCCAATGGTCCAATGGTGTGTGTGTGACTGTGTGACTGTGTCTGTACGTGTACGAGTTGTACGTGCATAGCTCTTCAGGCCATAAGTCAAGGAGCACATAGTGCACGTGCTGTTGTCTATCAACTGGTCCTGAACCTATCCCGTGAAACACTCAGTGCATGGACTAACGCGTTAGGCTGCATGAACATGCATCGGCCTGTGCTTGGACAGATCCATGTACACTCACACCTCGGTTATCCGGACCCCCAAGTTACGGGCACTTCAGTCTACCGGGCACCCTTTGGGCGAGTTTCAGTGGAAATATTACTACTCTTTTGTCACTTTTTGTGGAAATAGTGACGTCACGTGCCTTATCTATGGCCTTTCCCCATCAAACTGTATGTGATTCGGAGTTACGGACATTTCAAAGTTACGGGCAGTGCTCGGTCCCAGACCACCCGGATAAGCAAGGTATGAGTGTATGTATACCCTCTGCATCGGCTGTACTAGTACTCTGTCAGTGGATTTGGATTGCCAGCGAGGAAGAGCAAACATCTCTTTTCGTTTAGCTTGACTGTGCATTTGTGAAATCAAGTACCTGTAGGTATCGCTCCTTTTTCATCTTAGTCTATCTTATCTTTGTGTTCTGGTCTTATTCATTGCCACTTAACGTTTTTGTATGCCATTGTGTGTTTGCTGGTGCTGCAGTGAAATGATCATCATGCAGTGTGCGCCTCACTTGTTCAAGCAACGCACAGTGCCTGCTGTCCCTGTACCACTGCCGCAGCCCAGCGGCGAACCTCTGTGAGTAGCCACTGTCGTCAGCGGTGGCGGTGGCACTGCATGAGCTGTAACTACAGCATGCAGTGCAGCACCACATGCAGTGCTGTGTAGTACTGCACTGCATGAGCTGTAACTACAGCATTAGTACTGGGGCCAATTCAAAAAATCAACCTCTAAAATACATGCCTTGACACATGTTGGCTAACAAGGATTTTTCGGTGTTATTTGATAGATAATGTCTTCAAGAGCATCTTGGCCCAGTATGGTGTGTCCAATCGCGTCCAAAGGTCCCGAAATCACCCTCGATAGGAATACAAAATTGCCGAAAAAACTAAGTTCTCATCGGCTGTATTCAAGCATTTTCAAGACTTTCTCGGTACTATATTGACTGGACCTGGGAGTTTTTACCCATTTATGTGCCAGGAGCTATAGTAACACCGTACATACACAGGATGCGAACCGACGCGTACACTGATTTTGTGCGAGAGTTGGAAAGATTGAGCATCAAGTAGTGTAGTTGTGACATACCAGAAATGTGTTACCTACTCGTTTGGACACTTTCTTCAAAGTTTTGCATTGACTCGCTGGCGCTTTTGCTGTCGGAATGTCCACGAATTGATCGATGCTGAATTCAGCAGAACCTTCATTACAATGACTGTCATCTTGGCTCCCCGGAAAAGTAGGCATGATTCCAACAAGGAGCAGCACAACAATTATGTGTGGAAAGCAGGGGAAAGGTCATTATAGCTTGCCAAGCCAGTTGTAACTATTCATAGGACTAATCTACAACCGTGGAAAGTTTCAGACCTGGCTAACTTCATCTGGGTGGAATGAAGGCATTTACTTTGTGAGTACTGCTGCACAGGAGGTGTTACAGTGGACGAGCATTTGACTCGAATCTACAAGAGCGGCTAGTGTTAGTACCAAGATTTGAACACACCGACCGTGGTGATCAGCTACCATTTGCACAAAGCCGATTTACCAGCTCAACAGCTCCAGGACAACTGCCTTGGCTTAGGAGTGGCATGCTGCAGTGAGAGGGAGTAGCTATGTGGTGTGGATCCGGAGTGTTACAAAAACGAAATCCGAGGACCTGGAGGTAACCTATCACAATATGCAACACCAGCAGTAGAAGAATCATTTCCTTGTCACAGAATTTGATGGCTGGGCCTAGGCAGTGTGAAACTGCAGTTATACTTATAAAACACTAACTGCAAGAAAGAGTCCGATGTCCAATGTCATGGCTTGTCTCTCCTGAACTGGTCATGGCACGTAGTTGATGCGATTCACGAGCGGCGGTGAAGAGGGAAAACATGTTTATAATACCTCATGTATTAGTGGATAAAGAATTGTCCCTGACTGCAGAGCAAACATTGATGGTGTAGGTGGCGGAGTAGAGATGGGCTCAGCTGTACGGCGTAGAGTTTCCATAGCTCAGACGGAAGAACAACTTTAAAGTGAAACACATGGAAGCGAAAGTATTCGCATCACAATGTTGAGATCGATCAGCTTTTTAAACTGCAGCTATTCACATGTGAGTGTTGTCCAACTGCAGCCCTGAGGTATTTTCAAAGCATTTAAGTATAGTGACAAGCTAGCCAATGTTTGGACTGTATCTACTAGTATGCAAAGGATTTTGGTATTTTCATTTTCATCATTTTTTCTTTACAGCACTGCCATCGTATATAAGTAGTGTTGTCCTTCTTACATTGCTGCGAGATCTATCGTATTATCTACACGTACTTCGAGTAAATTAGTTCAGGTTGCAACTGTCCTATAGGCTATAGCACTTCGTTCCTTAGACTCCGAGAGTTTCCTGCCACCTTTTCCTTCTCCTGTCAGTACTTGGGTTACAATACCTATTCTCTCAGTTGAAGTTTAACGCCGAAATGTTTGACGCTTCTCACATGTTTGCAGTCTGATAATTATAGTAATGCATGCCTGTAAATAGTCTCATGTACTAGTACCTGCTAGCTGCATATACATGTACACGTACCTCAATGCTAACATTCGACGCGACATGTAATGTACATGATTGTACATGTCCAATAGCCTAGTTTCACTGCACTTTGGAAATTTGTTTTGACACTGTAAAAGTACAGTACTTGTGGCCGTACTGTATCTACTGCTTATTCTGAGCAAAATGAGGTGCTACTTGGCCATATACGTGCCAGTAAAAATGGATATAGGAGCATTTCTAGTTAGGTTACCATGGTAATAACGGCCTTTTCTATTTTGACGTTTTTCACCATGTTCGGACACAATTCGGCAATCGAAACCTATGCCATCGTGTTCAGGAGGCAAAAACCATCCAGGAATGATCATAAAATCCATGTTAGCAAACATGTGTCAAGTAAAAGTGAGAAATTTCAAATGGGCCCTAGGACTACATGCAGTGCTGTGTAGCACTGCACTTCTGCCATGTGTTCATGTATCGTCAATTGGCTGCTCTCTGTAGCATACATTGAAGAGGGCACTGCGTGAAAGATTGCATGGAGCTGATTGACTTGGAGTTTTGCCTTTTATTGAACTGAAGTTTGGTCTTGCTTTGGGTGTGTTTGCCTTTTAGGGAGGAGCTGCGTTGTGTGATCGGCATAATGCGTCACGGAGACCGGACGCCGAAGCAGAAAATGAAAATGGTTGTTCAGCATGAAAAGTAAGTGTTGTGCGTATGCGCACGCGCGCGTGTGTGGGGGGTGTGTATGTGTGTGTGCATGTGCATTGACTTCCTGGGTGTGTTGTGGCTGTGCATGTAAAGCACAGCAATGCTTCGTGTGATGTTTCGTATCCTGGTGCTCTGCACTTCATGTAGTGTGACCATGTGTTGCAACAGTTTGTATTGCATGTTATTTGTGTGTTGTCTGTGTTTTCATTTCATCTTTGTGAGATTGGCTGTCCTAATGTTGTGTGTGTATGCTGTGCCTGTTGATCAGGTTTTACTCCGTCTTCCAGAAGAACGGCGGGAATCGTAAATTATACGTGAAGCTAAAAAAGCCCGAGCAGCTGCAGGTTAGTGACAAACGCCTCTATCTTTAGGGCTTTATGGCTCTATCTTTAGGCACAACGCGCCGTCCCCACCAGCACCATTACCATGATTTTGCTTGACTTTCTACTGTGTCACTTGCTTGCAATGGAATCATCACGAGTGTTACTGTGAATCTCTATGAGCCGCCACTGCCTCAGCTTGCATTGTTTTGTATTGCACTGCGTTGACTGCTGCTTTTCCAGGAGGTACTGGACGTTGCCCGTTTCCTGCTGGATAGCTATGGTGCGGCCGGGGATGACTGTCAGGACATAGCTGAGAGGAAGTCGAAGCTGCAGCAGATGAAGTCCGTTCTTGAAATGTAAGTTTTGCCCTGTCGCAGGTGACATGGCACTCACGGTGAGGCTGCTTGTGCTGCCTGCTTTTAAAACTTTGAGCTTGGCACAGTGTCACAGTTATACATGATGAGTTGCACCGCACTTAAGACGGTGTGGTGCGATTGCGTGACGCAACGTTTACCCTGTGGGTTGGCTTGTAAGGCTGTAAGATCATGTGCTGTATGTGGGTGGATGCGCGTGTGTTATCTGGTCGAATTTCCAGACAGGGGGGGGGGGGTCTTGCTCTGACAGCTCAGTCATTGTGTAACTGTCTCTTCCGTTTTGCCCAGGCATGGCTATTTCTCGGGAATCAATCGTAAGGTTCAGTTCAAGTATCGACCACATCGTCGTAGCGTTAGTGGTGTGGTCGACCAGGACACAGGTCCTCATCCTGACTTTGGCACGCTGCTGCTCATACTGAAGTGGGGTGGTGAGCTCACGCCAGCTGGACGCATTCAGGCCGAGCAACTTGGCAAAGAGTTCCGCTGCATCTACCCTGGTGGCGAAGGTAAGCCCCTCTCCCATGCCTCCCCCCCCCCCCCCCCCCCCCACACACACACTCGCACACTCGCACGCACATACCTTGCCGTTGATGTACACTGTACTTCAGAGGAGTAGTGCCATTTGTCGTGCGTGTATTTCTCTACACGCATCCCCTTAGCCAGTAGTCCCTGTCCTGTTCTTCGTTTGCCCGCATGCGTTAGTTACATAGTTCAGGGTGATTGGTAGCTATGACTGAACCGTTCTCTTGCACATTGATGCTAGTCATGTCTGTATCTCTTAGTTCCTGTTTGTTGTTCTCTGTGGTGTGCACAGGGGAGTATGGTGCATTGCCCGGAAGTGGCTTGTTACGTCTGCACAGCACCTACCGCCATGACTTGAAAATCTATGCGTCGGACGAGGGCCGTGTGCAGACCACTGCTGCTGCATTTGCCAAGGTAAGCTGAAGGACTGATGGCATGCTTGCCTGGATATGAGTAATACATGGTTTTTTTTGCTGTTCAGTGTTCACCTTTGAACAAGTTGTGGAGTGGTTAGAGCAAGGTGACATATTTGACTATTAAGCCTGCTGTCACTTTAGCGGTGATATCAATGAGCCTTTCTTTGTTGTTGATAGTTGACTTAGTGGTACGCCTTTGATTCGTTTACTCACTTGCTCCTTTCCCTTCATTTTATTTGCCTTTGTTGAATATGACTCGTTGACACTGCCCTGGGCCAGATATATAGCTGCTGTAGCTGACATGGTTGTGTGTTGTGCATATTAATGTGCATGTCTGTATCTGCAGGGCTTTCTGGCTTTGGAAGGAGAGCTGACCCCCATCCTGGTACACCTAGTCAAGAGCTACAAGACCAACAATATGCTAGACAAGAGCGATGCAGCATCGGACCTGATGGCACAGTAAGGATTAATTTTCACACACCAGGGACAGAGACAGAGGGAGAGGGGGGTCTGTACTGTGTAGTGCAATGCTACGGCATCTCTTGCCTTGATCAAGCTGTACCTGGGGCGAAGGATACGAATGTGTACAGGTATTCAATGCATGGAGATTGATTGTAAAGCTGAAATGTGGATAGTGTCCATCGCCATCTCTTTGGTCAATCATTGTGACGTATCTGCTTGTCTTTTGTGTATCATGCTAATGCACAGAGTCAAAGCCCACCTGCACACCATTCTTCGGCAGGAAGCAGACTTCACTGATGAAGATGTGGTCAATGTATGTCTCCTGGTGGCACAACTCTTGTTTTCTCTCTCTCTCGCATACCACACACACACACACACACACACACACACACACACACACACACACACCTGACCTGACCTGACCTTTGACGCCCATCGCCGGAGGCGATGATAGCAATGCTACGGCAGAAGCCATAGCAACTTGTGCTGGGATTGCACCATTCAACAGCTTGCAAGGCTGAAGAATTGACCGTCACTATTCAGCCTGGTCTACACCATACAGCAATTTTGAAGTGACTTTTTCTGGCCAGTGAATCCCTATATTTTGGTCTTTTCATTTTTTTTCCCGCACACACACATCACACCACATACTCCGGCATGCACTGGCTGTTGGTAACCACCCAGGAGAATAAAAGAAAAGTCAGGAAGAGTCTGAGAAAGAGACACACACACACACACACACACACACACACACACACACACACACACACACACACACACACAGTTGCCTCTGCATCTCTCTGTTGGCATGTGTGTGCATGCTGCTTCCTTTTATGGCTACTAAATTATTGATATTTGGCTGCTGATGTGCTGTGTGTTTAGCTTGCACCAACGCTGGACTCAGCCCTTACACGGGCAATGGACGTCATCAACAATCCAACCAAGACATGCGAGCGTCTTCACCGCCTTGTCAACATCATGGTGGAGCAAATACAAGACCTTGACGAGGAAGATTGTAAGTCCCGACTTTTACATCTGCTTGCATTCTCCTCGTTGCCTCTATTGTACTGGGCCTTGTACATGCCATGGATGCTATGTGTGCTGTGGATTTTTGCATTAGAGTGTGATGGTGTTCAACTCGCTTTGCCACAAATGTTGTGCTGTGTATGTATTGTTTCATCTGAGATGACCATGATGACTGTGCTGTTGTGCTGTGTATGTATTGTTTCATCTGAGATGACCATGATGACTGTGCTGTTGTGCTGTGTATGTATTGTTTCAACTGAGATGACCATGATGACTGTGCTGTTGTGCTGTGTATGTATTGTTTCATCTGAGATGACCATGATGACTGTGCTGTTGTGCTGTGTATGTATTGTTTCATCTGAGATGACCATGATGACTGTGCTGTTGTGCTGTGTATGTATTGTTTCATCTGAGATGACCATGATGACTGTGCTGTTGTGCTGTGTATGTATTGTTTCATCTGAGATGACCATGATGACTGTGCTAGTTGTGCTGTGTATGTATTGTTTCATCTGAGATGACCATGATGACTGTGCTAGTTGTGCTGTGTATGTATTGTTTCATCTGAGATGACCATGATGACTGTGCTGTTGTGCTGTGTATGTATTGTTTCATCTGAGATGACCATGATGACTGTGCTGTTGTGCTGTGTATGTATTGTTTCATCTGAGATGACCATGATGACTGTGCTGTTGTGCTGTGTATGTATTGTTTCATCTGAGATGACCATGATGACTGTGCTGTTGTGCTGTGTATGTATTGTTTCATCTGAGATGACCATGATGACTGTGCTGTTGTGCTGTGTATGTATTGTTTCATCTGAGATGACCATGATGACTGTGCTGTTGTGCTGTGTATGTATTGTTTCATCTGAGATGACCATGATGACTGTGCTAGTTGTGCTGTGTATGTATTGTTTCATCTGAGATGACCATGATGACTGTGCTGTTGTGCTGTGTATGTATTGTTTCATCTGAGATGACCATGATGACTGTGCTGTTGTGCTGTGTATGTATTGTTTCATCTGAGATGACCATGATGACTGTGCTGTTGTGCTGTGTATGTATTGTTTCATCTGAGATGACCATGATGACTGTGCTAGTTGTGCTGTGTATGTATTGTTTCATCTGAGATGACCATGATGACTGTGCTAGTTGTGCTGTGTATGTATTGTTTCATCTGAGATGACCATGATGACTGTGCTGTTGTGCTGTGTATGTATTGTTTCATCTGAGATGACCATGATGACTGTGCTGTTGTGCTGTGTATGTATTGTTTCATCTGAGATGACCATGATGACTGTGCTAGTTGTGCTGTGTATGTATTGTTTCATCTGAGATGACCATGATGACTGTGCTGTTGTGCTGTGTATGTATTGTTTCATCTGAGATGACCATGATGACTGTGCTGTTGTGCTGTGTATGTATTGTTTCATCTGAGATGACCATGATGACTGTGCTAGTTGCACATGCTTGTCACTACTAGTTGAGTTGGTATGATTGTGCTGTGGATGCTGATGTTCCCTAATCCATTGTGTGTGTGCCTGTGTGTCTGTGTGTGTGTATGTGCACGCGTGTGTGTGTGTGAGTGCACGTGTGTGTGTGGGTGTGTGGGTGTTGTCACAGGGAAAGAACTCTACAATCACGAGAGCAGAGGCCTGATGCTGCGACGCTGGGAGAAGTTGCAGAAGGTGAGTGTTTCCTGCAGCTTGCTGACAGTCAAGGGCCGAGAAGAGTACACCACTCACTCCTCAGAGTGCGCGCATCTCAACATGAAACCCTCCGTCAAGACTCGCTTTCAGAATCACAGCATTTGTCTTGATGTGCATGTAATTGAGTTGATTGCACACATCCTTGTTCTTCTTATTGCATTGTAACCTTCCACCTTGCTTGGTAGTGGATGGTTGATGTTCTCTGTGCTTGTTATGGCCTTGCTTGTTTTATTGCTGCTGCAGGATTTCAAACCTAAGGGAAAGTTTGACTACAGCAAAATCCCAGATATCTTTGATTGCATCAAGTTTGACATTCTGCATAATCAGTAAGGCATGTTGGATGTTTTGAGTGTGTTTGGGGGGCTTTTGCACCTTCACTGACCCTTCATTAGAGGTGCATCTTGGGAAGTGTTCCAGCCGTCGTTTCTAGCCATATTCGCTTGTTGTTTTGTGGATATTTTTCCAATATTTTAATTTTAAATGTGAGTCTCACGCGACCATTATTTTTTTCCCTGCATACTAATAATGAATCCTGTTTTTTCACATTGCTTGTTTGTGTGCAGTCACCTTGGTCTAAGACACACGGAAGAGCTGTTTGAAGTGGCATCTTCACTAGCACATATTGTGATTCCTCAGGTAAGCCATGTGCACCTGCTGCTCCCTGGCACTGCTTTCCTGCAACATAGTGATTTGTGATTTGTGTGTGTGCCTGTGTTGGTGCAGCCATGTTTTAGCTACAGTGCTTTTCCAATGTGTCTAACGGAATACTATTACAATGCTGCTCGATGAAATCTGATAGCGTGAGTCTACGCTGTAGTTTGTGCCCTGGGCCAGTTCACATCCCGGTGTTCGCAGGTCTAGGGCCACACAGTGCCCTGCATGGCATTGTCTCGCTTGATCGGATTTCATTGAGCAGCACTGTATCTAATTATACAGGTAGTCTAAGGCATGTTAGGTTTCTTGCTTGTTAGTTTGTATTGGCCGCTGCAATGATTCCCTTGTTTGATTTTCCGCATGTTGTTTGTTGGCCTGCTGCTTCAGGAGTATGGAATCACGGCGAAGGAGAAAGCCGAGATTGCCCGCCTGATCTGTACGCCACTGGTGCGCAAGATTCGCGGCGATCTGAAGCATCAGAGCGAGGAGATGGTACACCAACTGAACCCAGAGTGAGTATCATCATTCCTGTCTCTCTGTAACATTCTTTGGTTTGCCCTGAAGTTGAAATGCATGCTGAAGACGGAGATCTCAACCAATCGTTTGCGAATGCTTTTTTGACCCACCTCTCAAGGCAGGAGCTTCTAGGAAGATGGCAACTACTTCCGTAGAGCAGTTTATGACAGATATTCTTAAGCCTTGTGTGTACGTATGGTGTGAGCAGGGGTTAGATCCGAGCTCGAAGTAGGTACCAGTAACCAAGCTAAAAGTTGTAGTCAAGTCTACATGCAGATTCTCTTCTTGCATCTGTTTGTTATGACTCCTGGAAACTTGAAATGTTGCTGATGACTGTGTAGCACGATCCTTTTCTCTTGTGCTGTCAGTACTAGTGGTCTGGTTGCTTGCATGTGCAGTAGTACACGTGTGATGAGTCATGAAAGTAGTCCTGTGGATGGAACATAGGTCTTGCTGGTGGTGGATTCATTTTTTGTTGTACATGTATGCCATACCACTTACTTTTCTGAAGTACATTGCACAGAGTTATATATTTGAGACTGACTGCCTTTCTGTATTATGTACATGGATTGTGTTTATGTACATGTGTGTGTGCGTGTGTGTGTGTGTCTGTGTCTGTGTGTCTGTGTCTGTGTGTACATGGATTTGTTTGTAGATACTCCTGGGATATCACATCACCGCGTCGCAATGTACGCACACGGCTCTACTTCACCAGTGAATCTCACATACACTCTGTGCTCAACTTGCTTAGCCATAGTGAGCTGTTCTCGGTGAGTATATCTCTGACCATGCTAGAACTGCGGTGTATCCTTGCTTTCTTTGACGATGGATTCCTATATCTAATCAGTGCAGTTGCACTAACCACTGACAATAGTGGCTCATAACAGTTGCGTTCATGTTCTTGCTTACCGTATAGGCGCGAATAGAAGCCCCGGGGCTCTATTTTTCCAGAAGACACCCAGAGGGGGGCTTTAATTTTTTCAATAGAAACATCAATTTTTCACACCTTTCAAGATGATCGTTTCAGGCGCAGTGTGTTCCCATTTTTGCATGTCTCTACGTTGACCCCAGAGGGCCAGAGCGATCCCGTACCTCCAATATGGATCTAGTGATCCGCAAAGCACACTGTTGATTGTGCATACCGTACGTACATGGTTCATGTACTGCACTACAACGTACGGACTGTGGGCTCTCGATTAGAGCCCCGGGTTTTTATTCGAGATGGGGCTGTATTACTTCGAATGCCTCTGCGGGATGGGCTCTATTCGAGAGGGGGCTTGTATTCGAAGGGGGGCTTGTATTCGCGCGCGTACGGTAACTGGCAAACACATTCTTCGCAATCCCCTTACCTGTTCCCTTGGCTTGTTGATGTTGTATGTACGTGTGTTGGTGCACGTCTACAGAAAGATCTAGATGATGATTGGAAGCGTGGCATGCAGTACATCAGCACCGTAGCTGAGTACAGCTACATGACACAGATTGTCTTCCTGCTCTATGAGGCCACCACCAAGGAGCTGGAAGACGAGGACCGCTTCCGGCTGGAGGTGCTCATGAGTCCCGGCGCGTCCGTGCAGCTTGTTGACGAGGTCAGTCCCCTACTCCCTTTCTCATTCTCCCTCTCTCTCTTTCTTTCTCTCTCTTTCTCTGTCTCTCTCTCTCTCTCTTTCACTTCTCCTCCTCCTCTTGGGTGTTCAGATTTTTTGGATCTTAGATAATAAGCAGCAACTCATATTAAACTTCTTTTACCTTGAACCTGGTAACTTTAGATGACTGTTGATACTGTGAGGGATATTGTGTATGATACTTCTGAAAGTGTTCGTTTATAGCTACTGTGTGTGTGTGTGTGTGTGTGTGTGTGTGTGTCCTTGGGTGTGTGTCCTTGGGTGTGTGTGCATGTCTACATAGGTGCCAACTCCACCAATGGCGATGGAGCCAACGATCGTAGACAATGACAACCTGACCGTGGTGGATAGCCCCACGGCAGCAGTTGCTGTGGCGGGCCTCGCAAACGGCGCTAGCAGCGGTAATGCCGCTAGCGGTAGTGTTGGTGCAAACGGTACTAGCATCAAGTACGCTGCCGCCAAAGCTGGCATTGCAACTGAAGACGACACGGACACTCACTTCAGTCCTCCGCACAGCTACTCGTCATGGCGACCACCGACGTCCAGTGCGCCGTCAACGGTGCGCACCATCTGGCACGCTAGTGACGGTTCCCGCTGTACGCGCACCAACTCTTCTAGTCAGCCGGACATGACTGACATGGCACGATCACTGAGCAGCAGTGACGCTATTCGCAGCAGGATCAGCAGCTGCAGTTTGCCGGACACCAAGCGCCTCCTGCTCCCCAGTGGGGGCACCGACACCAATAGTGTGCTGGGATCCATGTCCTCGTCTGCCATTGGCGAAGTGGACCTTGAGTTTTCTGGCCAGCAGCCCACTCTGCAGCAGCAGAGCATGCCAAGTACCCCCGGTGCAGGCAGCAGTACATGTACTGGCAGCGACGGCGTGAACAGTGCTGTAGAATTACCCCGTGCCGACAGCAAGACCAGCATGCCACCGTTGTCGCCGTCGGCTGACGGTAAGTATGCTCCGCCTAGGACTGCACATGGTATTAATGTGCCACTAATGTCGACTGCTAGATCTGCTGCCGCATTTGCCTCTTCTTCTGCTTCGCCAAGGAGGGCAATAGGTGAGATTTCTGCTTCGTTCTCTGTGTGTGCTATTGCTGCTGCTGCTCTCACTGCCGCTTTCATTCCCTCCACTGATCTCCGCTCTTTTCAAGTACTTCGAAGTACAATATACTATTCTCACGTAGGATGTTCTATCATCAGACCAAGTTACCTTGGTATCTTTAGTCAAACCAACACCACCAACAACTACTACTACAACTGCAACAACAGCAATGGCAACCTCATGATGAGGGGGAAAAACCATTTGAAACAAGTTCATTTGCTATCAAAGCCCTCCCCAGCCATCCCATATCTCCTTGCTGTGGATGTCAGTGAAATGATGGACTGACTGTAATGTGTGCTTGACGAAAGAAATCCAGGAGAGCAATGCCAGCGTGTCGCACACACATGATTGGTACACTGCCGTTTGTCATACTATCTGTATAATTATTATTACCGTATACCTCGTGAACTGTCTACGCAACGGATTGAAAATACTTGTCCATGTTCTGATGTTGTGCTGATACCTTGTTTTTATCTTTCTCCTCTCCACTGCCAATCTTCTTCTTCTTGTACAGGTCAAGGCTTGGCTGATCCAACATTCCAGGCCAAGATGGAGCCACTCAAGGCGCTGGTCAACGACATTTCCCTGCACGACTTTGATGCTTTTCTAGAGCGAGTAAGTGCTTCCGAAGGGCGGCTCCTTCAGAGAGAATACATTGCATGAGTTGTGATCCTTACCATACGTCTCCCTGCCTCCTGTGTGTGTGTGTGGGGGGGGGGGGGGGGGTTCCTTGTAGATGGTTGTAGTGTCCAGTGTTGTCAGCTGATAGTGGGGAGGTTTAGTCGCACGAACCCGATACTTGAACAAGGGTGTCTCGCGTGAAGTTTATGTAGTGGGCTTTCTATGCTTGTTTTGTGTAAGTAGGACAACATTTTTTTCTCTGCAGCATTGCTCACTTTACTTCTCCCTGTGTGCATTGCTGCTGCTGCTGCTGCTGCTGCTGCATGGTATGTCTGCTGTGTCGTGCTACTTTGCCTTGCCCTCACCAGGTATTGGAAGCACCAGCGTTTGTGGTGTCATCGTGTGACGGTTAGAGTTACGGCTGTCTTGCAATGATGTCATCAAGGCTGCGCTTCCCCGCCAGGTGGTGATGGTACAAGTCCATGCTAAGCTTCCTTGAAATTACCTACCATGTTAGTACTTCTAAAGGGCTATGTCACTATATACCTAATCCACCTATCTAACTGTTACCTCATTTTAACATTCTTACGGAATTGCAGCTTGAGCACTTTGCAACTCACCTGCATTGTCTTCATCCCTGGCATAGTTTCTTGACCATGATATTTACTATTATTTAACTACCGAGATCGACGCTATTCATCTGAAATACTTTTTTACAGGCAACGGTTCCCTTTTTGAAATCCTTTTGACGACATGCTTGACGCGCGTGCAGCGTGTCCTATCCCTACTACCCTGTCTCCAAGATGAGCTCTTGAGCTTGACCTGTGTTTAGCTGGTGCAAGCTGTTTGTGTTACACGGCAACATTGAGACTTAGTGTCATCTGAGCAGCCATATGTATAGTGTATAGTTATATGTAGTATCAGTAGCAGCAACGGCAGCAGTACCAGTAGTAGGCATCCGTGCACGCATGCGATGATTAGCTTGTTAGACCCCCCTCCTGTATCATAGTGATTGCACATGTAACACCCCTGTGTGTTCTTGTGCAACTTTTAGTAGCATGGTCTACTACCTGTCTGCTGCTGCTGCTCCGTGTCTAGATTGCCCTAGACCCTATGTTGTTACATGTACATGTAAGTTATGTCAAGTATTCTACACCTACTCGTTATTTATTCTTTACTCATTACGTGCTCATGCTTTTTAGCACTCTAGTCGTACCTGTACTTGCTGGAGTCTCAAGTATGTTTTTAGGAGTTGCTGCACACACTACCATTATGTTTTTATCATTCCCTGGTGCTTTTTAGTTGTGACATGTATGTTGAAATATTTTTAGTATCCTTTCAGAATGAGATCATTCCAGAGCTCTCGTTGCATTGTTCTCCCCGCATAGCGTAATGCGGGGCAAGTGTGATCTGCGTAACGGTCGTGGGTGTCTGGCTGGCTGTATCATAATACATGATGTGTGTGTGTGTGTGTGTGTGTGTGTGTGTGTGTGTGTGTGTGTGTGTGTGTGTGTGTGTGTGTGCCACTTCATAGCTGTGTGATGTAGACCAGGCTGAATAGTGGCAGTCAATTCTTCAGCCTTGCAAGCTGTTGAATGGTGCAATCCCAGCACAAGCTGCTATGGCTTTTGCTGTAGCATCGCTATCATTGCCTCCAGCGATGGGCGTCCAATGGTGTGTGTGTGTGTGTGAATCAGCTGTGTGGCGGATACCAGGCTAAAATTGGTGGCGGTCAATTCATCAGCCTTGCAAGCTGTTGACTGGTGTAATCCCAGCACAAGTTGCTATGTCTAACATAGCTGTTCGCTATCATCGCTTCCGCGATGGGCATGTCTGAGTGTGTGTGTGTGTGTGTGTGTGTGTGTGTGTGTGTGTGTGTGTGTGTGTGTGTGTGTGTGTGTGTGTGTGCGTACTTCAAATAGCTGTATGGTGTAGACCAGGCTGAATAGTGACGGTCAATTCTTCAGCCTTGCAAGCTGTTGAATGGTGCAATCCCAGCACAAGTTACTATGGCTTCTGCCGTAGCATTGCTATCATTGCCTCCGGCGATGGGCGTCAAAAGGTCAAAGGTGTGTGTGTGTGCGCGCGTGCGTGAGTGTGTGTGTGTGTGTTCACATGCATGTGAGACATTCACAAGACACACCTCACAGAGTAGAGTGTGACTAGGAACGAGAGTACATGAAAACATGACATTGTACTCTTGCTAGGAAGGAACACAGTCATTCAGCGTTGTCCACATCCTGTCACGCTGGTGGTGAGCGTTTTCTGCAGAAATGAACAGCTGAAATCTGTGTCATGTACTATACTGTGAAAATGAGAAAAAGGGCTGCAGCGTTCGTAGCGTTAATGATAAAAATCAAGAGTAGGGAAGCTTATTTAAAACTATGTAAATGACCACAAAGACAATACAAGATCATATCAGGAGAGTTGCAAATGCATGTCCAAGTCACATAATTATACTGTAATAATAATACTACAGGACATAATCATTGTACACGATCGTACGAATGCGTAACCAGGGTTACACTGAGGTATGGTCTGTCATGTCCTGGGCCATGGCATGGGCGAGGAGGGTCCCTTTACTCTTGTTTGGACCCTGGCCTTGGCTTTAGTTAGTAGTACTACCGTACTGGCAATATAATGTTGCCGCAGTGAGGCCATGAAGCGTTACATTAGGCTGTGTTTACATGAGAAATTTCAACCCGGGTCGAGTTCAGCCCGGGTTGAAAGTCTGTACGATAGACAAAAGAGGTGAGCGTTTACATGAAGACAGTTGACCCGGGTCAAATACTGATATGCCGCCAAAAGTTCACTTCTACAGTTCCGTATAGTCACGTGAATCCTTTCGCGCGAAATTTGCATCTGCAGCGCTGTTCAAACCTGGCGCGAGATACGCACAGAAGTACGTTTGTACGATTTTCTTGACCCGGGTTGATTTCAACCCTCCCCTTGGGGGGAGGGTTGAAATCAACCCGGGGCGAGATTTCAACCCGGGTCAAGCGCAATGCGTCATGTAAACGCGCCATTCACTTTGTGCACATGGCGGGTTGAAATCTGACCCGGGTCGAACTCAACCCGGGTTGAAACGCTTCATGTAAACACAGCCTTAGAGAGGTTCCGGGGTACGATTTTCCGTGCCAAAATCCGTATGGGCGCTACGGATTTTTTCCAGGCATGCTCCATACGATTTTTCGGCACGGAGAATCCGTGTGGACTGGCTTTCACACGAACCATGTTTCGTATGGAGATTTTGCGTCATCGGGTGCAGAAAGATTTTTCGCGTACAAATTTGGTACGAGAAACATCGATTTTCCGCGGGACGTTTTGATTTCGGTACAAATTTTCAAAGTAAAAAGGCATAGCGCGGGAATGTGACGTGTTCGCGATCGTAACCTAGGCAATGACGGCAAACACATAAGTTCCGTACTCCGGAACATTTCACTGCTCGAAAACGACGTATAAAAAATCCGTAGCGCCTCTACGGATTTTGGCACGAAAAGTCGTACTATACTCCGGAACCTCCCTGGCACATGTTTGCCGCACGCAGGGCGTTACATGCAAAGTCGCACAGGAGCCGTTACACAGGTTTCTATATTGCCGCAGTCCTTTTTTTGCTATTGCCGCATCACTTTTTTGCTATTGCCGCATCATTTTTTTGCTTTTGCTGCATCATTTTTTCTTTTCATCCACATTGAAGGCACAGAAATTCAGTTGCTATCCAACTGTTACAAACCCGACGGCAAAGGGCGACAACGATATCAATAGAAGACTGTATATTTTAACTATCAGAGTGATCTGTTCACAAAAAGATCATCAAAAGGAAAGTGACATAGGGGAAGAGCGCTTCTTCGCAAAACGACCTCGGGAAAGAAGAAACCATTGAGATCGCCAACCACTGAATGATGCGCCTTCGAGTGTCAGGACTTCCTGCTGCGTCCAGTTTTGAACTTTTCACCACGCGGTACACGTGCTTTCACAGTTTTCAGCCTTTTTTTGCAGTGCAAACTGCAATGAAAAGATCGCCGCACCCCGCCGGACGCGCGTTACGAACTCAACGAAAATTTGTCGCACTAGCCTGGTCGCGCGTTACGCCGCACCCCCCTGCGTTACGCGTTACGCGGCAACATATATTGCCAGTACGGTAGTAGCAAGAGTCCATAACCCCCCGGGGCCGGGGGGTTTTGTAGTAGGCTTTACCATCACACGGTTTACCAGTTACCAGTGGTTACTGTTTACTCGCACACCAGCAGTGCATGCAGTCTACATAGCGAAAGGTATGCATGCTGGCTTCTACTTCAACGACGTAACCTGGTCGTTACGTGAATGGTCTCCAGCTCGAGCTCGCGCTCCCGAGCTAGCCTGTAATGCTGCATGCATGCAGCATGCAGGGTATGCTACGAGCAGATTCGTATTATTTTTTTGAATGAACGAGAAAGTTTTGTGTGTTCGGTCGTTTTCCTGTTTTGTTGGTCGAGCTGCCGGGCCTTTGAAGATTTCTCTTGATTCGCTAAGATGTGCATGAGCTAAGGACGAAGCACTCCGAGCAGGGTTGGTGATCGAAGGTCCATGTCTGCATGATCAGAAACACACCTGCTTGAGCCGGGTGCGCTGGAGTTGTGCGGCCAGGTTGTGCGGCCGAACAAGTGTGAAGAAGGAGGCAGACCATCATTTACCGCCGTTGCTGTGACTTGATCAGCGGATTGTCCGGCGATCGACTGTACGCGAGTTATGTCTGATTCGGACGATGCCAGTGCCCCGAAGCCGGGTAGCAGGGATGCATGCTTGAAAGTGGTGCTCGTCGGAGATGGAACGGCGGGAAAGGTACAGCCATGCAGACCATGGTCTATGTCACAGTATGTGCAAGCCTTGCTGTATTTCTGTAGACTTCTCTCTGGCCATGGCACACATGCACAGGACCGGCGGCGGAAGCGCTTTTTGACAGGTCCGGTCATACCATAGGCGTTCATACCTTGTCGGCTTGTGTATGATAGCGAGTACACATGACCTCCTGCGCAGTTAACACGCATTGGTAGCCAAACAGTTGGTCCGGCCATGGTCCGACCAACCAGACCTGTTCCGCCACACATGATGCATGATGAAGGTACAGTGCTGCTAGATAAAATCCGATCGCCGCATGGATCAAGCTAGCCAGTCCTGCGCCAGTTCACACATCCCAGTGTTGACAGGCCTGGGGCGGCACAGCGTCCGGCGTGTGCATTCACTCGCTCGTTTTGATCGGATTTCATTGAGCAGCAGTGTACTGTAGACGGGATCTACACAGCTCACCAGTGCAGCATGCCGGGATCACGCAGAGCACACAATGTGCAGACTGTGTGCAGCAATGGCAGTTGTACTGACGTCACAGTATGAGTACAAGTACATATAGATAATAAGACCCATAGCACAGCAAGGAAACCTGAACTGAAGGCCTGACCTGCTACAGCAGGCCGCTAGCCATGAAAGACTCTTGAAGGCAGCGAGAAAGAGGTTTTATGCTTTGATAAGTTACTGGTGAACAGAAGCCCAAACACCAACCAGCTCATGTGACAAGACAGAGCACATTGTGACTTCGAGGGATCATGTTCGCGGCTGATTCCTCTAGATGCACACACGTGCGTGCATGCACGCACACGTGCACACACACACGCGCGCGCGCACACACACACACACATATACTGAGCCACATCCATGCACCATGCACACACATCGGTAGTGCTGTTAGCCTTATGGTTCATGGTTTCACGCTATTGGCATTGTGAATACACCCGTTCTCAAGTACTGGCGGTTAGCCATGCACCTCTGCACCTCCGTGACTGGTCACTGTCAACCAAGACAGTGAGCCCTCGGGCTTCCACTGACCAGCTGACATTATCCGGCTACTAGTATCTGTAGTGTTGAGTTGTGCACCCAGCATGTGATCATGCTATGGGCACTTATGGCTACGCGTTGACGTCAGCAGGGATGGAGGGCAAGGATATAAGCTTTCAAAGAGCGTGTCGTGTTGACGAGGTGCTGCGTCCAATGGTCTTGGGTCCGCCAAGAAGACTGGGATGCTTCGTACGTCAGATATTCCCAGTTGAGCACACACTACATTCCCACGATGGCATAAGATCAGAATACAATGTAGTCCACAAAAACATACATGTTTCAGTGTAAAATGCCCAATCTTGGAGCCCATTATACGCGATGCATTGCAGTGCCCTCGAGCCAAAACCAATCCGGACTCAGTACCCTAAGAACTAGGTGTCCTGAGATTTAAGTTGGATGGTCACAGTGCTACGATAGATGTGAGTTGGGCGTTGAGAGTTGTTCGCCTAATCTGATATGCTGTTTGATCTAGTTGTGATGTTTGTGCATTGTGCAATGAATGTGGCAATGGTTGCCTTGTCTGTCCCCCAGACTTCACTGGTGAATCGCTTCAAGGAGGATGAGTTTGGAAGGGACTACAACCAGACTCTCGGTGTGGACTTTGCTTACAAGACTGTGGTGCTTGGCGATAGAGGTAGGTCCAGTACAGTGACACCTCGTTAAGAAGAACACTGATACGACAAACCGGCTTCGCTTTAGAAGAACTAGAATTCCAAGCGCTATTGGATACAGCACTGTGTGTGTCTAGCAGGCAGGCACAGTGGGTTGGTCAAAGACCATGATTGAGATACGAGAGGTACCTGGTTCAAGTCCTGCCTGGGAGCGGTTTTTCCAGCCGTGCTGCAACCCACAGTCAACTGGGAACTTGTGGCCAGGCACAAGGGGCACATGGATGCAGCTAATGGGGTTTCTTGGCACTTGTGCCAGTGGTTGTGAGACATATCCACTCACCCCCACCGTTAGGTGCTGCATCTGCCGCTAGGGTTTACCGGGTGTTAGCGGCCGTCGTGAGTTCCCTTCGGGAGCGGACCCGATAATTTACTTTTTTTTCTTTCTTTTTTTACTGCGTATGAAATATGGATAAGAAGAGCTCCCGCTATTGCGAACAAATACCATCGATCCCTTGGTGTTCGTAATAAAGAGATTTGACTGTAGTTCTACGCGGCACTATGATGGTAGCAAGTAAAATCCAACCTCATGGCTCCGGTGACTGCACAGTTCTTGCACTCGGGCTGTGCAGTGAATCACGGTGGCTCTGATATGTGGATGGGGTTGGATTTCAACTTGCCTGGCACCACTGTACGTATACTTCATGTTCAACATGTACCTGTACCTGTACCTGTACCTGTACAGCTCATGCATGCATACAGATGCTGTGATCACAGGAGTGTGATTCCCACTGCAGGCCGTCAGCTGGTGGCAGTGGTGTACCTGCTTGGATGACTCTGAATGCTGTGCATCCGATCATCAGACAGACTTGTTAGGAGTTCAACAACGACAAACACGCACGCAGAAATGAATATGTCTGTTACTTCACACATGTCCATGTGATAGTATCTTGTGTGTGCATGTGCTAGTATCTTGTGTGCATGTGGTAGTATCTTGTGTGTATGTGGTAGTATCTTGTGTGTATGTGGTAGTATCTTGTGTGCATGTGGTAGTATCTTGTGTGCATGTGGTAGTATCTTGTGTGCATGTGGTAGTATCTTGTGTGCATGTGCTAGTATCTTGTGTGCATGTGGTAGTATCTTGTGTGTATGTGGTAGTATCTTGTGTGCATGTGGTAGTATCTTGTGTGTATGTGGTGAGGGTGAATACTATGTGCTAGTTACAGTAAAACCTGTCAAGGCGACCACTCAGATAAGGCGACCACCTATCCTAGTAGAAGACCACTGAAACCATGACCAAATGATGCTATTTCCAGTCGAATGACCCTGGAAAAGGAGACCACCTGGTAACAGAGACCACGTTTTGAAGGTCCGATGAGCGGTCGTCACTTGCTTGGACAGATTTCACTGTACTAAGTACTGTAGTATTACACACAAAGGCAAGTCACAGTGCACCGCCCAGCAACACACAGAGCACCGCCCAGCAACTGATCAAGCGGATGATGCGTGATGCTCTGTGACTTGTGTGTATGGTAGCTCTATTCGAATGAATATTGAGCACACTACCGAGCCAGAGGACTCTCATTCGCTAGTAGCACTACATGGTTAGCATTACATGCCGTGCAGGCAATGCCACAATTATCGTAACTCGGTCACAAGTTCATCACGAGTTAGTTACTCGGTTCAAGTGTTAGGCATAATTTCCCGAGTACTGACAGCCCAGGACTGAGGTGTGTGTATGCACATTTGCAGATCAGTAATAGCAGCAAGCAACAGGTGTGGTGGCCTGCAGCTAACTAGATCTGAAATAATTATTATGAGTGATGTTGCTGGGTTGCTCTGTTCTGCTGATCATCCAGACAGGAGAGAGATCAATCTCAAGCTTTGGGACATCGGCGGACAGACAATCGGTGGCAGAATGTTGCCCAATTACCTCTCAGGGGTCGATGTAAGTACCGACTGGGCTATTTAGTGTGTGCTTGTGCGTGTGCCGAGTGTGTGTGTGTGTGTGTGCATGCGTGCGCACATGCACGTGTGTATATGTGTGTGCGTGCGTGTGCGTGTGTGTGTGTGTGTGTGTGTGTGTGTGTGTGTGTGTGTGTGTGTGTGTGTGTGTGTGTGTGTGTGCGTGCGTGCACACATGCATGTGTGTGTGGGGAGGGAGGGGGGGGGGGGGCTTCAGCGCTTATCATGCAGCAGTCGGCAGATTAGACATGATTGAGTGCCTGTCACTGTAGCCAGGTGGTGGTTTAAGCTGTTATCATGTTACACTGAGGTGGGGGCATTATCACTACAGATGTAAAGTTAAAGAGATGAAGCCTGGTTACTGTGACTGCCCATGGACCCAGAGTGTTGCGGTCTTTGAACTAGGGGTGACATGATTGTACCGATTACTTGGTAATTACTCGTTAGAAAAGATATTGAGTGAATATTTGTTGTTGCTATCGGCTTATGTCTGTGATTCACTCCAGGCGGTATTGTTTGTGTACGATGTAACGAACGCTGAGAGTTTTAGCAATATTGAAGAGTGGATAGCAGCTGTCAGTAGTATCTTGGAAGATCAGAGAGAACAGGGCACACTAAAGAAGGACCCCCACCTTTCACTGGTCGCCAACAAAGGTACACACTGACTTGCCGTAAGCGGTGCATTGCCAAATGTTTTTTTTTTTTTAGCCAAAGATGTGTAGTCGAATACGTTGCATATGGTTTGCGATCACCATGGAGATCCTATCCGGCGGCTAATGGAGGTTCTCGGTACTTGTGCCATTTGATTGTGAGACTTATGATGACTTATCCCCTCACCCCCACCGTCAGGCGCTGCATCTGCCGCTGGATTTCCCGGGTGTTAGCGGCCGCCATGAGTTCCCTCGGGAACGGAGACTATAATTAAATTACAGACTCCGTTCCCGAGTTTTACGTTTTAATGGAGGTCCTGATCATCCTGATGATTCCAGGCCAGACCAGACCCGCAGACCAGACCAGACCCGCAGACCAGGCCAGACCAGACCAGGCCAAACCAGACCAGACCAGCCTTCGGCATTCCCACACAAGCTAGCAGTTGCACGGGGGAGTATCCCAAGTACTACATTCGAAATGGTTTACCGCTATCTAGGCGCTACATGCCTGCTTTTGTCATCAGCCGTGCAAAGTAGTAGACTTACACTGTTCTGACGACAAGGTGAACAGCCCATACCTGTACCTGCTTCCTTGGGATACCCGTGATGAACTGGCTGGCAAGCTCTGCTGCTGCATGCACACATGCGCACACTATACACATGTGCATCATTACATCGCTACAGTATGCAGCTGCATTAGTGGATGGCCATGCACCAAGCTTGACGATATGATACGCGGCCTCAACTGTACACTGTGACCGCCTTTGGTGAGAATACCCAGAAAACCCGACAGTGCAACTGGGCATGGCCATGTACTTCTGTATGCTCAGTATCACAGTGGATCAATGCCCTGCCGCGTGTCTTTGTTTCGTCTTGTTTTTCAGTTGACGACATCGGCAATCGAGTTGTGAAGCGAGTTGATCATGCGCAGGCAATCAAGACACACAATATGTCCGGGTAAGTTGTAAGCCAACAATCTAAGTTAGATTGTGGGTTGGGTGGAGTTCTCAGAGAGTGAGATGTATCCTTCGGTACTTGCTTCAGCAAGGCAGTGCATGTAGTCACGTAAGTGGATGCACATTCCACTGGGAAGTCTGTAGAATCACTACACGTACAATGCAGTGTTGCGCTATGCTCAAGAATTACTTGGACTTGAAGGTTGCACGAGGGCTTGCTATGATCTTCTGTTTAGCCAGTGACTATTGCGGTTTTACATCACTCAAGGAATCACCTGCTATTTCTGTACCATTTCTGTGCGGATATCAGTCACTATCGGAGAACATAATGAGTTCTAGTAGACCAAGTGATTATGTTGCCAAGACTGTCACGAAACAGTATACTGTACACCAACAGTCACTATGACTCACTACAGACACTATACGTCCTTGGGCATACAGACACTATACGTCCTTGGGCATACAGCTGAGCTCAGGGAAATCCAAGCCTACTTCAAGTGACTGCAAGCCTAGTGCCCTGGACAAGATCCCAGTACATCACTCTAGAACTGTTATGTACACCCGTGTACCGCATCCAGCAGCATTCATTAGTAACTTACCACTTCTAGCTAGGGCGTCCAGGGCTGTGCAAATCTGGGGCGCCAGATACGATTACTGTATGACTACACCATAGCTCAGTGGTTAGAGCATCGCTGGCCATAAGCGAGGGTCCCTGCATGGTCCCTGCATGGTCTCTGCATGGTCCCTGCATGGTCCCTGCATGGTCCCTGCATGGTCCGAGTCCTGGTGGTGACAGTAATTTTTTTCTTCAGACTTTTCCCGTTTGCACGTTTCCCTCAAACCAATGAATACTTGTACTTGTATGCACTTAGCTCAGGGTCGGATTTCATCTAGCACACCTATAGTGGACCACACGTGTTTGCCTCGGCTCCAGCTGCAACTCTCCGGCCTACGAAAGCGGGCACAACAGCTACGCCAGAACAGAATGCAGATGGAAATCATCGTGCAGCACTGATGATCAACTCCATGCATAATCCACCCTGATCGATATCATTGTCTGCCACAAGAACAGTTACCATGGTTGCGGTTGCTTTCTGCACTCGTCTGCACACCCATGTTGTCACAGAGTGAACATAGAAACATAATTTTTTTTGTAATTTCTATGAATACAGTAGTATAATGCTAGCTTCAAAGTCAAAACGGTCTTTTCTTTTAAAGCCACATATTGTGGCACATGAACAATTCGGCGATCACTCGACTCATGATTCGCTCCAATTGGCATGTCTGATTTTCTCAAGCCGCAGCAACAAAACAAGTCAATCTGGCCTGGATGCAGCAAACGGGCAGCAAATTCGTGCCGTCTGTGTGTGGATGTGTTGGACTGCAAACACACGCCAATATCATCGCAGCATGTACATGTACACGCGATTGCACATACACACGACAAATGCCAATATGTACGCCTACTGGCATCGAGCCACCGCCGCCGGTATGCAGACACTTCCACTTCGGCCAGCGCCGCAATGGCATGCCATAGCACACATCTCGTGTTTGCTTTAGATCTCGTCCATAGACTCGACAGCACTAGTCACAATGAACGAGCTTGAGTCACCGAAACTCGAGCTATACACGCACGGGTTAAGGACGGCATCGCTGATCTGACGCTTCAATAATCCCCTAGCCTTGGCGCTAGCAGCTGACTTGCCGCTGCTATTGGCATGCCGATTGCCATGCGTGAACATAGCTCTGAAAGCTGATTTGACTGTCATCGAGATGAACGTCCACGGTGTTACCTTTGCACAGGTAACCAGGCAGTGACCCTGATTCCACTCCGGGTTCAGCGTCACGAAATGCTTGATGTGCGCATTGTTAAGCAAGCCGCCGCTGATCGGCGCAGCATGGCGCTCCAGACGCACGTGCGCGCGCGTCACCACGCACGTTTCCGCATTGTACTTTCCCGTGCTCGTCTCCAGCGAGTAGCCAAACTTGTCAATGAGGCCTTTCTCGAATGCCGGCGTCTCTGCATCGTGCCGTGGATATGCCTCTGACGAACTGTTCATGGCTATTAGATAACTCTTGTAGCTGAACAGCTTCGTCAGCACATATATCTCGCGTTGCGGGTGCAGCAGCAAGCTGCGAAGTATGCGGAACAAGGCGAACACATAGGGCAGAGCGCCGCCCCTGTACTGCTGCTTGAACAGTGCCAGACCCAGTGTAAAGACTACTATGTCACGACCGTCGTGTTCCTGGTCCTTCTCGTCCAGTAGCATCATGCCACGAAGCGAGCCGTCCACACGATCTCGGTACAGCGACACAAACTTGTAGCCAAGCACCACATCCTGTAGTTTCCCAATGCCCTCACTCGCTGATTCTTTGCCATCCACATCCATCATGCCACGACACAGGTGATACAGCTCGGCGTAGCTCACTTCGTCCAGCAGCTCGCTGAGAGCGACGTACGCGTGCATTCGATGGCTTGATGCCAAGCTGCGACTTTGTGCGGAACCCCCGAAAGCCACCGTCCATAGGACTAGGGCATTTCGCAACAGTCCGATCACATTCCGAAACAGATAGAGGAACGCGAGCGACGCAATCGCAAGCAGAAAGTAGAATATTCCACTACTGATATCCATCTCTGCCTGCGCCGATGCAAACACACGACAGAGCTACACGAACGCAAGACGGAATAAAACCGCCAGAGAAAACCATAGCGCAAACTAATTTTACACCGGGCTCGCAACGAAGCGCAAGGAGCTGGTCCATCTGGAGATCGCGTGGGGAAAACTGCGCTGACGTCTAATTCTATCAGTTTCTAAATACATAAAGTGAGCATGACGTGTGCTGCTAGCATCAGTGTAGATGATCTACATGTAGATGACCAGATGATTCTGTCAGTCACAAACAAACATCACCATGATTGATGATCACTGTGGACATGACTGTCATCAATCGACATCATGCCTTGTTCCTGTATGAGTGTGTCCGATTTTTATTTCTGAAGAGAAGCTGAACTGACCTGGTTTTTAGCTGACTAGACCGCCCTTGTTTTATCTCTGTGTTGTGACTGTGTACATTAGTCATTATGTAACATGTCTGAAGTACTAAACTGGCGACTAGTTGTGTTCCTTGTCTGGTCTAGTGTGCGTGCCTTGAGTAGGTACTAGGTATGTGTGAAGTACTACATGTAGTAGTACTAGTAGTACGAAGTAGTTCGTGCAATGCATGTCAGAAATGGTATCAAAGCATTCGTACTCGGACTCAAGTGCTAGAATCGGAGCCCTCCGCGCTAGCGCGCGTCGGGCTCCGATTCCGCACTTTCGTCCTCGTACTCATGCTCGATTCCATACGTATGACTGTATGATAGACTTGTTAGTACAATCAAGAGTACATAAACCAGAGTGTGCCGCTGTGCATATCACTGATCAGATCTGAAACAGCCCAGTGCGTGCACTACGTCACCCTGATGAGGTCAGCCAAGCAGCGACTTGCGTACAGCTCAAATTTTCATGTTTCATAGTCTGGAAATCAGCCAAGTTTGCTTGATTTTAGACGTCCTGTTTCAGGATTTCGGTGTTTTGTGGGACTGTAAAGTCACCAGGCTATCCGTATCAAAAAACCGAAATCAGGACAAACTCAGTGACCTGCACCACCGTGACTGGTTGCGCAACTTTTCACCGTACCTGTGGCTTACCATGCCGTCAGAAATGACCGTACCGTAGTCCACGAATTACGCTCCCACGGGAACCATCCCGAGTTGCACACTCTGGTTTATGTACTCTTGGTACAATGTCATGTACATCAGGATACTACAAGCCCCAGTGCTTTTCGTTACATCATCACACACGTGGAACTACTGACTGTATATACATGTAGGCTGTTTTCATCTTGCCCAGGTGGGCCCATCAGGCCCAGGCCAGCAGCAGCAGGCTAGGCCAGGGTGATGGAGTTGTACTGACTGTGTGCGCATACGCCAAGGACTGTGACCTGATTTCCAGCTGTCAACTTGATGAAAATGTCTACATCTGACATGTGGAAAAATCGTGTATGTCTAGGTCTTTCATCCAGACTCCATCAGAAAATGAGACATGGGATCAACTCTCCTGTCATGTCTGTCATGGTTTACTTTACGTAAATGTGACATTTCCAGCCAGGATGAGGTTTCATGCAATTCATCTTCCCGACAGAATTGCCATCCATTGAAGACTCTTCACCTGGGACACTCACACACAGACTGTGCATGTGTACACGGCGCTGGGATGGAAAATCCATGTGAATACCTCCTCCCGGCCTCCGACAGTTGTTATCGTGCATGTAGTGTGTGTGTGTGTGTGTGTACTTGTGTGTGTGTGTGTGTGTGTCACTGTGTGTACGTGTGTGTGTATGTGTGTTCTAAGGATCATTGACGAAAGCTTAAAAAACGGCTTTGGCAAGCCTACCGAGAGACGTCCCTGCATCAAGTAGAAACAACCAGGAGCACATGGGAAAGAGGAGACAGGAGATAACTTTATTGGGCTTCTGAAGCGGCATGAGGGGCACAGTGAGGATGATAGAGAACATATACGTACAAGTATAAGATCAGTCACAGCTACAAAGTACCAGATGTACTTCTAGCACTGCAGAGGCTCCATTCGCCAATGGCCAGTTTAGTCGCGTGAATCAAGTTGCATTTCGTAACAATAATTTTGAATGGCTTTTGTTTATTGCTTGCATCCTTCTGTTCTGCTTACAGGCACTTTGTATCAGCCAGGTCTGGGGAAAATGTAAGTAGCCTGCTCACAGCACCGGCTCTATGATGACATCATGTGGATGCATGGTGTATGCATGGTGTATGCATGGTGTATGCATGGTGTATGCATGGTGTATGCATGGTGTATGCATGGTGTATGCATGGTGTATGCATGGTGTATGCATGGTGTATGCATGGTGTATGCATGGTGTATGCATGGTGTATGCATGGTGTATGCATGGTGTATGCATGGTGTATGCATGGTGTATGCATGGTGTATGCATGGTGTATGCATGGTGTATGCATGGTGGATGCATGGTGGATGCATGGTGTATGCATGGTGTATGCATGGTGTATGCATGGTGTATGCATGGTGTATGCATGGTGTATGCATGGTGGATGCATGGTGGATGCATGGTGTATGCATGGTGTATGCATGGTGTATGCATGGTGTATGCATGGTGTATGCATGGTGTATGCATGGTGTATGCAGCGGTGAATAATGCACGCATATACATGTACATCAGGGAGTCGTAAAATACGGTATTTGACGACTCCCTGATGTACATGCATGAGTACTGTCAAGAGTAGATAAACAAGAGTGTGCAACTCCGGATCTCTCCTGCACAATCTGCAGATACCCCCGCCCACGGCGGAATTTTTTGTTGACGTCACCTTTTTCAGAAGAACACGCATTTTGCTGCAGAGCAGTGTGAGAGCACGTGCTGGGCACTGACTTTGTAGTGCAAATGCGACCAAGTGCACGAGAGAAAACTTTCCAAAAGACTCATAGCGCGTGCGTCGTCGAAGAGATTACGTCAACAAAAAATTCCGCCGTGGGCCAACCCATCCGCGAGTTGCACACTCTTGTTTATCTACTCTTGGTACTGTACATGTAGTGACCGTGGCAGACCGTACATATAGGTACATTGTATGCCATGACAAGTAGAATGTTAAGCCAAGTACAGTAGAGCGTTCTCCGCACTTATCCCAGCCAACTTGTTCCCGGCCGGGTTTTGCTTCCATCTTTGATTTTCTTTGTCCAGGTCGAACAGATGTTTAAACTGATCGCCGCTCGTGTCGTGGGCTACAATTTCAACAAGAAAGAGCTAGAGGAATTGTCTCGTGTATCCTTACATGCCGCATTGAGAGTAGAGCATGGATATAAGCACGATAACAATCGTCATAGCCAATACAGGGGTGTCACAGGGGTGTCACAGGGCAGTGGGGAGTGGTACCATCGGGGTCCGGTCCGGGAGTGTCCCGCGGGGGAACACATCAGATTTTTCAGCCAACAGGGCCCGTTTTAGTGCTCTACGCACAGGCGATCTGGCCTCAGTGCTGGGCAGACCATCCTGGACGAAAAGTGGTACGACCATGCATGGTCGTACTGATCGTACCATGTGTGACACCCGGCCTGCAATACTGGGATGTGTGCATGTGATGGACCATGGGGCACGGATGAGGGCACACTTTCAAGTGCAAAGGTCAAGCAATGCACCATCAGTTATAGATTCATAGCCAATCGGGTGTACACTACCAACCAAAGTTTTGATAATCAGCCGAGCAGACATACTGAAGTACATTTATATGTAGTGTATGCTAACATTGCTCAGTGTCAGTTTCAACATGCCATCCGTACAGTAGGAGCGGCGCCAGCTGCTCTAGCTGTGCTAGCTGCGCTGACTGCCTGAAACCAGTAACCAAGCTGTGAACACGCCGTTTATATTATAATTATAATCTAAATTACTGTCCATCATAGCTGGCCTATATGGCATCAATCTGTAACAGGCAGTGCTGCCTTATTACATGAGATAGACTACAGGCACACAAGTATATTTGAGGATGCATCAGGCGTAGAACCATCCGGGTACATGTAGCAAGCTTCTTGATACATGCACTACAAAATGGTAGGCTCAATTTCCTGGCTGGTTCATTCTATTTCCCCGCATTCTATCTCTGAATCAATCGCTTCTTGCAGAGTCCTTGACAGCCGCATGCACGCGCCCATATCAGAAACAGGTCGTTGTTCCAATCGAAGCAAGTGCAGAAGCACCTCCAGCATCTTCTGCAGCAGCAACAGCAGCAGGTCCCGCCAGGCCCCGAGCGTCGGCAAAAAAGAGCTCCATTTGTAGCCTCCAGTGAGCGGCACAGTGGCTGGTGGCTGTAGTCACATGAGCTGGAGAGCCGCTTGTGTGCTGGCTGTTACCACTGTTGTTGACTTGCACTTGCAGCTCATGCTCTTGCTGGCAGCATGCATGTGACTGCTCTCTCATAACCGGCTACTCTCCTCCATGCAGGGCGTTTTAAAATCTGCCAGGACTGGACCTAGCATGTACATGCCGGCACGATGAACAAGACACAGCATTGACATCATCACATCGCCTCGGACTGCACGTTGCAGTGCTTTGACTCGTGACGACTGTGAATGGCTTGAAGTAGAACTTGTAATGCACACATTTTGGCTTGTAATGCACAAAGTAGAGTACGGCAGTGTCGGACGGACCTACAAGTAACTTTATGCCCATATGCGCATAGCTACTGCTTGAGTAAATACTCGCGGCACGGTCACGTACAATGTTACTTGTTGAGAACTTGATGGTACATGTACTGGCTGTATGCCATGATCCTGCTACCATTTCCTGTCCTGTGTGAAATGTAAAGAGCATAATTATGACACATACATTGGAGGGAGTTGAATATGTTGTTACAGTTTGTAACTGTACTTGGAATAGGGGACAGGCACCTTGGCTACTCTGCATGCTCTTTTTGTCCTTTTCAACTCCCTCAGATTGCTGCATGTTGTACTTTAAAGTAACGAATTACTCATGCCACTGTGATAACAGCTTTTCAAACACAATCACTATCGGTTTAATTGAAAGTAGAGAAGTTGTACACTCTACTATCTACTACACAGTTGCGGGTGTGTTGAATGTTCGCATCAGGCACTTGTTCTATTATCTGCAATCAAGGTCTCATTTTTCACCCACAAAAAAGCGAATCAACACAGTAACGTGGTGGGTCCCTGTGCTGTGTAGCCCAATAGTAGTTACTCTGGTGTGCTTCAACCTACACTTTACTGATTTCGCAGTTTTCCAGGGCAGGGGTGCATGCTGTACCCTTGCTTTAGCCATCTCTCACTGTCAGGTTGCTAGTTGACAGCCAGCCACCGCTGGCCTCTCAAGCAGACAGAAGTCCTACCTTTGGCTTGGCCAGCCTACATGGCTTGCCGATATCCTACAACACATTTGCAAAGTTGTCAAAAATACATCCTTCGAAGTAGAAGTAAGGTGGAACTTCAGTATAACGTACGTGCAAGGCTGGGGTGGGTCCAGGCAGAGGCTCAGCCTTGGGCCCGTACCTTCTGAAGTCACCAGGTTCCTCCATGCACACCCACCCACTGTCAAACGTCGAGCAGCAAGTAAGTTGCTTGCGTATTTTCCTGCGCTGGAGACAGGAAATATGGGTACCGACAAAAGTAACAGCTGGGCAGTGGACCCCCCTGTAGATTATAGCATGACGGAGACTCACGAGTCAGTAGAACAGAGGGTATTGGTCCTATTCATGAAACGCAGCCAACACAGCCTCATCACAACAACAACAAAAGCGGCTGCAGCACTATGTACACAGGTTGGAGAAAGAACACACAAGAGTGCTCATGATCATAACGAAAACAAAGACAACGCCTAGCACGGACTATGCCGGATTACTAGCACACCACACTACACACCACACGGAGAGAGTGCAAGGAGAACAGGAGGATATAGAGTTCATAATAATTATAGTGCATCGCTTCTGTCCAGACCAGGAACTTCAGCAGCGGAAAGTCCTACAGAGGCTGCGGAGTAAACAGCAGGATATCGCTGTGCCAGTAGGAGCGCTTGTAGAACGATGCATGCAAGCCTCACCAAGGCCAAGTCATCAACTGTCAACAGAAGCCTGAGCGGCAATAACACTCCAGCAAAGCATGAAGTGGGAGCACTACTAGCTATGGCTATACGCCACCAATGTCCACACAGTCACCTTCCAATGTCACACAGAAAACCGTTGACAACGATGACTAGTCAGTGTTCATCAGACACTGATACCAGTCATGTAGAAGGAAGGATGCAGAGGAAAGCCGCACGAATCCATGTTCCACCTTGAAAAGGAAAGTAGACTGACTGGCTTTCCTCATGTAGATACTGGAGTTGGTGTTGCTACCTTGACTGGTGTACGTGCATTATCTGCAATGGAGTGGAGACAGAAAGGGAGGGAGGGAGAGAGAGAGAGTGAGAGAGAGAGAGAGAGAGAGAGTGAGGGAGAGATAGTGAGTCATGCCAAAGCGCAAAAATAGAATGTGTTCTATTTAGCGTCATGAGCCACATTCATGTACATGTATGTCAAAGTCGTCTTCAGCACTTGCTTGACCGGGAAACTCTTTTTCTCTAGGCGTTCACATGCCTAGGGTTCTGTCTTGCTGTGGGTTTGTGTCAGCTTGTGTTAATGGTCAAGACTGCTTTAGTCACTGATAAACTACAGTGTAGTCCAGTACAATCCACCAGCACGAATAAGACCTAGTGCTGCATGAGCAGCAGCAGCCTCATGGTCACAGTGCTAAGTGCTGCGCGGGCCCTGGTACAGTCAACTTTGCTTATCACGACTCTCGGCCGGGCATCAGAAAAGTGTCCTTATTCGCGAAGTGTCGTTATACCCGAAGTCTCATTATATGCATACAGGTAGAATGGACTTTGCTCTGGGCATGGAAATTCTGTCGTTATTCGCGAATTGTCGTTATATCCGCAGTCGTTATTAGCGAAGTTGACTGCACTACCTTATTCATAGGGGCACACTTCTCTGGCCAGCACTGGACTTGTGCTGCTGCCAGAGGATAGTGCACTGGCCAGCACTGGACATGTGCTGCTGCCAGAGGATAGTGCAGTGGCCAGCACTGGACCTGTGCTGCTGCCAGAGGATAGTGCAGTGGCCAGCACTGGACTTGCTTTGTTAGTGGATGGTGACATGATGCACACTTACTGTAATGGTTATCATTTAATACAAAGTCATTGCCAACTTACCTTCTGCAGCTGCAGGTGATGTGGCATCAGCACCAGCCGCAGCAGCAGCAGCAGGTGCTGCTGGTGAGCTGCTACTGCTGGCATCCATAGCCTCCTCTTTCACAGAGAGCTGCTGCTGCTTCTGAGATGCTGCTGCCTCCTCAGTGCCAGAAGACTGCGCTGTTGGCGGCGTCGGCTGTGCTGGAGAGGGCTGAGCTGGGGAGGGCTGAGCTGGGGAGGGCTGAGCTGGGGAGGGCTGAGATGACGATGGCTGGGACTGCTGCCGCTGTGCTTGCGGAGTAGATGGTGTCTGTATTCAGATATGAATACGCATGCAGCGCACAAAAGAATGCATTGACTCGAGGTTGTCGACATCTGCATGCCCCCCCCCCCCCCCCCGACTGATCCTTTGAAATTTGAAGTTCTCCCAATCCTTTCATAACAACTAACAGTTATGTTACATCAAATATTCTAATTATAGTTGAGCTCCCAGTAGAGAACACCTACTGGCACTGTGATCAGAACACTTACGTCGGTGTTGATGTCCTTGGAGATCTGCATAATGGCTTGGTCCAAGAATGCGACGATCGACTCTGGACCAACTGCGCCCTTTGCGCTGGCCTTACTCGTGGGCGGCGGAGCAAAGAAGTAGGGACTGTTGCGTGAAAGCAGGCGCAGTGCTGCACAAAGAAGCACAGAAAGACACACCACATGACAGACTTGCTAGAGCTAGAGTGACACAGCATGTGACTCATGCAAACAATCACACGCCCAATGTGCCAATGAGCACCAACAATACCACACTGCACGTAGCTACGTAGGGCAGCCATGAGGACAAAAGAAGACAATGATATATCCCCCTCCCTTTCCCTTTCCTCCTCCTCACCATCATTGTAAATTCACAATCAGTCAGAATACATTCCAGCCACCGCTGCCATACAGTGATGCATGATGAATTATTGATCATGCTACACTGTACCAGCATACAGGTACTTAAATCATGGTACACTCTAGCCATTACTGACACACAACGACGACGACGACAACAACAACATTCCAGCATTTTAGATTACCTCGAAACTGAAAACTACTGTCGTAGATGACTCTGCAGCAATCAACACAGAAAAGACACACACACAGACACACACATACACACACACACACACACACACACACACACACACACACACACACACACACACACACACACACACACACACACACACACACACACACACACACACACACACACACACACACACACACACACACACACACACACACACACACACACACACACACACACACACACACACACACACACACACACACACACACACACACACACACACACACACACACACACACACACACACACACACACACACACACACACACACACACACACACACACACACACACACACACACACACACACACACACACACACACACACACACACACACACACACACACACACACACACACACACACACACACACACACACACACACACACACACACACACACACACACACACACACACACACACACACACACACACACACACACACACACACACACACACACACACACACACACACACACACACACACACACACACACACACACACACACACACACACACACACACACACACACACACACACACACACACACACACACACACACACACACACACACACACACACACACACACACACACACACACACACACACACACACACACACACACACACACACACACACACACACACACACAGATACTTGTACATGCTAGGAGGTCATGGGTGTTACTGGCATACAGGTACATGGACCCACTCTTCTTCTCTTTCCTTACTTCAAGACCAAGTTCAAGTACCTGGTTTATCATCAATGACTTTCTAGTTTCTACACTATTTGGTTCCCTAGTCGGAGTGTTACAGACACGTACGGCCTTTGGCATGCCATGTGTGCAACGGGTACCAGACGAAACCCTCAGACTTCAGCTTCCCAGTGCCGTTAGGGTCATGAAAATCAGCCTAGTTTGAGCACGGAGGTGAATACTTGTACTTCTATTGGAGATAAATACTCAGATTATGTGGTACGCGGGTCTTACTTGTATTGTTCCTCCACCATTGCTTCAGGATCAGCTTGTTCCATAGCCTCATCAAAGAAATCACCGAGTATTGGAGTGAATTGTCTGTAGCATGTACACAGCGCACAACACAGGATGCATGTCACGCACACACGCACGCGCACGCACACACACACACACACACATGCGCACACATACGCACACACACACACACACACACACACACACACACACACACACACACACACACACACACGCACACGCACACGCACACGCACACACACACATTCGAGAAGGCAGTACTATCTGTGCTTTAAGCGAATCGAAATAAAAGAATACAACAACATACCGTATTTTTCGGAGTATAGTGCGCACCTTTGTATAACGCGCACCCCCAATCTTCATTGGGGGTGCGCACTTCAATCTTCATTGGGGTGCGCACTTCAATCTTCATTGAAGTACATGCATTTCATATTCGGAGCATAGTGCGCACCTGCGATTTATGGCCTAAAATAGCACAACTAAAGTGCGCACTATACTCCAGAAAATACGGTACACACATACACATGCACATACACACACACACACACACACACACACACACACACACACACACACACACACACACACACACACACACACACACACACACACACACACACACACACACACACACACACACACACACACACACACACACACACACACACACACACACACACAGAGGATAAATTGTACCAGGCGGCCACACACACAGTCAGTGACTAAGAGCAGTAAGGGGCCGTCCGTAAATATCGATGTTTTTTTAGAGACGATATTGGTGCGTCTGGGGGGGGGGGGGAGGGGGTTTGAGCCATGTGCGTCTTTTCGAGCATCAGAAAAATATCGATGTAAATATCTGAAGTTTCGCCGATCCCTGCACGCGGACGTCTAAATGGCTATACAAGAAATGTGAAACCAGCTTCCGTTCGCGGAGCTAAAACTCGCGACACAAGAACAAAATCAAAAATTGGAAGCTGTACGCCCATGGCGAATTTCAAGAGCAAAAGAATGAGCTATTGATTGTGGAAATCGGCCGAACGATGCCTGCAGGAGACCTTTTTCAAGACGGACCCTCAACATCCTGGGCACTTCAAGACCTACCTGCAGATGGTCTTGGATGGCACTTTGCTCTTGGCAAAGGCTGCACCGGCAGACCAGTTTATCCATCGCCAAGCTGGCACAGACGCTGAGAATGGTACAGTTGCGCTCGGTGAAATCCAGCCCGAAGTGCATAACTGGCGCCCAGTACTGATGCGGCCCTTGACGCCCTCAAAGTTGTACAAGTGTAGTGTGCACGTGTGCCGTATGAACTGTGCATGTGCTGTACTCATACGCATGCATGCTTACACCAAAGTGTAAAAAACCGCGCCAAACAAAGACAAGTGTTAAACATTCATTTCAGTTCAGCACAAGTAAAGAAGACGGAGATCGTTTCGAAGCAGTTTATTTCATACACAGAGCAGCAGGGCTTCCATATTTGGTGTGGCCACCGTCTGCTTCGATTAGGGCTTCAACACGACGTGGCATTGACTCCACGTATGGGGAAACCGTGTCAGGAGCCAACGAGTCCCACTCCAGGTGCAGTGCCTGCACCAGCTGGTCAGCATTCTCGCAGCGATGTGGAATTATTCTCTTCTTGAGAAGAGCCCACACATTGGGAATGGCCATGTCCTTCTTCTCTATCTCTTCTTGATCTTGAGGTGTACTTCGTGAAGTGAATGAAAGAAATTTTGAACTGTTTTTAGCATGCAACACGTGCACTCCGAACTTTTACACGAGGTGCGTACAGTTGAGTTCATACACACAAATCGCCAGTGATGTAATGGGAGCTGGCTTCGCGGCGCCGGCTTTGCACTTCGGGCCGGATTTCACCGAGCGCAACTGTACAACGGAGCGATGCGAGCACTGCAAGTATGTCTTCTTGTCAGCGGCTGATAAGCTTCGCCACAACCGCCTGAGTCATAGCAGTGAAGGCACTACATCCAGGCAGCAGAAGGAGCATGTGTGCCCGTATTTGGATGGTGCTTCTACTTGTGGCTTAGCCTTCACCACCTACTATAGGCTAAAGCAGCACAAGAAGGCTGCTGGCCACAAGTGTTCTCGAGGGCGACGAAAAAAGTCATAATGCTCTCCTTCTCAATTAGACCATTATAAATACTGCAAACTTGCCATCTTGGGTTCATATTATTGACAAAAAAAGGAAAAAAAATTAGCATCCAAAAATATTGATTCCATGATCTAGATGTACATGTGCGTCTTCTGGGGGGAGGGGTCAAGGGAGAGAAGCACCAATATCGTCTCTAAAAAAAACATCGATATTTACGGACGGCCCCTAAGGCATACAAGTGAGATAGCGGCCACAGAGTAAAGCCACGGGAAGCTGCTGCCCAGTAGCCACTGCAGTGTGTTCTTACCTCTCTTTGTCGCTGCACGAATGCACATTGTCGGGGTTGATATTCCATACTCTTGTCAACTCCGAACTGCACAACAGATCGACCAGCAAGCACAGATAGTTAAAAAAAGAAGTAAAAACCCAAACCAGTAGGATTATAACAGCATTCCATATTAACGTCCAGCCAACCAACATGCAACAACTTTCAAAAATAATACTTACTGGTAGTAGCAATTTCTCAGTACATGTTGTATTAATACTTCGAAGTACATTTTGAATAAAAACTCTGCATCTCCAAAGAACACTACAACAGGTGAACAGGCATTGCAGTCTGCCAAGCAGCATCCCCCCCCCCCCCCCCCCCCCTCCACTCAAAGGAGATTATTTTCTACTCCACGAGTGCACAATGCATGCTGTGTCACATCATGGAGGAGTGCTCCCTACCTTCCCATATCCCATCGTATTCTCTTGCTGGCCGTGTACAGTGGCCGCGCTGCAGAGCGTTTCTTCTCTCTGCAGTGCACAACAACCAGGGTACAACACAGCACAGCACAGCACAGCAACACTCGGCGCATATTGAAACGTAGTGTGCCGTGCAGTGAATATATCCATTCATTCTGCCAGCAATCTACATCATGCATGTACATGTGCACACTCGCACATCATACCTGCAACACACACGCATCTGCAGAGCACACACGCACGCACACACACACACACACACACACACACACACACACACACACACACACACACACACACACACACACACACACACACACACACACACACACACACACACACACACACACACACACACACACACACACACACACACACACACACACACACACACACACACACACACACACACACACACACACACACACACACACACACACACACACACACACACACACACACACACACACACACACACACACACACACACACACACACACACACACACACACACACACACACACACACACACACACACACACACACACACACACACACACACACACACACACACACACACACACACACACACACACACACACACACACACACACACACACACACACACACACACACACACACACACACACACACACACACACACACACACACACACACACACACACACACACACACACACACACACACACACACACACACACACACACACACACACACACACACACACACACACACACACACACACACACACACACACACACACACACACACACACACACACACACACACACACACACACACACACACACACACACACACACACACACACACACACACACACACAGTGACACTGGCATTCAACACAATTACTAGCAAACTGCACGCACGCGTGGAGTTCTACCAGCTACTACAGGTGCGCTCGGTGAAATCCGATCCGATGCACAAAGCTGGCGCCCTGGACCAGTTCCGATTACATCATTGTGTTTGTACATGTGTATGTGTGCATACAGTCGCATTCATACCACTTCCAGGGCGTCAAGGGCCGTGCAAGTTGAGAGCGTCAAATATGCACGCTGGGTGGGATTTCACCGAGCACAACTGTAGTAAAGGTCCACGTGCCGAAGGCAGCTGAAAAGACAGCAACAACATTCAACATTGAACATTACCAATATCGTTTCCTTACCTGCTTGGTGCCTGGATATTTCTGGAGTCCTCCCTGAAAGCAGTCAGTTCACAAAATGACAGTGTATCAGTGGAACTAGAATGACAGTATGCTGTTGACCAGCAGGACTATACTTTAAAGGAGAAGACAAATTGCCTCTAACTCCTCATAAATCAAACAAGACCTGATCAAAAATACATGTACATTGTACACGATGCCGAAGAAACATGAACTTCAACCTCAGCCATCCTTCCTGCAGTTCTGTTTTATCTATACACATGGAACTTCTACCTCAGTAGTCATCCTTCTTGATGTTCTGTGCAGCTCAGCTGTCCACACCTGCAGCGTCAACCCCACCCGACCTTCCTGCAGTTCTGTGCTAAACCGGGCGCACGGGAGAATACCACACCCCATTGCTAGGGCAACACTGAGGATTACTTCTGGGTGTACTTCATACGGCCTGTGCTGTCCGCGATGGACACCAGCTCCTTCAGCATACAACACTGCTGGGCTTCAGTGTCACCTCTGCTACTAGTATGATTGAAATATGAATGTGTCAGAAGAAGGTTTATACCGTTTCAAAGTTCAGCATTTTCTAAAAGAATTCAGATCATTGGATTCCCTTGCAAATTGTCGAGAGGCCCCTCATAGCAGTGCACAATCACTGTGAGCTGTGTGTGCACGCGCTCTACTGCATGTTTGCCATAGCAGGTGCACACACACACACACGAACACACGAACACACACATACACACACACAAACACACGCACACACACACAAACAGGTGTGCACTGTACCCTGCAGACTAAAGAACAACGTTAACAGCACGTGGACGTTGTCATACAGCAGTGCACATGTCCGTGACACACAGGAGCAAACGTACTTGGGCTTGGTGAATCGCGGACAGCTGGAGTTCTTCCAATCAATCCAGTTTTCTTCTCGTTGAAGCAATTGCTACACATCAACAAGAACAGTAAAAGTTAGGACAAGAGCAACAGTAACGTTACCAAAAGGCTGGACAGTCAGGAGAGCCATACAAACACAATCAAAAGATCTGACGATGACAGCTTTTGCAGAAAATAATCGGTGATGCTCACACTTACAATTAAAGGGGAAGTTAAGGCAAAAATTAAAATTTCACCAGTTGTAGTCTTCGGGGTGCTGAGTCGAATGGTCGTGGTCCGAGGAAGCTGAGACGCTCTCTTCCTACTTGAATCCCAATCGAACTCGCGCACTTCCACCGAAACTGGGTGACTGCGCCCTACTACCGTAAAAGTCCGTAAATAAGTACCTGCCCGAAAGAAATACCCCCTTCATTCTTTTGGCTCTGTCTGTTGAAGTCAAGTCAAGCCCGATAAACATACTGCCCGAAATAAGTACCGGTACGATGCGCACATGCAGTGTGTAGCATGTACATCGACATGAAAATGACTTCTTCACTACACACAAGTCAGGTCCGAAAGTTAGTTCGTGCCCGAAAGTCAGTACCCGCCCGAAAGTTAGTACGGGTGTGGTCACTAAATTCGAAAGTAAATACGTACTTATTTACGGACTTTTACGGTAGATGGGGATTTGTATGCAAAATGTCACTAAAAGTGCCATTTCGTTCTTATAAAAGCATGGAGGACCGCGATTAGCCCATATGTTGTAGTCTTTTGGACGCTGAGTCGATTGGTTTTGGTCCGAAAAGGCTGCGATGCAGCGTTCCTCCTTTATTCCCAATCGAACATGGTTGAACAAGTGGTCACGTGCTCCTGCGTACGCCAGTCACCTGGTCACCGTGCCTGCAGGGTACAACTTACTAGCCTGTTTGACCTTTTTTGGGTGCAATCCTGTCACTCGAGTTGAACTCGAGTTGAACCTTGGTGTGAAAGTTCTCGCCTGCTGGCGTGGTGACCAGGTGATTTGGGCACCCAGGAGCACGTGACCGCTTGTTCAACCATGTTCGATTGGGAATAAAGGAGGAACGCTGCATCGCAGCCTTTTCGGACCAAAACCAGTCGACTCAGCGTCCAAAAGACTACAACATATGGGCCAATCGCGGTCATCCGTGCTTTTATAAGAACGAAATGGCGCTTTTAGTGACATTTTGCATACAAATCCCCATCTAGTAGGGCGCAGTCACCCAGTTTCGGTGGAAGTGCGCGAGTTCGATTGGGATTCAAGTAGGAAGGGAGCGTCTCAGCTTCCTCGGACCAAGACCATTCGCCTCAGCACCCCGAAGACTACAACTGGTGAAATTTAAATTTTTGCCTTAACTTCCCCTTTAATGGTACAAGTAGTAATGTCGAAGTGAAAATGGCACTTCAGGTCACAAGCTCCAGGCAGCACTATTGGCAATACTAAAGCAACATAATTCATTCTACACAACACGCATGCACGCCGACGTAACGCTAAATCTTACCTCAATGTACGAAGCAAACTTTTCTCCATTCGGTGGCATTTTCTTTAGTATCTGCGGAGCATATAGCAGACACATGATACCACAATTGCCACCAGGAAGAACCACCTATCATTCAGCTTATTGCGATCTAATCATCGCTTTCCACTAACCAGTCTACCGTTGCTTGAAGTCATCTAACCAACACATTGGAAAAGCAGTTACTAGTACATGGACCAGTGTGTGCTATTTAGTATAGCCTATCAACTCACATCATAGACGCGTTCCTTGGTGCTCTTGACCCACGTATCCTGCGCGTCGGTGATGGTCTGACTGCTCCTAGATCGCACAATAGCAAAACACACGTGCACGGCCACCAGGTCAAGTGACATGTTAGTGTACGTTTCACAGAGCCCTAGCCACCACCACTACTACCAAAGGGAAAGCAAAACAGACAACGAATCCATTCCAGCGGTGCCAAGAAGAACAACACATCAAGCGTATTGGGCACTGCCTGCACTTACGTCTTGAACTTGACTGATCCGACCAAATACTGGAAGACTATCAACATCTGAACTAACACCTACACAGCAACATCGAGATCACAAGAAAATCACACAAACATTATGGAAACATATGAGAAAGAGAGAGAGAGAGAGAGAGAGAGAGAGAGAGAGAGAGAGAAAGAGAGAGAGAGGGGGGATACCCAATATCATGCACAGTCACATTGCTTCCTATAGCCCGTCATGTACGATCTAAAACCGACTTGCCTTATCAGGGCAGCCAATAGCATGACAGCTGAGCAATCAGCCAAGGGCTGTAGATGGTAAGTAAGTGAGGTGCCAGTCGGAATCACGTGTACACATGTACAGCACACACTACACATTGATCTCCCTCATCATGAAATACAGATACTTTGTGAATACATGGATGGGTGCCTATTTGTGTTTATGTGATACATGCATAACTAACTGCATGGGAGTCAAAGTAGAGAAAGCAGAGGACAAAAACAAGTCCAGTTGATCTGTTTCGCCACCGAAGTGTGTGAGAGCACAACAACAAAAAAAAAGGAAGAAAAACAATAAAACATTGTACGCACCTGCCGGCGGAAATTCCCATCGTTCAGCTCCAAGTCCATTAGCTACATTGGCCATAACAGATGGAAGAACACACAGCAACAACTCATATCATCGGCTGTCTCACTGCATGACATACATGTACATCCATGTCGAAAAAAGAGAAAGTGAGTGACCAGCAAGAGCGCTGCAACTTGTGCAATGCGCCAATGAACACACCGAACTTCTAAATCCTACACCACAAATGTAAGGCTGCATGAATGCAAACATCGCCCCTACCTTTTCACTGGTCAGGTACTTGGGAAAGTAAAACTGTTGCTCTGACCCGTCCAGGGAAATGCTAAGCACAGCAAAAACAAAGCGTCCGGAAGTTGCAGTGCATGACAGCATCAAGTCACAAGCAGGCAAGAAAAACAGGACAGTTGAACTGGGTAAGAAACACGTCCCCATCACTTGCCAGTAGTTGAGGCTTCCTAGACACATACGGCCTGCTCAAACAACATGGCCCACAATGTGATGCTAGTAGGTTGGCCATCCCTTCTGTCGACTGTGACAATTCCTTTTTTCCTTCTTGTTTTCGTACGTACACCAGTAATTTCAGAATTGACAATCACCCAAAACTTTGCAGTAAATATGAGATTCCATTGGGGTACTAGTACAGAAGAGGTGCAAATCAGATGGAAACTGCTAAGTGTGCTATCAAGAGATAAATGCCGATGCGGATACCAATGGGATTTGCCAGAATGACATTTTCGAGGGGAATCCCCCCACTGGTAATGGTAGTCAGTGTAGTCACACTCACCTGCAGGGCTCTGCGGCTGTAACCAGAGCGTCCGTCTGTGCAGGGGAACTCTTGCCGCTGGCGGAGCCCTTGGATACCGATGACTGTGATGATGCTCCATTGTGACTCTCGAGTGGGTGAGTAGTAAACACATTGAGGATATGATCAACAGCCTGAAACAAACATGCAGTAGAAACATAGTGATGGTCGACGCGGCACCCATACGCATTTCAATGATTGCTGCACATTTGATTGGTGTGTGTGTGTGTGTGTGTGTGTGTGTGTGTGTGTGTGTGTGTGTGTGTGTTTCAGCCTTGCAAGCTGTTGAATGGTGAAATCCCAGCACAAGCTGCTATGGCTTCTGCTCTAGCATCGCTATTATCGCCTCCGGCGATGGGCGTCCAATGGTCCAATGGTGTGTGTGTGCGCGTGTGTGACGTCCAATGCAGGTCACTAAGGGGTCACACAGCCATAGTGCTATGCTCAGCAAGTGTACACCTCCGTAGGTACTGTAAAGCGACAAACTTTCGCGGCGTGCAAATTTAGCGTTTTCATAAATCGAGCTGGTTCACAATGAGAAACGTTTGCAATTCTATATTTTCAATCGGATCTTGTACGGTCTACAATCAGTGTACGGAGAGGTTTACGGCGATTTATATTCGCGAATGTGTAATGGTCGCGAAAATGGCGAAATTTAATCTCTAGCGAAAGTTTCTCACTTTACAGTAGTTGTTGTCGCCTACACACATAATAGGACATGTAAACTGGGAGGGAGTTGTGGTTGCTCGTGACAGTGACAGTGCTCAATACACCAAGGTGCAGAGCCTAGTATGCACACTTGAGACGAATCAAAAGCGTTTCTGCTGTAACTCTGAGTTTCACGGTTTCAACCGATCAGCAGACAGCAACTTTCATTTTCATAATTACACTATCAGCCCGGATCATTCATTCGCGCTATGATCCAAGCATGCACCCTATATCAATCATACCTTCTGAAAATTGTAGTCAAGTTGCTGTCTGATGATCGGTTAAACCGTGAGACTCAGAGTTACAGCAGAAACGCTTTTGATTCCTCTCAAGTGTGTGTAATAGTACATGTAGAAATGTACACGTGCTGCTGCACTTACCGCTTTAAACTTTGTCCACTTGTCAGACACATAGCAGTCAGTTGGTTTAGAGAAGAAGGCCTGCAAAGACCACAGCTGCTGATAGACATCATAGTCAACCTTGGACCTGGGCAAGTTGCAAAAGCACACACACACACACACACACACACACACACACACACACACGGCAACAGATAAGACACCTGACCGGATATCACACTGTCAGCTGACTGGTTTCTGCTTACGCCCCCTTTCTACCTTGGAGAATGTCTGTGATGCTGAGTCGACAATAGCTTGGCTGATGGGCAATGCTGCTTGCTCACATGATTTTGTAGCATATACTGTTCTTTAGTCTGTTATCTAAGCATATAAGAAAAGGAAAAAAAACCCAACTACCGGTAACCAACCCTGTCCAAGACGGACGGACCATGTTCCCCAGCACAAGCAGATCTGTAGCAAATGTTAGCTGGCTCAGTAGAGTCAGTACCCACCAAGCTGCTGCTGCCCAAGACTTACTGGTTTGGCTCGTCCGTGTCCATGGCATTCTGAGATGCAGCAGTGATCTGGAGGTGACAGAAGGCAGAGAGTGAAATACACCAGCAGCACCAGTCAACATTGATGATTACGGCATCGTGATGATGATGATGACATCACGATGGACTACAACACACACAGAAGCACACCTGCTGCAGTAGGTGTTACCCTGTCAATAGGGAGGTTTAGTTCCCACGTAACGGAAACGCGTACGTGGGTGATCCACGTAAAGTGGATGAAGGGCATCCACGTTGCAATGTTGTGCTTAGTCACACGGAACAAACAAAAGCATGAAGCGAAAGGCCCAAACCTGGTCAAAGACGAAGCTACCCGGGCCTAAGAAGCTCATCCAATATTTTTATTTCGTGCTTCGGAAACTTATTCAGCTGAGCACCCTCACAGCTCGCACAATGCGCTCCATTCTGATTTTCACCAACGTTCTGGCGGAACGTGGGTGAGCCTCCATACACGGTATGTCGTGAATCAGAAAACGTCTGTACGTGGGTCACTGAGTATCACGTGGTACACACAAGTAAAGTACCCACGGATTACGTGGGACTAAACCTCCCTAATATGTCAGATAAAGTATACGCTTGACAGAATGAAAGGAAAGGGAAAACTGCAAGGTTATGCATGGAGAGGAAGATACGCAACACTCCAACTAGTAGCACAAGTGCAGCAGTGGCTCTCAGACCGCACACAAGCACTGTATGTACAGTAAAACTTGTCAAGGCGACCACTCGAATAAGGCAACCACCTGTCCTAGAAGACCACTGGAACCAGGACCAAGGGATGCTATTTCCACTCTGGATAAGGAGATCACCTGATAATAACAGAGACCAAATTTTGAAGGTCCCTTGAGCGGTCGCCTTAGACAGGTTTCCCTGTAGTAGCACAAGTGCAGTGGCTCTCAGACGGCACACACACACACACACACACACACACACACACACACACACACACACACACACACACACACACACACACACACACACACACACACACACATTAGTACAGTCAGACTTCGCTTAACCACACACATCCGTTTTCCACAAAAATATCCGGTAGGGCGAGGGAACCGGATAATCGAACACACATACTGTATGTGTACATGACATATGCTGTAAATCGGTAACCAACGATTTTCTTCCGGATGGCGAGGGATCCGGATAAAAGAGGACCGGATAAGCGAGGTCTGACTGTAGTACTGGAACAACGCTAACTGTTGACTTGAAGCAAGTGGCACACAACCCACTTCCTCACAACCCACCTCCTCTGCTGTTTTGAACTCTGTTACATTATCCTGGTTGAACTGGCTGGTGAGATTGAGAGCTGTGCCACAACGGAAAGAGAACATAAACAAATGGAAAAAAGTGAGGTCAGGCTAAGGGGTCGTCACAAAAGTGTTGTCGTCGTCCCTAAAAAGCACCTTTCATGGGGGGGGGGGGGGGGGAGGGTTGAGCCAAAATTGCAAGTCGACTGACAATGTACATGCACATGCATGGGAATAGGGGGTTGTGTTGGAACAGGGGTTGTGTCGGAATAGACCAAGCAATATATGCCATCCCCATTCTCATGTGAGTACCAGTGTGAAAAGTAAAGTGATGGGCGGCAATAAGAGGTAGAAATTAGGAGCATGAACTTACCGGACTTCTCATAGATAGGAAATAGATGTGCCAGGAACAGCTGGATCCGACCGCAAAACACGGTGTTCTGAGGCTTAGACATGCGCCGCAACAAGTCTAACGACAACAAAAGAAAGGAGCCATAAAGATTGTCATCTGCATGGCTAGTGCACACTGTCAAGTAGTAGTCAGGAATCAGGAGTCAGTCATTTACAAACAATGTCAACAGGTAAAAAAGGAGAAGGACAAATGTTACGAGTTATGACTTCTCCTTTTTTTACCATAATTAAATTGGCTCACCATCCGGGTTCAATGTCAACAGGACAAGATGAAAAGGAAAGAACAGCGAAGAAAGCATCTCAGGACAGACGGTATGCCAAGCTGCACATACTACTGCAAAGCGAGTAATTTCGTGACCGACAACTTAAATATTTCATTGCTTCAACTGCTCGCATAATAATTTGTATAGCAAGTAGGGTTTTGAAGCTTGACCTTACAATATTGGTTCGAGACATTGTTCAGAATATCGCGCTCAGTCACTTTTATGTCAATGCGATACGATTTCATGTTTCGACCGCTGTCATGAATTTGCACGATTCCAATGCATGTTGTGAAATACTTCCAATAAGAGTACATGTATGAGGAAATGTGTTTCTTACTGTTGCAGACACGAAGTAGCAGATTCTTGCCAGCAGATGTGTAGAAACGAGGCTGGAGGTCAGGCAAAGGAAGAACAAAAAAAGAAACACTCACACGACATGATAGCACACGATGGTACTCCAAACAATTCCTAAACGGTTGATGCTGGTGACAATGAATGGCGTGACTGCTGCACAAACATCCTCCCGTGAAATCGCAAGAGAGAGCATGGGCACGTGCGTGCGTGCGTGGTTGCATGTGTATGTGTTAGAGAGAGAGAGAGAGAGAGAGAGAGAGAGAGAGAGAGAGAGAGAGAGAGAGAGAGAGAGAGAGAGAGAGAGAGAGAGAGAGAGAGAGAGAGAGAGAGAGAGAGAGAGAGAGAGAGAGAGAGAGAGAGAGAGAGAGAGAGAGAGAGAGAGAGAGAGAGAGAGAGAGAGAGAGAGAGAGAGAGAGAGAGAGAGAGAGAGAGAGAGAGAGAGAGAGAGAGAGAGAGAGAGAGAGAGAGAGAGAGAGAGAGAGAGAGAGAGAGAGAGAGAGAGAGAGAGAGAGAGAGAGAGAGAGAGAGAGAGAGAGAGAGAGAGAGAGAGAGAGAGAGAGAGAGAGGAGCAAGCCATAGAGGTAACTCACCTCAAGCCACCAGTCCACATGAGAATCAGTGTAGTGGAAGATGTCTGTACACTGATCCAGTGTCACACAGTCCAACATGTCGGAGAGCAGAGTGAACGGTAACACTTGGTTGCACATTTCTACATAGATGACATTCATCAGAGCAAGCACATGACACAACAAATAAAGCAGAGTGCAGTTAATTTATAGAAATGAAAATTGGCTAAATATGAAAACCCTGGAGCTGTAACAAAGAGCTTGTATTTTAAAGGGGAAGTACAGAGCAGGAATGGATTGAATTCGCAAGAGTGGCTTTTTTTATGAAATCAGGAACAAGGTCTGAAGGTATGTCAAATAACTTCCGAATGCTTGCAACATAGGTTGATCCCAACCCCCGAGGTCGGGTCGCAACACACCTAATTTCGCAAAACCTTTGTCCCGCGTATTGCGAAAGCACGCACATCACAGTCACACAGTTCAGCCATCCCCTGATAACAAAACTGTATGGCGGAAACATGAACTGCTTGCACACAGTGTTTTTTCTTCTTCTTCTTCCTTTCGTCAAGTGGGTGTCAGCCGAAGAAAAATTCATCTTTGCTTCGTGAAGAAGTCAATAACTACGGATGGCCCCTCCAGCAAATGTGCCCTTTACGAAGACAACAGCCACTTACCTTGCCGCGCACAGCAAACAGCACACGTAACCACTGCGGTTAGATTGGACGCTGTCTGCCCCTCGATCTGCACCAAATCAAACAATAGAAAAGTAGAGCAGTGTATAGGCGGATTGGGCTTTGGCTCCATACCGAACGCCTCCGACTTAGACGACGACCAAACATAACAGTGGTGTCCAGTAGCAGACACTTTATCAAGGTCCACACAACGGTTGGGGAAAACACTTGAAAACAGAAAAGACATATCAGGTATTGTAGGTATGCATGGCCAGCACCACTACAGCACCACTACAGCACCACTACAGCACCACTACAGCACCACTACAGCACTACTACAGCACCACTACAGCACCACTACAGCACCACTACAGCACCACTACAGCACCACTACAGCACCACTACAGCACCACTACAGCACCACTACAGCACCACTACAGCACCACTACAGACCGGTATCTACAGTACAAACAAGGTCGGGGGGGGGGGGGGGAGTAAGTCCGTACATCTTTACTCAGAGTTTCAAGTTGCTACACATCAGGAGACTATGTTCAACAGAGCATAACAGTGGACTCTATCCTACAAAGAAAGTGATACCCCTTGGCACACCTTGGTGCGAAAGTGGCGCATGAATAGTCAGCGCAATGATGAAGTAACTTAGTGGAAGGCACAAATGATACAGAGATTGGTGTGATGGGTAGTGTTGTAGCATGTTGCACAGAGGTAGGAGGTGAGGTGCAGTGTTGAACCTGTACTATGCATGATATGCAAGTACCTGTGTGGGATAAATGGCTGGCGATATACGTCCTACTTCAAGTATTTGAATTCTGCATAAAAGCTCTGGATGGAGCGCGGACCAGTCAGTGCCCGCATGGAGTATTTTGACCTGTTGTCAAGGTCACTAGTACCCTGCAGACCGGTACCTATCAAGACTTACCAACATGGTGCGAGCAGCATCTCTGAATGCCTGATCCAAGGCCAGCTTCCTCTCGGCCTCGCTGTATGGACAGATATAGTCACCAGACAAAAACAAACACACACACACACACCCACACACCCACCCACACACACAGGCACAGACAGACACACACACACACACACACAAAGCAAATGTGTAATACGCATGCGTGACACTCACTTGGAAACCAAAAGATACCCATGGAGATGAAATGGCGTCGCGCAAGTGCATTTTGATTTTTGAAATGATTGCCACAGAAAAACACTTCTTCTTCTTTTTTTTTAGATTACGGTAACACCTTGGGGGATAATTCAGTGCAAAGCATAATAAAAAGAGATCATTGTTAGGGGCCATCCGGCATTATCGATAACAAGAGTACATAGCCCCAAGAGTGTGCAACTCTGATCTCCAAGCTACGGCCATATATGGGTGTCCTGCGCGGTGCGCTGCCTTCATTATGTAGTGAAATGACGATCCAGCTGCCTGGGTTTGAGTTTTCCTACGGTTTAGCCTCAGCGATTTCATGTGCAATACAGTAAGTTCAAAGGCAAATGCCTGTGTGTGACACATCAGGTAAAAACCATCCGAAGTCTCCTCCGAGGAAAGCGGATTCGGAATAAGGAAGCCATGGCAGATCAATAATGCCCCAATGGCTCACAGTTCTGTGACTACCTAATGCAGACAACATGCCACACCAGACCCCATATGCAGAGTTGCATACTCTTGGGGTTATGTACTCTTGTCGATAATTTTCACGAAACGGAAAAGTATACTTTAACCCTTTACCATCCGACCAAATTTCCCCAAGAGTCCCAAATGCAATAATTCTCACCTTATTCTGAGAATATCTTCAGTTCTAATCAACCAATTCTCACTATCTTGGGCATTCTGGAAAGCTCTCCACGAGCTGCGTACATTGAGCTCAAACAGGACACTACCGAGATCACATATCCAGCGCCAGGGAGCTTCAAATACACCCCATCGCTGGATATACGAGGAAATTCTCTCCTCGCCAGCCATTTCTCGCTCCTTCATCGTAAACATTCCAATTTTTTTGCTTGAGTTTCTTTTCATGCTGCCCACGCGATCAAAGCATGCCAAAGTGACTCAGCATGTCAGGAGAGGGGAACATCCCCGCTCAAGGTCAGTCACTCGAAAAGAAATTCGACTTTTGCCGTAGCTGAAATGTCGAGCGACATATCTTTGGAATGCGACATCGCAGCTCTTTACTGATTGCTGCAATGGAAAGCTGGGCTCTTTGGCTTCTTTCTAGATACTTAGTTCTTTACATTCCGACAAGAATCGATCGAGTTACGAATGTTTTAGTGTATGCATGTCCATCGATCTCTAGAGATCGATTCAAGTACGCACGGATGGTAAAGGGTTAAGTCTTAGGACCGTCCCCCGTCCACCCGCCCACCCACCCCCGTACACCCGCCCACCCACCACACCGAACGAAAACTATACTATCCCATGGTACGGTAGGATATGCCTGTTTCAGCCAAACAGGAGCCTTGTTGACCGGGAAATACATGTAATAGCCAATACAACCCCTCGCGGGATTGATATTCATTATAAACTGGGTTCACTTTTATCGTACACACCCTGCACTTTTGGTGCATGGTACATACATGTATGGCGCTGCATTCGCGTACGCACCCGCCGCAGCCATACAGTACTGCACAGTGTGCCTAGGGCCGCCCCCACCAGTACTAGCCGCCCCCACCAGTACTAGCCGCCCCCACCAGTACTAGCCGCCCACTGGTCCCGCCCCTTCGCTTTTCAAGTTCTCACGATGGGAGCAGGGGCAGCAGATGGCCAATACTGCTTAGGGCCTAGGAGCACTGCACAATACCACACTGCTGAGGATACTTGCGCGAATCAGAAATACAAATACAAATACCAAATACAATGGAGCGACACGTACCAGCTAGAATTCCATGGAAATAAAAAGGAACAAACCTGAACCAAATCGCTTCCCAATCTTTCTTTCTTTCACTGTGCGTTTGTAAAAGTCCTGCCCTGTCTATTTTCCATCATGGCGACTGGTTTTGGCACACAAGACTGCGAAATTGTAAATTCCCGAAGAGCTGGTGTTTGACGCAGTGTTTGGTTTCAATGTGTTTTCTGATTTCGTCACGGAGGAAGAGGTGAAAGAAATTGTTGAGTGTAACATGACGGAGACTGCCGTGCAAGTAAAAATACGATGTAGTAACTGTAAACATGTCATGTACTAACGTTGTTGTTACCGATGTGCATGTACTGTGCCTACCTGTGTGATATCCAGGGTGCCCACCAACACGAAACATGCAACGAAAAACTGGATATCCCTGTTCAACTTGTGGTTGATCAAGTCGAATAAAACATGTCATCTGCCTGCGGCTTCAGCAGCCGACATTGCTAACACGCTGGAGTTTGCATATGCAGAGATAGGGCAGCAGGATGGTAAGGCGTACTCCCAGAGCAGCCTTCAATGCTTCAGAAGCGCTCTGCACCGAGAGCTCGGCAAGCTTGACCGCACTACCAATCTTTACAAGGACCGTGAGTTTCGAAAGGTAAATGAGATCTTGGACGGCGTGATTAAAATGCAGAAGAGGACTGGCCAGGCGTCCCCCGTCCAGCACAAGCAGTCTATCACGGATGCAGACATGAAAAAGGTATGTATATGTATGTGGTGTTTAGCCAATGTACAATACAGCTATCTTGATACTCTACGGACAATGTACATGTAGTTTTTTTGGGGGAATTCTGAAGTTTGGCTTGGTTTCAAAAGTGTTTACATAGATGGAGCTGTCATGATACTTTGAAGACCTTGCTTCTATAAAGGTTTCACTGAAAATACTGTTTGCTTTCATGTCTCTGTTTTGTGTAGGTAGACAGCTATTTTGAACAACCCGGCAGCAACCCTATCAAACTTCGGGAGTATGTCTGGTTTTGGATCACCCTGCACTTTTGCTTGCGCGGTTGTGAGGTGCAAGCTATTATCACTTCAACCGACCTTGAAGTCAAGAAAGACGACCAGGGATCCGAGTACAACACGCTCAAGATGTCGTATGTCTCTAAGAACAACCAAGGTGGAGTAAACTCGGCAAGCAGCGAGTCAGATGGTCGAATGATCAATGCCACTCAAGCCAATGCCATCAAACTGCTCATTTCAAAACTGCCATCGTCCTGCCCCCGTCTTTGCCAGCAGCCACTTAAAAACCCCTCTGCAGAGACATGGTATAACGGCAAGCCCCTGGGCAAAACTAAGGAAAGTGAATTCATGAAAACCATCTCCCTCAAAGCTTCCCTTTCTCAGACATACACCAACCATTGTGTCAGAGCCACTTGCATCACCAACCTTCCCCGTCAATCTGTTCCTGATCATGTCATTGCCAGAACATCTAAACACCAGAAGGTACAGTCGTTGCAGTCCTACCATCAGCCTACCGAAAGCGACAAGCTTGCCACCGCTCATCTCTTGGACAGTGCTCCAAAGACTTCATCTTCCACTGTCACAACTACACCTGTCACCTCGAAGCCAAGACCGGCACACTGCTATGCCACAGCTGAAGAAATCGACGAGTGGATCTCAAGTTCGGCAGCAGAAGACATCCAAGCACTGGAAAGACCGCAACCGAACATTGCTGCACCGGTACACTTAGAAGGCAACTTCCAGGTTGCGACGGACATTGTTATCAATCTTGCTTCGCACAAGTAGAAAGTAACCGTTTCCGTTACGCTGTTCAGCCTTGTGTTGTGATTTACGATTGCAATGAACATGATGAAGCCTTGTGTATGGTCGGCGTGAGATTTGGGTGTGGATTCGTGGTAAATCAAAGACGCATTGGACAACTCTTGCTGCACGTGTCAAAATGTAGAAGGTCATGAGGATGGTGCAAAGACTCTCCGCATCGTACTTCGACATGAAAATGCGTAGATGTACCGGCAATGTAAATGTGCTGTTAACATGGTCAACTCATGTGTTCCAAATGTGACAAGGTCATGAGTGCCTTACGAGGACATGAAAATGCGTAGATGTACCTAAGATAAGTAGGACATTGACCCGCGTACTCGGGTGTTACCGTACCCTCGTATCATCCCTCCTCCTTCGCAGTCGGGGTGATATTCAAATTGTTTGTACTTATTTATAGATCACTAGATAAGATGTGTAGCCCGCTGTTAACAGGCTGCTTTGTGACTAGAGTCAATGCCACACACATAGCGTCATGCACCCGCTCGCAGGTTACTCTGTCTTTTGCTCTTCCCCGGCTAATAACCGCTATGGCTTGTACGCATTGAGCTTCTTAGGTGCAGATTGCTGGAATTCACTCCCTGCTTCTGTTCGTATTTGCTCCATGCTATCAGACTTCCGCTCATCCATACATAAACGTATAGGGTACCCCGTAAGAAGGCCTTGGGCCTGTGGGTATGCCCTATTCAAAATTTAATAAATAATAATAAGGCCAAAACAAATAATGACCTTGTTTCGGGTCGGCCGACCGGGCCATTTTTTCCCAAATTCCGAAACTTTTTTGGTCCCAAATATATATACGAACGGTGCCAATGCCATGTGTGCTATTGCACTCAATGAGCCATAAGTAATTAACTCAGTCAGATCTTAACCGAATTCAACAATTGAAATACCGACGAGGTAGCAGAGATTCTAAGCTGCCGGCTCGAAAAACTCCGGGGTTGATACGAGCTAGTATCACGGAGCTGGAAGCACTCGAACTTTTTGCTTGATTTCTCAGGATGTAGGACGACAGGAATACACCACATGCTGTACAAGAACAGTGAGTCAGTCAACTTTGACATTGATCCTTGCCATGATACATGTACAATGTACATGTGTAGGTGCTCTGGTCCACCACAACGATTGAGGAACCAAAAAAAGTATCCAAAAAAATTTCTTTCTGGCCGACCGAGTCTCCTTTTTGAGGGGTTGCCGACCCGAAACAAACCTATTTTTGTTTTGCCTTGTAATAATATTCGGGAGGTAACACCCTCGTACTTGGGTAATATCCTATACTTATTGACCTGACAGCTACAGTCGTCCCTCTCTAATCCGGCACTTGTTTATCCAGCACCCTTGGAAACCAGCAAACTTTCTGGCAAAACGGATTTTTTCAGTTCCTTTTCTACACTTTAATCCGGCACTTGAATTCCGCCTCCAGCAGCGATTTTCTGCTACAAATCACTCAAACTGTACATGATTCGATTTTCTAATCCAGCAGTTGTACATCGCATGCTGTCAAGGAGGATTGTAACATACACAACACATGTAACAGACACTTGGGAATATCCTATGCTAGTGCATAGAATATTCCCAAGTGTATGTTATAGACATGCATTCCACAAAGTACTTGGATTGACACAGAAAATCGCTACGTTTTGACGTACGACACAAACATGTATGATAATAGGTGGGCCGGGTTGGAGGGCATGATTTGATAATCCAGCACCCTTGTTTATCCAGCAGAAAATGACGTTGCAAAAGGTGCCGGATTAGAGAGGGACGACTGTATCATAATTATCAACCTAACAGCTATCAATATATTCCAAAACGAAACTCTCCTTGACCCACCCACCCATACACGAAACTTTTTTGTTTCGTGTAGAAATTGATAATTATGGACGGCTCCTTAGGATTCGTTGAATCGATCATGCCCCTGAACTGGCTTTTTACTCTGAGCGGACACGTGAATGTCAAATTGAGGTGCTTGGTCAATTTAGGTTCTAAAAAAAACCCAAAATTGCTGGTTCAATGTTGTATTTTCAACAACATTCTCGGTACCTCTCAGACAAGAGAATTCCAGCTCTTACCGGCCTTGTATGGCATCTAAGGCAGACTTAAACGCGGCAGAGCCCTCGGTCGTGTAATTGGAGAGAATCACATTCTGAAATGGGCACAAACAAAAGCAGCCAAGGTCAACAACACCTTCGCATAGCTGCATGTACAACATTAATTTGACTCCTAGAACTTTCCCCTTTTATTAATCAGCGCAAAGGGCATACAAGTACTAGTCACTGTGTTCCAGATATCAAGATTATTTTTCCTCCATTAGCCGATATGGGGCCATTGGCAAATACCGATATTTTCTCAAAATGAAATTTGAATTTTCATCTCGTATCCCCTTCCCTAACAGAAACACGTGTCTTCTGGCCATTGCACGGATGCTTTTCTAGAGCTTTCCAGAGCACATCATAATTATATTTGAGCCAGAGCATGCTAAAGCACGACCACATCATTTGTGGAAAAATTCGAGAAAACCGTGATTTGAATTCCGCTGAAAAAAACCGAAGTGGAGTGCTGTTCTCGTTCGCCATACCATGGTCGACCGGACTGTTCTGATTCCAGATCTTTGTTGGAAGTAAGTTTGTTTGAGTTTGTAGTCCATGTTGCGCTGAGTCGCCTATAATGGATCGTCATCAGATGGATCGAAGGAAGAGCCCTCGCGCTCCATGCGCAGGATGACTTTATAGATTTGCGTCGGAAACAGAATCAGACAATGATGGCTATAGCGCCGAGTCATGTGAGGACAACACTTTCACCGAGCGTAAAATATGCTGGCAGTCCCACAGACTGCAGTGATTAGGTGTTCTACTCTGACGCTGGCCTGGCAGTGATCGGTGTCAACACTGACTTGCGAGGCGAGTCGGCTGATCATTTGGCCAGAGTGCACATCGCTACACATATCCAGGACAATGCCAGCATTGGTTGCGAGTGCAAAAACAATATCGGGGCTCTGCTGCTCCCTCAAATCAACGATCCGAGTGCCCATATGCGGAACATCGCCAACATGAGCAGTAGGCAGCGAAAGCAGTACATCCTAGGCTCGCTGGCAAGTGGAGCAAGCCGTGTGCAGCTGGGCACTGGCGCCCGGACTATGAGCGTAACATATGGTGTGCTGGGGAAGATTGTGTGCCGCAGTGGATATCTGGAAGTACAGGTGGATAGTGATTGAGAGGAAGTCAAGTGCCAATTTCTTCAGACGTCTGCAAGTGTTGACCGCGTTTTCGCTGGCGGTTCTCCGGTGATGCTCCAACCAGGAGGTATTTCAGACACCCAGCTCAGCTACATATAGACAGATGTGGCCAAGTACCTGCCAGCTGATGCTACAAGACGCTGGGCAGAGTAAATGACCCGGAAAGGATGTATCAAGGGACATAATACTGTATACAGAAACGGGTGTTCTTCCTGCAACGGTCGCAAGTCGCACGTCGGGTCGCAAAAAGCAGTACTGCGATTGGGCCTCAATGTGGAAACAACTGCGATGGAGTGTGCAAGTTTTTTGAAACCCTTTTCAGCTCCCTCAGACCAAGGAGCCGCCTGTGGTTACCGGTTGTTTTTCTTTTTCAAAACGGTCCCACGATGATGGGTAATACGTGCTAACTACTTTCTGCTCGAATTGGAACAGCCAAGGTAGATACTAGTATTCCGAGGGTGCAATGCATCTGACAACATGTACAGCACTGTATGGTGAGTCAGTTGCTAGAGAGGGTCCGTATAACGTAACTACATTTGTAAAAAACGTAGTCGATCTACGGAACGTTTTACGTACACTGCATGTGGATCTGTGTTCCGCCATACGGAGTTTTCAAACCATGTAGCTGCCCTTGGCAACTCGGAACGCGGCAGTGTAGAGCCGGATCGACCTGAGGAGACAGCCATACATTAGTACCCCAATCCACTTACAGAGCACCTACGTTATCAGAGCCCTATCTACGTACTGTACGTACACAATTTTCCGTAAGTCGAAACTCGCGAATTCAGGGGTTTTTTCCAGCCCACTGACGTAAAGTTACTCAACTTCACGTAGTGCGGTACCTCTCTACTACTTCCAACTCTTCGGTATAATCATTTTAATCCTAAATAAAAGTACAGGCCCCATTCTATACTTTCCCCGTCTGCTGCTACTTCAAGTGTTGATATTATACTGTTAACACACTAGAATAGTAAGTCTACAATGTCAATTTTTAACAAGACAGCAGTAAACAAGATGTTACCACTCCTAAGCCAAAGCCGCGTTCGGACTGGACCATCTTCAGGCGCAATTTTGGTGCGAGTGGCTTGTGATATTTGCGCGGTAAATTCTATAACAGGTGTTTGTCAATGTAATCAATAGGGTCAGGACTGTATTTCAATTTAGACAACTGATTCTTACTTTATACTTCTCTCGAAGTTGGTCAAATCCCAGCTGGGATGCCATAATCGGGAGACCGAGTACGCCACACAGGAAAATACAAATCCAGGACTATTGTAACACTACACCCAAGAAAGAGGTAGAAAATAACAAGCCAAGCCTACATTGAATTATTTAGGAAAGGTACTGTACGTATTGTGTTTTCACAATTCAAAGCAGAATACTATGCGAACATCCAGCATTTTTCGACACTGGTTACAAAAAATTCTGATATTTTTTCAATCACGTGGTCGTGTCGCCGTTGAGGCCGGCTCGACCTTCGAGATCCAAACAGAAAAGTCAAAACAAACTAACTTTTCAAAACTAAAAATTGAGCTGGTCACTGAGATGAGCTCAGCTAGCCTCAGATCATCAGCTGAGCTGAACAGAAAAGAAAAGAAAACATTTCTGCAACATAGGTTCGAAACGGACGAGCTATCGTTTGTAGATGTTCTGAAGGCACGATTATGAGCAGTATCTTAGCATCTGTTGTTGGAAGGCAGGTAGTGAGACACACCCGTAAGATCCATTCTCTCGCTCCGAGAGTCCAGGCATCGCTCAGACCTTCCAGTGCCACGTTCTGCTTTTCTCGCCTTGCGAACACAATGGCCTTTGCGAAATTCGAGGTCGTTCCTGACGTAATTCCTGAGGCTCCTCCGGCCATCGCCACCGTGAAGTATGCTGAAGCCGATGCACAGGAGGGTAACATTTTGACCCCCACTCTCGTGCAGAATGCCCCCGCGGTAACGTGGCAGGACGAGCCTGGAAAGCTGTACACAGTGGCAATGGTGGACCCAGACGCCCCAAGCAGGGCTGAACCGACGTACCGTGAGTGGCGACACTGGCTTGTCTTCAATGTGCCCGGCTCTGGCAAGGTGGGGGAAGGCCAGTCTCTGTTCGGTTATATCGGTGCTGGTCCGCCTCCAGACACAGGACTTCACCGTTACGTTTTCTTGATTTATGAGCAACCAAGCACCATCTCACCAGCTGATCCCAAGGTCACCCCTACGTCAACCAAGAACCGACCGAAAAGCTGCATCACAAAGTTTGTTAGCGAACATAATTTGAAACTGGTTGCTGGCAACTTCTTCCAAGCAGAGTGGGATGACTATGTGCCGACTCTCTACTCTAAACTTGTGGACTAACCGATGTGCCCTCTTCGGTCAGACATACACGACGTACACGAGAAGTAATGCTGCGGCACTCTTTGCACTGCGTGATTGCTGCAGTCAGTGACCAGCGTAGCGTTATTTCTTCTCCTTGCAACATCTATTAGATCATTATAGCTTGCCAGTTGGCGTTTGTAGTGGATGTACAGTTTTACTCTCCTTTTTTTTTACTACATGTAGCAATGTACATGTACATGTAGTACCGGTATGTAGTGCCACAGCCTAGCACAGGTGGCATCACATACTGCCCAGTGGCGTAGCATCAATAACGATATGCACAGCTTTGCCTTTGCCACTGCTGAGAGATGGGCCTGTCCGCGTCAAACTGGAGAAAAGGAGAGAGAGGGGAGAGAGAGAGAGAGAGAGAGAGAGAGAGAGAGAGAGAGAGAGAGAGAGAGAGAGAGAGAGTGTGTGTGTGTGTTTGTGTGTGTTAAATCCCAGCACAAGTTGCTATGTCTAACATAGCTGTTCGCTATCATCGCTTCCGCGATAGCCATGTCTGAGGTCGTAGGTGTGTTAAAATTACTGTCAATGACTATGTACCATGTGCAGGGGAAGCAATCATCATGGACATGGGCAAGGGGACACGTGGAGCATTCCACTGCCAGTGTCTGTAGCTGGCCATGGAGGAAAAGTCAAAGAGGTCGATCAAAACGGTTAAACCAGGGTCCCGGAGCTGTATACACTAGGGAGTATTTTACTGCTCCCTGCCTGCCTGGACTACTTCTTCGACAAAACCAAAGAAGTGGCACTGGCAGCAGAAGAAGAAGATCTGTCCCTGCGGGAATTTGCGGAAAAATCTCTCGAAAACTTGCGCAAGAAATTGCGGCAGAAAGTAACAAAAAATGCGACGAAAAGTGCGGAATGATGCAGAACTTGCCAGGAATTCGCGGAATTATTTCCAGAAATTGCGGATTTGGGCCAAATCACGAAATTATTTGCATCGTATATCTACTCGGGAGTCGTACTGTGCAAATAACCTACAGGATCATGGAAAGAACTGCGTGAAAAGTGCATAAAAATGTGACATATAGTGCAGAAAACAACAAAAAAAGTGGGAAATCGCGGATTTTGCTGAAAATCGCGGGTTTGGACCAAAATCGCGAAATTTGTTGGATCCGTGGAATCGCGATTTCCTGGAGGGACAGGAAGATGACTTCTGTAGTGTAGATCGATATCTGCGATCTACTGGACGCGACACGTGACCGATATGCATTCGCAACATCCAGCATCTGTGCCCAGAATTCTCCACCACCATCGTCAATACGTACCGGTCCCCATCCCGGCTGTTCGTCGGTGGCGAGACCATTCTCTCCTGTGAAGGAACTACACAAGGCGATCCGCTCGCAATGGCAATGTATGCGTTGGGCACCGTGCCTCTCATCCGTCGTGCTGCCTCTAGCAAAGCCGTACAAGCGTGGTTCGCAGATGATTCCACAGCAGCAAGCACTCTCACCAGGCTTCATAAGTGGTGGTCCATCCTGGAAGAAGAAGGTCCATCCTATGGATACTACATCAACGCCAAAAAGTCGATACTTTTGGTGAAGCCCGAGTGCTTAGATCGAGCCAGGGAAATCTTCCAGGACTCCAGCATAGACATCCGGTCGGATGGGTGTCGCCACCTAGGTGCCGTCCTCGGATCACCAACATTCTGTTCGGCATATGTGTCAGGCAAGGTGGATGAGTGGTGTCGCGAAGTGGATGTTCTGGCTGAGTTCGCCCGCACCCAACCACAAGCGGCATTTGCTGCCTTCGGCCAGGGAGTTCGCCATCAGTGGTCCTTTGTCGCCCGGACAGTGCCAAATACGGCCGACCTGCTCGCACCCTTGGAGGAAAGAATCCGTACCAAATTCATCCCTGCCATCATCAACCGCGTCCCGCCAGGAGACATCGAGCGTGCCATGCTGGCCCTACCGTGCAGGGACGGAGGGCTGGGGATCGTCAACCCATCCTCCCTTGCCTCCCAGTTCCAGGACTCTATGCATATTACATTGTACCAAGTCTCTCGTGCAGAAGATCCTCCAGCAAGATCAGTCAGCAGAAGGCGTCCCAGCTGCCACCATCACAGCGAAGGCAGAGATTGTTTCCCAGTCCCGGCGCCTGGCGAAGGAAGCGGTTGCCTCGGTCATTGCCACCTCCACCAGCACCACAGAGCGCACCCTGAATCTTGCTGCTGAAAAGGGCGCCTCCAGCTGGTTGACCTGTCGGCCCCTTCATCAGTATGGTTTCAACCTACACAAGCAGGCGTTCTGGGACGCTCTCTGCCTACGGTATGGTACATGGTTGGACCCCTCCAGGCCTGCCAACAGAATGTGTGTGCGGCAAAGCGTTTTCACCGGAACACGCGCTGTCTTGCCCAACTGGTGGCTACCCCGCCATGCGGCATAATGACCTTCGGGATCTCACCGCATCTCTCCTGCGTGAAGTGGCCCATGATGTCCAGGTCGAGCCACATCTCCAGCCGCTAACCGGTGAGACCTTCCGTCACCGCTCCGCCATCTCCGAGGACGGTGCCCGCCTGGATGTGGCCGCATCGGGTGTCTGGGGTGGACGTTTCGAACGGGCACTACTGGACATCCGGGTATGCAACCCGCACGCCCGCTCCAACCGCCAACAGTCCATCACAGCCACCTACCGGAAGCATGAGGCCGAGAAAAGGCGCGCGTACGAAGAACGCGTCCGGGAAGTTGAACACGCGTCTTTTTCTCCCATTGTGTTCAGCGCTTCCGGCGGCTACGGCAAGTCCGCCTCCGCTTTTTTCAAGCGTGTCGCCTCTATGCTCGCCGACAAGAGAAAGGAGCCCTTCTCCTCACTTCTTGCCTTTATTAGGTCAAGGGTTTCCTTTTCTCTTGTTCGTGCCTCCAATGCCAGCCTCCGTGGTCACCGCAGGCCACGGTCTCAAGATGCCCGCCAGAGAGTCATTGACTCTGATGCTTCTGTGGTCCTTGCTGCTGCAGAGTGCTTTCGGTAACTATCCGTGGTGCGTTTGGCTACTGTTCTGCTTCAGTACCCCCCCCCCCCCCCCCCCACTTTTTCATGATTTTGCATGTTATCGTTTTCTCGGATTCCGGTTTTCCACTCTGTTATGTTCGAATCCATGCATAGTCTGGTTAGTTTGTACACGATTTGTACGCAACTTCTCATTGTTTTTTTTTTGTTTTTGTTTTTTTTACCAGGCGTGGGCCATCCCCTGATCATAGGTGCCAAAGACACGTGACCGATATGGTATGACTCATGATCTTGATGCTACCGTACTTTTGCAGCGTAGTCTACCTAGTACCTGGTCTACTAGCGTTTGTTGTTTGCTTCAAAAATCAAACTGTCCAAGTAAAATTTAGGGCTGCAAAGCCAAAATAGCTTTCTCCATCATTACTAGTATCCCACATTCATTGTAAAGAAAGCCCTACGATGATAGGCGTGCTACTCGTACTGGCTACGGGTTGTATTGCCTCTGCCAGAGTGCAAGGCAGCGCCAGCCCTAAGTTGGACGTAGACTGGAAGTCTTTCCTTGCTCGCTCTGACCCTGTGTGGAAATGGACCAGCTCTTCGTACCAGCCAGTCAAATGGTATCACAGTGGGTTCGTGGGCAATGGTGAGCAGGGAATGATGGTGCGGGTGGATGACCAGGCTCCAAACAACAAGTAAGCTAGCTGTCACCGACTTACAGCACACACTCACGGTGACTGACATGCACACTATGTACAAGTAGTAGATGTATTCCGTATACTATATGAATAATAAAACAAAAACATTGTATGATCTGAATCCACGCCTGACAAAAGGTCAAAAGGTCACCCATGAGACAACTCCACGCTATGAATTCAGAGCAATTTGCTTTTTTGTGTAGAATGTTAGGAACGAAATATCGCCACGAAAATCCCTTCGTCTACAAGAGAGTTCCACGTCCAAGAACGTTGTTTCCAAGGGGTTAGCCTGGTACGTTCTTATTTTTCAGCAATCTGGCTGCGTTCTCGTAGCACGTTCTTAGAAGTAACTTGTTCTGGATCATATGTACGAATATCCCAAAAGCTGCCAGAAAACCAACACCACCATTCTTAACTTAAGGCTGTGGCGTTCTTAGCATTTCAGGCTGGGTGTTCTTGGGCTCCACGTTCTTCGGCGCGCACCTCTACTGTACTTGCGGTAAACCGGGCACTTTTAATTAACACTAGTAAGTTGGTCATTCGTGAAAAGCTGCACACTGTTGCAATCAAGATATCACACTCTTTTGGTACATGTATAGAGTAACTGTAAGTCATGCACTCGCGATAAGTCTCAAGGTTTCCTCCCCAGGACTGAGTGTGCGACTGATCGACAATATGTTGCGCTGTTCAAGCAGAAAGCGAGGGAGTTGGAGGAAGAGGAGAGAGAACAGGAGAGGGCAACGGTCTGTTTTTTTGCGGGAAGACTACCGTGCAGACTTCCAACGATAGACCAGAATAAACGCCCTGCGGGCTTCCCAAATGATGTCTGAAAGCATATATTATGTATGTGTGTGTTTGTGTGTGCGTGTGCGCGCGCGTGTGTGCGGGCGGGTGGGTGTGGGCGGATGTTTCAACACTGCCAGTGCAATAGAGACACCTGATAAGTGACAACAGTATCTTTCATTTACCTTGTGACGATACGCACACGTATAGATAGCCAGATATGTCTTTGGTTACGACAATCTTGCTTACCCACGGTGTTCGATCATCGACAGGTTGAATGACCAGCTTCACAATGTGATTCATTTCTTCATTGAGCTTAGGTCTGACACCAAAAGGTTCTCTACTTATTGAAGGCAGAAAAGGGATTTTTCTGGCAGTAAGTTAGCAACCCCAAAACTCTCTTCAGACAATACAAGACATGCATTAGTAATTTCATACACATCCAGACCAATGCAGAATAGACAAAAATCGCAACATATGTCATGGAATTATTATTATTATTATTATTATTATGCACTTACGCGTCAATGTCAGCGGTGGTAAACCGCCCACAAATTCGCACGTGCTGAATGGACTTGGGAATTGGGAAATGAAAAAATAAAAATAAAAAGAGCAACGACAACAGAAATAGAAATACAATACAAGACGTACCTGCTAAGGGGCACATGACAGCATTGCTCAGATTGAACAGAGGACGCAGACACAGGATAAAGGGCATTGTCGACTCCGTTTTGAGAATAATCCAGTAAAATGGTGGCAGGTGGATGCAGATCCACGCACTACGTTAAGAGAGGAATTTTGTTGGTATTTAAAAAAGATGTTAATTATTATTACCGCAGCAGTTATGAAAAGCAGTACTGTGGTATTTCGGAGCAATATTATTTGGTTTTAGTCGTGGACGCCACTATTGGACTTGCAGACGTCCTTGCAAAGGTCCTTCCACTCCCCTCTGCCCTGTGCAATCTCCCGGAGGGAGAGGAGATCAGACAACGTCTTGAGTCCCCTCCGCCCCACTCTCTGCAGGTCACGGGATAGCACGATAGGCAGAGTCGTTCTTGGCCGTCCCCTCCACACTGTTTCCTTCACCTGGTAATAGTTAATCATAGCCGCCACAGCAGGACATCCGTCAGGCATGCGCAGTATATGGCCAAAGAGTCTCCATCTGGCTAGGCGAACAAAGTTAGATATCGGTTGTGCTTTGCACCTCTTGTAGAGAGCAGCATTGCTTATTGTTTGTGGCCACCTAATACCGATGAGACTACGCAACTGCCTGCGGTGAAACGAATCCAGTTGGGCCATGGAAACATTAGATAAAATTTTGAAATCAAATACCCCCCCCCCCCTCCCTCCAAACCTCTCTATGTTTCTCTCTCTCTCACTCTCTCTCTCTCTCTCTCTCTCTCTCTCTCTCTCTCTCTCTCTCTCTCTCTCTCTCTCTCTCTCTCTCTCTCTCTCTCTCTCTCTCTCTCTTCTCTCACTCTCTCCACGGCACTTGACCGAAATTGATGGCCCGTTTCTCATTCTGTTTTGGACGTGCTTGCATGCATGCGTGTGTCTGTTCGTATCTGTACATGTGCCCCTTGCACACAGGCTGCTCTTTGTAGTGTCGAGCTCGGCAGTGTGGGATGACCGCATGCCGGGTAGCAAGTATGCCCTGGGTAATTTTGTCTTGGACCGGCCTCGCTTACCCGTTGGCCAGTTTTCGCTGAGTACAGTCGGCACCATCACGGCTGGCTCCATGAGACTGGATCTGTACAATGGTGAAGTCATTGGAAACGTGACTACCACCAAGGGTGAGTGTGTGGGTGGGGAGCGGAGTGACCACTAGGGTAACTACTAGGGTTATTAACTTATTGTGATTGTTTGCCGCAGTACTGTACCCTGTGTGCCACAATAACTCTGTGTGGTGTACAGTCATGTATGCTCATTGGAGGACGGTCTACTGTAGTTGTGTGTTATGCTTCCTGTGCCACTGCTGGATGCTTGCTTATACTCAGAGGTGTTTTTCAGAGGTGTTCCGTTCCGCCTGCTTGATGGCGAGTGCATGCGTACGAGTATGGTCCCTGATGCCGCTACAAGCATTCAACAAGCAACTTACAGAAATAATACTACCCTGGCGTTGTATATTTGTGTGTTCCGTACTTGTGTCAGAGTCCTTCCTTCTCCAGTCTTCTCTCCAGGCACACGTTGTCACCACTGATCACTGTTGCTCGTGTGTGCATTTTACAATTGTGTAACCTTCAGGGTCCGTGTCGTTCACCGTGTTTGCCAACTCTGTGTACGACAAGGCGGACGTGATGGCAATCCAGGCTGTGCTGAGTGGTGGCGAGGCAAGCCGAACAAACGCTGCCGTCTTTGAGTTCACACCAAAGGCGGCCGACAGCACATGGGGCGGGCGCAACAAGCAATACGTGCCCAACCCGGCCGCTGTCATGACGCATGTAAACCAGTGCAGTGTCAGCCTGCAGAAGCACTTGAGTGGCGCAGCGCATGCCACTGGATTCCAAGAGGTACTAGTAGCAGTGGAACTCTCCTATCCCTGCATTTTGCTGTTGTTAATCAGGCTTTCTGCGTGTGTGCGTGTGTATGCGTGTTTTGTTGCGTGGCTGTATCCAGGACCAGACAACGGGCACGTCCACCCTGACAGTGACGGTGATGATGTCAATAACACACGTCATTCCGACAGATGCTGCCGCCGCTGCTTGCAAGCAGGTAGGCAATGCGAGATCGGCTGGGTTTGCAGCTGTGCGCCAGATGAACTCTGCGTGGTGGAATGCTTACTACCCGGCGTCGTTTGTCAGCTTCTCTGATACCATCATGGAAGGATTCTACTGGGTGCAGGTTAGTACTTCAGTAACCCTTGGGGGGGGGGGGGGGGGGCTCTTAGAAGGTGACCACTTATACCCGATGACCATCAGAACTGGTACCGAATAGCTCCATTTCCCGTAATTTGGATCCTGTAAAAGGGATCACCTGTGCACGAGGACCACATATTTTCTTTGGGAGTCCATTGTGCCTTGCATGGTCAGCTTAGACAGGTTGCTGTTTGTTGTACTACAAGTCTGAGAGCAGTGTCCTCTTGCCAACGCCACGACATCACCCAGCACTGCTTACTAGGCACCCAGCGAGCTTCACCGTCGTCGACACTTAGCACGACGTCATCGCCATCCTGTGACACAGAAACATGACGCGACAGCTTGGACGATGTGTCAGCAATAGCAGCATCAGGTGAGGTGACCGGACCAGCGACTGCAGCAGCAGCAGTAGCAGGCAGTTGCTCGCTGGAAACTACTTCGAAGTACGCGACTCGTGCTGCCGTCTTTGTCATATGACACGCTGACGCCACCGCACCTTCCAACAAGGTTGTTGCCTAGCAACACATCGGCAGCCACCACCGATAAATTTGGGACTACAAGCACATCTAGACATGTGCGGGGTATGCGCACCGGTCCATTATCGCGGTGGAACTGCAGCTGCGCCGAGCCCAGCACATTAAGGGGCTTACCGTCCAACGCGAGGATAGTCGACTCGCTGTCGGCGCGAGCAGAGCACGAGAAATAAGTGTGCGAGTGGAACCAGTGTCCACGATGGCTCGATAGTGGCTTCCGCCCGGAGACGAAACATCGGCATATATGCGGAGTAGCCCGCCGCTGGTATGTTTCTGCAGGCAGAGCACCTTGTCTGCACCGCCCACAGATGCCGCTGAACCTCCAGCCACTGCTTCCACTGGAAGCAGTCTTTTTTCAAGTGCCCGGTCTTATCGCAGAACACACACTGAAGTGTTCCTCAGCCGGCAGTCCGCTTCGGGCAGTTCCAGCGAATGTGCCCGGGCTTGTTACAGAAGTAGCACAGTGTCTTGGCCTTGGGAGCTTGTCCACTGGCTGCTGCTGCCATCCCCGCATCAGGCCGGGATGAATCCACAACGGCCAGGGCACGAATCTTGCACACAATGTCCGGTACCGAGAACTTGACGCCAGCGCACGAGAGGCGAATCTGCCGCTCCTAGTGAACCGGTAGCCCTGCCAGCAGCTGTTCAATAATGACGGCATTGTCATCTCCATCGCCGGAGTGGCCGGCGGCTGACAACAGGCGGCGCAGGTCCGCAACATATGCCTCAGGCGTCTCATCTGGCCGGTACCGCTGGTCACTAAATTGTCGATACGCATCTCCTGGTGACACCCTGAATGTCTTTTTTCATGACATCCACCACCTTGGCGTTGTCTTTCTGGTCAGCTGACGGCATATTAGAGTAGACTAACAGAGCATCTGACTCTAAAAACAGGGGCAGCCTGGTCATCAGCTTGTCCTCGGTGTCCCAACCGGAGCATTTGCCAATTACGTTAAACTTAACCCAGAATATGCCCCAATCGTCGTGTTTACCCTTGTAAGGCTTAAAACAAATCCGTCAACCTTCAACGTCAACATTACTACACACTAACACAGCCCTACAGGCTACAAACACTTTAATACAGAATGAAAAAACTGAAAAGCGAAGAAACAGCCCTGAACGGCTCAACCTCAAGCTAAGGTTTCGGGACCAACTATGCTATCTGTGCATGCAAACTTATCGGTTTGGACCTGTGTCATGTCCTGGTATTACTGTAAATCGAGAAACTTCTGCGCTGGTTTTAGTTTGCGATTTGCAATCACAGACCATTTAATGTTACGCCTTGAAAATTGAAATGTTTACGATTGGAGACGAATTCATTGGGGATTTGGGGGATTGTATTTCATTAGCAGTAGTACTGGTTATGTGTGCTGTGCTGTTTTGGTGGCATGACATACGAATGACTGTCACATTGCAGGATGGAGGATGGAGGCCTTGTTCGACCAATTGCTAGTACGTATTTTTCTTTTTGCCACGTCTTTTTCGTTACTGCGTGTTAGATGTACAAATTGGCTTCCGGTACTCGCTCTGACCGTGAGGTGTACGACTTGATGGGTCCCTGGTTCATTGACGGCACTGGCTGGCCAGATCTGCACTGGGATCTCAATGTACAACTCACCTACTATCCTCTCTATGCCGCCAATCGCCTGGATATTGCCGAGTCACTCAAGAAACTGTTGGACAATAATATGCAGGTAACGGGACACTCTATGCGGAGCCCCTGGGGGGCTGTGGACTACTCGATGTCTCTTTTTGTCTCTCTCTCTCTCTCTCTCTCTCTCTCACACACACACACAAACACACACACCTCACACCTCACACATGCTCATCGCGGAAGCGATGATAGCGAACAGCTATGTTAGACATAGCAACTTGTGCTGGGATTACACCATTCAACAGCTTGCAAGGCTGATGAATTGACCGCCACTAATTATTGTTAGCCTGGTATCCACCACACAGCTGATTGAAGTGGCTTTTCCTGGCCAGTGAATCCCTATTTTTCATTTATTATCATTTTATTTTTTATTTTTTACACACACACGCCACACCACATACTCCGGCATACACTCACACACACACACACTCACACACTCACACACTCACACACACACACACACACACACACACACACACACACACACACACACACACACACACACTCACTCACACACACACACACACACTCACTCACACACACACACACACACACACACACACACACACACACATACACACACACACACGCACATTCACTCACACCTTGACCTTGACCTTGATCTTGCCCATTGCGTACGCAATGATAGCGAATGTCGGAAAGTTCAAGTGGGAACACGAGCGCAGAACTTGGCATGTCGTTTCAGGTCTCCTGGTCGACGAAATGCACTCACACACACACACACACACACACACACACACACACACACACACACACACACACACATGCACACATGCATGCGCGCGCACACACACACACACACACACACACACACACACACACTTGTACTTGCTCACTGCCAAAACTGGTCACGTGGGTCTCCCCGGGAGAGGGGAGAGAGACTCAAAAGGAATCTTGGAAAGATGACTCAATTGGCCATTGAACCACCCAACGGCCGACACCCCCTGAAATCCCCAAACTAGGGTGGACTTGAAATGATCCCACTTCTGAGCCCACCACATCTCAGTAAGTGGGTGAGGACAAGGTGCAGAAAGAGGATTGACGGCATCAGGGTATCCGTCCCGGGATCCAACTGCAGGTACCCCTGCCCCCAGTGAAGGTAATAACAGTACTTGGTACTAGTGTGGGTGGCTAAATCAGAGTGGATCTGATATAAGCTTCACTAGCACCATTGATTACACAAGAGTTAATCTAGCCAGAAGCAGTCCATGGTTAACAGGTATGTATACTTCAAATAGAAAGTATATGAACCCTGAAACCAACAAAGGTGGTAGGTACAACAATACACCTTCAAGCAGCCGAGCCCGTTGGCAACAGGCCCAACACTGTCTGGCATAAGTATACCCACCAACCCAACTAGCTGGCACACACACACATACACATACTCACACACACACACACACACACACACACACACACACACACATACACACACACACACACACACACTCACACACGCACACACACACACTCACACACTCACACACACGCACACACACACTCACTCACTCACACACACACACACACACACATACACACACTCACACACGCACGCACACACACGCACACACACTCACACACACGCACACACACATGCACACCTTTGTAGCTATTGGAAACACTATACTGTCGTTGAAGTTGTTTGTGTTCATTTGTCACAGTATATCTTCCAGTTTGTTGAGACTTGTGCAGACGGCTCCCGTCCCTACGCATTTGACTATCTCGTTGCGAAAAGATGTAGAGCTCATTTGAGTGCGAAATCCAGCATTGGTACAGGTAGTTGACTGTTTTGTTCTTCTTTTGTACATCACTGATTATATTTTTGTCTGCAAGGCATTGATCAACAATGTGCCAGAGGAATATCGCAATGACTCAGCTGCCGCGCCAACTGGTGCCTCGTCAGACAAATGTATGGAGACATGCTACTGGGATCACGGTGCGAACTGCACCACGTCATCGTAAGTGTGGTGATAGGCTCTTGCCTTGCCTTGCCTGCAAACCGCTGAACTGCTATCGCCTTGGCCTTTCTGGTCATGCGTCTCACAGTGGTCATTTCGTGGTGTTTTGTCAGGTCATGTGTTCCTGATTTCGTGCTCTTAGTTTTTATCCACAAAAAGTCTTTTTCACATCATGCAGCAAAGTCTGCGCACTGCAGAAAATCCAGCACCACACCTTCCTTATTGGTTCGAAACAACTATCCAGAGCTGAAGTTCATGCACCCAAAATTTAGAGATCACATCTATGCTCGAACGAATCAAGCCAAAATAGGTGTGCTTGTACGAGAGAGATTATGAGTTTGAATGCAAGAGTACAGTAGAGGGTGTGATGCACGCAAGCTACACAGTGAAGGCAGCGCACCGCAGACTGGCCCATAATCAAAGCAGTCGGTTATGGATTCTTGATTTTTATGTTGGAACTTAGAACTCTATCAAAGTTGTGTTTTGCCGCAAGTAGATATAATTCCTTGTTCTGGTGCAATTGCTTGCTTGTGAAGACGCACGCATGGACATTTGATGACAATGTCAATGAAACCCCTTTGATTCTTTTGTCAAGTCTTTGGAAATGGAATAGCTGATACTTGCATTCTTTTGTTTTTATTCCTCACCGGTCCCTATCAGGCCCAGCATTGTTGGCAATCTGATGTGGACACTTCAGCTGTACTTCTACCAATACCGCTACAGTATGGACGAGGGTGTTGCCAAGGACCTGTTCCCCATACTGCGACGTGCTGTCAACTACTACACCAGGATACAAGTAAGTGTACTCTGTGCACAACGTGTGCTGCCGCCTCAGCTAAGAGCCTAAGACCACGCCTTGCGTGTCTGCATGCACACCCACACACCCATGCATATATTGAGGCGATGTGCTGCACACATAATTATTACCTGTACAGTTTAGATGTGCAGCATAACTAAGTTCCTCTACTAGTGCAGCAGTAAATTCCCAGTGCAAGTCAAACCCTGCGCATGGGTGCTAAGTCACTACATGCTTTGAGTGATGCCATTTGCAGTTGGCAGCTGCAAGTGCACTCTCGAGGGAGGATGGCGTAATGGAAAGCAGGAGGCAAGTTTTCCGGTGCGCACATGACAGTTGGGAAGCTGTATGGGCATGCACAGTAGCGTTTGCAACTTTGTGTTCTCCGCCAAAAGCCCTGAAGATTGATGCCATTGGTTTCTAGAGACAGTCTATTGCTATCAACATGGTCGTTCTGTTGAGCCTTGATATTAGAGCACTTGCAACAGGTGCTGATTTCATGTAATGCTATGACTGATCTATGACTGGTCAAGAACACTGATACCTCTACTGTGTATCCATGTGCGTGTAGTGGTAATAAATACTTCGGTAGGTATCTGCTTTAGAATTCACAAAGAGGTTATACAGTAGGTATCGGTTATAGCGTGGGTGTTTGAAAAACATTTGATTCTTATTGCCGATATTTCTTACACACGATAAATCACGTGTGACATTATCATATGCACGTGTGACATACAGATATCATAATAATGCGCGCACGTAACGTCGTTTGGCATGTGGACACGTACAATCATGTAGGTCTACACATGATACACACGGATCAGACTCGCGGTCGTGCTAGGCGACTGCGGAGCAGCAGATACGAGAGAAGTCGGAAGAAAGAGTCCGACTGGACAGAAAAAGTGATTCTCCGATGCTCAGTTGGACATAACTCTCTTTTTGTGTTGAATATTATTGCATTGAGTATGCACAGAGCACAGATGTTATTACTACAGGCGATACACTTTGCACTAATCTGGCATATTTTGCTACACAAAATCCATTCTTAGGGCCGATATATTCTACTATGCGATAATAGTACTGCTTGTAAGAATAAATATACACATAAAATATGATGCAATGAATATAACTAAATGCGCACTCATATCACAACCATGGGGACGAATCATGTATTCCAGAACGTTTTCTTGTCACAATTATCAATGGAATTCGTGACTAAAGAGAATGATGAAACTACAATAGGATTTATACACTTGCAGTGGAACAGCGAGGATACAAGCATTTCTCACCTCACCTATAATTTATTACCTGTGCAAATTGTTCCAAGGTTTGTGCTATTTTTCTTACTATGCTTGTATCCTCGCTGTTCCACTGCAAGTGTATAAATCCTATTGTAGTTTCATCATTCTCTTTAGTCACGAATTCCATTGATAATTGTGACAAGAAAACGTTCTGGAATACATGATTCGTCCCCATGGTTGTGATATGAGTGCGCATTTAGTTATATTCATTGCATTATTAAGATTATTGTCTCCACGTCGCCTTTTTACATAAAACATGTGTTATGATTATGAAAAAATGAGTGTTCATTCTTGTAGGCAGTATATTCTTGTATACGACCACACTATAACCGATACGCACTGTAGTTCATATACTGGCCAAGTTCCACTGAACGTGTCACAAGTCGCCTGATGATTGCACTGAGCAAGAAACTCGGAGTTGCGACAAACCCTACAAACCTCATCTGTGTCTTTTGTGTGCTTTAGAATTTATAGACTTCTGCATTCTTTCCTGCCATAAAAGTAGTGGTCGTTGTGACATGTGCTCTGGCTTGCTTGCTCTTCATCCGGTGTATTTTTTTGTGTGGGTGTTGGTGCTGGCATGTATGTGTGGGTGTATGTATGTGTGGGTGTATGTATGTATGTGTGGGTGTATGTGTGTGTGGGTGTGGGTGTATGTATGTATGGGTGTGGGTGTATGTATGTATGGGTGTGGGTGTATGTATGTGTGGGTGTGGGTGTATGTATGTATGGGTGTGGGTGTATGTATGTGTGGGTGGGTGTATGTATGTGTGGGTGGGTGTATGTGTGGGTGGGTGTATGTATGTGTGGGTGGGTGTATGTATGTATGGGTGTGGGTGTATGTATGTGTGGGTGGGTGTATGTATGTGTGGGTGGGTGTATGTGTGGGTGTATGTGTGGGTGGGTGTATGTGTGGGTGGGTGTTTGCACTGTGCATGTGCTTCACTGCAGTTTCTCCAAGACGGTCACTTCCACTTACCAGTGACGTTCTCTCCTGAGTACCCGGGAAAGCGATCCAACGACACAAACTACGATTTGGCTTTGTACCGCTGGGGACTGCAGGTATAGCATGCTCTGTACTATACTTGCCATTCGGCCCTAATGGGCACCTATTCTACATTGAGAAATATTTGACCGCACCAAACGACCGTAAAAGTCCGTAAATAAGTACCTGCCCGAAAGAAATACCCCCTTCATTCTTTTGGCTCTGTCTGTTGAAGTCAAGTCAAGCCCGATAAACATACTGCCCGAAATAAGTACCGGTACGGTGCGCACATGCAGCACATAGCATGTACATCGACATGAAAATGACTTCTCCACTACACACAAGTCAGGTCCGAAAGTTAGTTCGTGCCCGAAAGTCAGTACCCGCCCGAAAGTTAGTACGGGTGTGGTCACTAAATTCGAAAGTAAATACGTACTTAATTACGGACTTAATTACGGGAGTACTTGGGCCTGGGGAAGTACAGTGTATTTTCAGACATTCCCTTCTAGTTCTTATTTCAAAGTGCACATCCTCTGTTGCATGTATTTCGAAGTATGCATAGCGTACATTATATTTCAGTTCCGTTTAGTTTGGGCCTGCGCTGAATCAGCCGCTTGCAGTGTCCTAGTTTCACCACTGCCCAGGCTATTTCAGGTTTTTTTGCACTGTGCACTCCGTCATTTGAATGGTGCTGACTCTTTGTACCCCGATAGCCTGCTTCATGTGTGTAAGCAATAGCAAATTCAACTCTCTTTGTCACATTTTATTCCCAATCAGACCGTGATCCACTTGACCAAGATTCTGGATATCAATGATCCTAATCTGGACCTGTGGACGAAGTCCTTGAAGCAGCTAGTTAGCTACTCTATGGACGATGAAGGCAACTACGGTATTGCTGCAGGTGTTCCGTTCAACATGTAAGTACTGGCTGGCTGGGTGTGAGAAAGAGAGGGGGGGGGGGAGAGAGAGAGAGAGAGAGAGAGAGAGAGAGAGAGAGAGAGAGAGAGAGAGAGAGAGAGAGAGAGAGAGAGAGAGAGAGAGAGAAAGAGTGAGTGCCTGTCTCTCTCTGTCTGCATGTATGTAGGCATGTACAAAGGTCAAAAAGAATGGTTCCACCAATTATATATATACATGCGTTGTAACGCTGCGTTTCATGCGCGTAGCTAAATGCTAAGGCAATCATCCGACAACTTAGTTGTCTGATGATTGCCTTAGCATTTAGCTACGTGCATGAAACGCAGCGTTACAACGTATGTATATATAATTGGTGGAACCATTCTTTTTGACCTTTGTGGTTACGCTTTGCCCCTGTGGTGTTGAGCACTGTTGAAACCTGGGTATACCCACTTGTATGTAGGTATGTAGGTATGTAGGTACAAATATTACACAGCAATAAATCAAACAAGTCTCACTCCGCTGTTACTCCGAGTTTCGTGTCAGAACACTTCATCAGACAGCATATCACGAAACTCGGAGTAACAGCGGAGTGAGACTTGTTTGATTCATTGCTGTGTAATATTTGTATTCCTTGCTCTGTCCAGTGGACATTGAGCACTGTAAGCAGCCTAGGGACTTTAGACAACTGTCTATGTATGTAGGTATGTAGGTATGTAGGTATGTAAGTATGTAGGTATGTAGGTATGTGTGCACTTTACTACACTTATTCAAGCATGAAATTTCCATGTCTCCCTATTTGTGTCTTCCCTGCTCATCTACTCAGCGGTCATCGACATTTCTCACATCTCTTCATGGTCTGGCCACTTGCTACCATTGACTGGAATAATGCTGTGAGTAGTACAGTCATGTTGTGCTGCTACTGTTGCTGATAGCTTTGTAGCTTTGTGTTGCTATGCCTCACAGCCTGTGTACGCTCTGTTCTCTCCGGTTGCTGTTCGGCTGAGTTTTACATCATGTGTTGACCTCTCTACCTTCAGGTCTTGCTTGCTGTCTGTAGCACCTTTATCTCGGTTCTACCCTTTATGTGGGGTCACCCCTCAACTTTCTCTCGACTCTGGAACGAATGTAGTGCAAATGATAAATCATTATGTTTGCTGCTGCTCGTGTACACACATACGATATCTGCTTGTTTCTTGTCTGTCGCAGTCGTCCGTGGACACTGGACGCCAATCCGTAGACCACTGGCTGACTGTTAGCAAGCACAGCGGCCTGACTGGCTTCTGTCGACCGCCATTTGCCGTCATGTCCATGTTGTTTGATCGGCGAGACAGTGTCTACACTAACGTAAGCCCGTCATTAAGGTGTTCTTTTCTGCTTCTGCTTGGTCTTGACACCTCTGTCCGCAACACAGTATTGCTATAATTATACATGTATCCCGGAAACAAGAATTTTGTGACTTTGATCAACCTGTTGTCTGTTCTGGTGAATCGAGCTCTGAAGAATCGAGCGATGGTGACTCCGAGTGAGACTCGAGCGGTGCCTATTTCTTTTGTATAACTGTGCATGCTTCAAGGAAGTATATCCACTGATTGTCTTGAAGTGCTTTTGTTCCACTGAACCAAGTTGCCTGAGCACAGTGCGAGAACTCCTTAGAACATCAATAAGTTTTTTGTTTTGTTTCCAGAGGCAGTAGACTTATACTTGCATTCAGCAACTGCCTGGACCGCATGCACAGTGTTAGCATGCTACCTGACTGGATGTTACCTGACGGACTTTTGCGTCGTGCGTCAACTCCATGTCTTTCTTTTTAATTGCTTGATCGCTACAAGTGTAGTGCCTGTCTCATTGTCCAGTCAGGGACTTTCTTGATCCGTCCCGTATTTGTTTGTTGCTGCAGCTGACATTCTTGGTCGATAACTACATTCTGCCAAACACATTCTATCACGAGGGTGAGAATGGAGAGTGTGGAGAGACGCCACCGATGGCTGCCAGTGCTTTGCAGGACATGATGCTGTACTACTGGGGAAACGTTGTCCATGTAAGTCCTTGTACTGCGGCTGTGTGCTGTGCATGCGGCATGCTTGAGAGCAACTCGTGTCCGTGCATTGTACATTTTCTCTGGCTGTGTTTTGTGTGTTCCTGTTGTAGTCTTGCAATAATGCTGTGCAGTCTTACTTGAAGTATTTCCAATAAGCTGTATAAATTGACATTGTTGTGCTTAATCACACTATTACCTTGCACTGGTTTGAGAAGTAATGGTACGAAAGGCCTCATCAGGTTCACAACTGGCTGCGTATCTTCCTGTGCCAGTATGTTTCTCTCCGACTAAATCCCTATGCAGTCTTATTTCATTCTGTTCCGTTTTATTCTGCATCAGGCCAACTGCACATTGGTACCTTCTTTGACATGTGATACTTATCAGTATGCCCAGAAACTCTATACTTTTTCTTCTTCTGAGTGATGAGGACTCGTCTGTATCCCCGTCTTTTCTCTTTTTCGCGTTTAATATCTATCCATGCAACTTCTCGTGTCTGCGGGTAGCAGCTGTTTCGACATACATGTTCTTCAGCACAGCTCTAAGAACTGAAGCTCTTCTTCTTCTTGCAATGGCTTGCGCCTTCGTGGGACACAGCATGTTTAAAAACCCATGCCAGCAGTGACAGAGTGATCGAAACGCTGCAAGGGCAATGCTTGTGTGTCTCCTTTTGCTAAATACTTCGAAGTACAAGCTCGACTGCAGACACTTCAAGTCATTCAAAATCATGTACACTGTAGCTCCTTTGGTCTCGTTTGTTGAAGATTCATCACATGTGCTCTACACATCGTATCTAATTACGTAATTACATGCTGGTACTTGTTCAGCAACGAGGCCAAAGAAATCGTTGCACGTCTCTGCTGGCTTGTTGAGTGCCTTTTGCTCGTATCTTTGTCTTACTTACTTGCTCAGGTGTTTGCCGGGATCGCCGCAGACAAGATACCAGATTCAAGTTTCCATCGCTTGCGAACCGAAGGTGCCTACTTGTTTTCTTCGGTGTAAGTTTGGGTTTGTTACCGCTATTGTCATCGGCGTTGCGAATGCTTATTCACTGTATTTGCACCTTTCGATACATAACATGCCTCTGCTCATGTCGTGCTTGTACCCACGCCATGCCGTGCCCATGTGCAGGTACATAAGCTACTAGTATTGATTGTATCGTAGCATGTCTGCTGATGGCTGTCAGGCTCTGTGTAGCGTATGAATTGGCTGTGGGTCATACTGTGCCTTATCAACATCGGCCTTCCAACTGAAATGCAGCACAGCCAATGCTGCTCGATTTTGTTTACTGTTTTCTTCATTTGCTGCTGCTTCTTGCCTTGCACAGGTTTACACAGGGTGCCACTCAATGGATCTACATTGAGTACGACAGTCCCACTGCACCAGTGGAAGATCTCATCATCAAAACCGACATGGTTGGACCTCTGGTCGCTGTGCCGTCCACAGTCAAAGTCACACAGAACCCAGATGGCACAATGACCGTCACAGGACTCAAGAGCAAAGGTGATGCAGTCATGCTGTATTCCAGCAAGGGTGCTGAGCCAGACTTCACTGTCAGTCCTGTAAAGGCACAGGAGCAATACGAGAACTACTGGGGATACCATGCCAAGCCTTCGAGCACCCCGCCGCAGGCTGTGCAAGCTTTTCCCGATGATCTGACTGTAGTCCCGGTAAGAACAGCTCTCTCTCTCTCTCTCTCTCTCTCTCTCTCTCTCTCTCTCTCTCTCTCTCTCTCTCTCTCTCTCTCTCTCTTCTCTCTCTCTCTCAATCTATCTATCTACCTATCTATCTATCTCTATCTGTCTATCTATCTATCTATCTATCTATCTATCTCTCTTCCTGAACATTTTGTTCTAGTCCTCGATGGTGTTCTAATCATGTTGCGTGGTGACGTGCATCTGCTTGTCTCATGGAGTTGTTATCTCCAGTGTCAACTTGTCCATGAATTTACTGGTAACCTTGTCATTCTATCATACTATTGCTGCATGACGTGTGACGTGTGATGTGGGTTTTGTTACCTTGACCATACAATGTACTTGTGTGAATCTGAGTGTACAGATAATACCAGCATTATGTATCCTGTTATGTCAGCACCAGTACGGCATCTGGTGTTGCAGAACATCTACTCACGCCTGCACAGTTTAATTCAGAAGTACATTGTCATGACTATGCTTTCATGTTAGACAGGGCGGGTGGCTCTGTTTCACACAATTATACGCCACTACCCAAGACGGTCTCTCGGCTACAATTCTTCCAAAAAAAGGTTATATCCAGGCCCATCGGGTGGCTATGTATTTTAAAAGATACTTATTACAATACCGTGCAAGAGGCAAAACAACAGAGACCACAAATCTTTCTGTAACTCTGAGTTTTGTGTTCGAAAACACTCATCAGATGGTTGCTTATCAAGTTATGTAGTATCATAGTATCATTGTAGATGGCAACATAGTGGACACGCCACCACGAATGGTGCTCCTCACTGCAACTATGCCCGGGTGTATATCCAACAGTCAAGGCACGGGCCACCTAATGTCAAACAATCATGTCCATGTGTTCTGTGTGTTTTCTGTTTTGTGTGTACTCGTATTGCACACGGGATGCCTTGCTCCTTGCAGCACCGCAACATCCCCAACACGTTCTCATTCCAGTCTGAAACAGGCCAGTGTCTGGCTGTGGATGGTTTCGCTGAAGACCAGGTCAGTGCAGTCTCATCATGTCACATTGTGCTTGCTGGTCGGTACGTCTGCTTTGACTGCAGTACTGTCTGTCGCCGAAGAACTGGGACACAGCTTCCTAGCCTAAACCGTTCTTATTTTCATGTGTTACGGTCTATGCAGCATTGCACAGTTGAGCCACCATGTATACATTGGTATGCTTGGTGAAATTCTAGCCTGATCGTTCTTCGGCGCTCCGTTCTTCGGCGCTCCGTTCTTCGGCGCTCCGTTCTTCGGCGCTCCGTTCTTCGGCGCTCCGTTCTTCGGCGCTGCGTTCTTCGGCGCTGCGTTCTTCGGCGCTGCGTTCTTCGGCGCTGCGTTCTTCGGCGCTGCGTTCTTCGGCGCTCCGTTCTTCGGCGCTCCGTTCTTCGGCGCTCCGTTCTTCGGCGCTCCGTTCTTCGGCGCTCCGTTCTTCGGCGCTCCGTTCTTCGGCGCCCGGCAGTACTGTAGAGTAGTGTGAGTTCATGTACACTTGGTGGTAAATGGAGTCCAGACCTGATGTAGACTTTCAGCCTGGCGATGCAATTTTGATAATTTTGTGCATGTGTGCGTTTTGGTGCTAGTAGTGTACATTGGTCCGGATTTGACTTGTCACAACGTTACAGCAGATGACTATCTTGTAAGGCATGCCTGCGTCAATGCTGCTCATTGAAACCCAAGCTCATGAGTAAGGTTAGCGCTCTGCACCAATACACAGTCCAGTGTAACGTTATTGTGTTTCTTCATGTTCTAACTTGTACAGCATGCTGACGTGGTGATGGCAAAGTGCTTGCAGCCTGGTGAAAGTCACCAGTCCTCCAGCAAGTTTTGTGACGCGTGTCAGCAGCACTGGATCGTGCACAAGCACCACCTCGTCTCCCAAGCAACGGTATGTGCATAGTCTACAGCCTGTATCTATCACAGGCCTTGTTTAATAATGGTGATGGCGATGGTGGCAATGCCTAAATGTCCTGTTCTACACCTCGGTGGCACGTATGCATGGTCTGACTCTCACAGTCGTGTCATATTATAATTATGGAGGATGTGGCAACGATGTCAGCGCCTTGGTGCCATGGTGCAGCAGTGTAGTGATCTGAAAGGCTGTTTTGTGCTCACTAGTACAGTAGTGCATATACGATTGTAGTAGTTCGCAATGCACAGCTTCTCGGGCTGAGACTACAGTTTTGTGTGTGTTTTTCTTGTGTTTTTTTTTTTATTACTCTAAACAGGGCCAGTGCGTTCTCTTCACTGGCCCACGTCGGTCTCTCAAGCATACCAAGTGTCCCTTTACTGTGACCCACGATCTACTGCACCCCGCCGAGCCGTTTCCCTGGAGCCCACCGGTACACGCAGCCGATGTGCAGCACAGGACTGATAGTGGTGCCGAGTTCCTCGTCCATAACAGAGTTCTTCGTGACCATGACAGCACCTCTTGGGCAGTTTGATTTCTCACCATTTTTCCTGGAAACCGGTTTCAATCATTGCTATTCTTTTGTAGCTATACTCATAAGTTTGAGGGAGTTGAAAGTTATCACAATTTTTAGTTCTTTTAGTACCTCTTTCAATTCTTATTCTTACGACTTTTTGAAAATTATTTGCTGCTGGGCAGCTCATACCATTCAAAACAATAATTTCACCGCTTGTTGGTGACTTCTCTTATACAATGTTGATCATTGCACACATATGGAGCACTGTTCTCTCAACCATTTCCATTACATGTACCAGTGCTCATCTGGGTTTCGGGGAAGTGTGTTTCTAAATTTTAGTTAGGAACATTACAGGTCAGTGTCGATTGGTTTGAGTTTGCAACTACTTCAGAGTATTGCTTTCTGCAATGACATTCTGTAGTAAGTTGAAAAGCTGGCCCAAACCCAATGCAGTCTGTATGGATTTCATCTTTACCATGCACTTCACATACTAAACTTATCAAACCATCACACGGAGTCGCAATGAACTTTTCCACCTTCCTTGCTGTGTGAAAAAGCCATGCGTCAAGAAGCACTCTTCGCGTACTTGCTGATATTTCAGAAAAAAACACATACAAGTACTTCCAAAGGCCATGAAATCCATGCTGCATACATGTATTCGAAGTCAATTATTGTCCACAGGTCCTCTCAAAAATCAATAGAACCTTGCAGCGCATAGTTTGTTACTTCCAGGGTAGATGGCTACTGTTTATGCCTGACTGTTGAACTGTACTCTGTAGATCTGCAGTACAGTCATGCACTGTTCAATGAAATCCGATAGAGTGACTCGGTACGTGTACGTGCCACAATTTGTGCAGCAATGATACCATGGATACTGACACGATCAGATTTCATTGAGCAGCACTGTACTCGTATTGGAAAGGCTTCCTGTCTGAAGCCTTTCCATACTGGTACTCGATGTTCCAGTTTTGTGACACGAGAATGGCACGAGAATTAGTGTACCGCTGAGTGTACCGCTATACACGTGGTCGACACTTAGTCGACACGTTGTTGATACTTTTTTGACACGTGACCCCGTCAACGGTCTGCTTGTGCCAATGCCACTCGGTAAACGCCGATGCCGCGTACGACAAAGACGACTATCCCGTACGCGAAATAGTTGAAAACTGCATGACGTGGACCTGACGGCAAGGACAACTGGCTGCGAGGAGGCCCCTTTCGGTCGACGGGAAGGAGAACTGCATGCAGAAGTCGACGAAGTCGAACGAGGAGGCCCCTTTCCGTACCCCGTACTGCAAAGTGCCATTGATGGATGCCTTTTGCACCTGGAACGACCCCTTAAACGCTGTCGCGGCGACTATCCCGTACGCGAAATAGTTGAGAACTACCGACGTGGACCTTTTGCACCTGGAACGGCCCCGTAAACGCTGTCGACGATGTCGTGTCGGCGGAGTGAATGTGCAGGGTGAAAAGAATTGCTGCAAAGACGTCCGCTCTAGGCCTTTGGAGACATCGTGGGAACTCCTTCCGGTACTATACAAACTGCTGACGTGGCCGTGGACATGTACATGGAGACATGGTAGGACTTCATGTACATGATATGGTGGGAATTCCTTCCGGCACCCCCGTACCGCAAAGCCAACGGTGGGGAAGGAGAAGAGCAGACGTGCAGGAAGACGAACGAGGAGGAACCAGGACGAGCGAGCAATGGCAGGACTAGCTGGACCGTAAGTAGTAGCTGAATTGTGCATGACAACTTGACATCCGTGCGGCACTCGCCACTTGCCACTGCATATTATTTTCTTGTCCACTAACAATGTCTCTCCTCTGCCCCCTGTGTGTCCACGGCCCTGTTGCTGAATTGGCCCGATGAATCGAATGTCTTCCGCAACTGGAACGGCCCAGTAAACGATGTCGCGTCGGCGACTGAATGCGCTGGAGGGAAAATATTGCTGCGAAGACGTTTCCTCTAGACCACGGTAAGGCAACCCATTGTTATGTTGCCAGTTACCTTCTACTAACACGTTATCAGGTGGAGAGTGTCTTGTACTCACGTTATCAGGTCGAGAGCGTATTGTAGTCACTCTCTCTATTCCTGTACTTCATTACGTTTAAGGTGTACGTATAACTTCTCAAACAAATTTAATGGTCTACAGTCGTGTCGGAAGGGTACGGTGGGACTGTAGACCTGTTACCTTCTAACACGTTATCACTATATCAGGTCGAGAGCGTATTGTACTCACTCTCTCTATTCCTGTACTTCATTACGTTTCAGGTGTACGTATAACTTTTCCAAAAAATTTAATGGTTCACGTCTTCAGATAGAGAGCGTATTGCACCCAATGTCTAGTCTCTGTAGTGCATTGAGATTTTGTTGATCGCACATGAAAATGGATACACAGGCAAAGCAGGCCAAGTACATGGCGAGATGTCGCCAGAAGAACGTCTTCAGATAGAGAGCGTATTGCACCCACTGTCTAGTCGATTTTGTGGATCGCACATGAAATGGATACACAGACAAAGCAGGCCAAGTATATGAGAGAGTGGACGATGTGCGGATCGACACGGCCTTCGGGTACTTCATTAAAGTTACCCGTGACATAACTAGGATAAAAGTTAATCACTGCAAAGACATTGCCAAGTATGTGAGCACTTTGGACTTGACAGAAGAGTGCACGGGCGACGTTGACAAAACATACCACGGTGACTGTCACCATCATGACGGCAGGGCAGGGCACATCGCACGCAGCATCGCAGATCGTGTCGAATTGCGCATCATAATAATTATTGCAAAATTGCTCCAGTGCATGCAAGTGGATTTCATTGCACTTCTCAGTTTGGGAAATGCTCGATTATGACAATTCTGCGTGTGAGTGCACTAGCCCTGAACATACATGTAGGTGACCCGTTTGTGGTGTCTCATAGCTAGCCCTTTCCCAAAGATGCTCGCCACTTTTTTCGGAACTTTTCGGTGTTTAGGAAGAAATCGCAACTTTCACAACTTTCTTCATTTTTCGGAACTATTTCGCAACTTCTCCGCAACCTTGGCGCAATTGGCCCCATGGCATGGGGTCGAAAGGTCAAGTCACCGACTACATGTTGCATTGTTGGACAAATACATACTCGTAGGATACATGCAACAGGCTACTGGCACTGTGTAAAATGGTGGTTCACAGCAGGAAGGGGTGTACGAGTTTGCTGTCGCAGCATCGCTGCATTTCTGCTATTTCTGCTCCCTGTTTTGTAGGTTTTGCACAAGAACTCTCCAATTTTGAGTTGCGATGTTGGCAACTTTTGAGCTTTTTCTGAAAATATGGATGCGATTTCAGCAACTAGCACTTGTTTTGGCACGGTTGCGAAAAGCATAAGTTGCGAAAAACTATGGCATCTTTGGGAAAGGACTACTCATAGCCTACCTCACGACCTTCTGATTTCTTTCTTCATCGCTTGTATCTTGCAGGTATATCATCCCGTGACGACCACATTGAAGTCTGAATTTGAAGTGTGAAGATGCTTCAGCAACCACATCGTACTTTTCCATTGCTTTCATTGTGCTTCTACTGTGCATGTGTGTAACTTGTGGGGTAAACATGTGATGACATTGTATGCTGGCGACACGGTCAGATGTTGTCCATGCGTCTAACGTACACCTGCATGTTATGCATTGAAAAGGATTTGCGACTTGCGATCCTGGGACGAGTATCAGGTCAGCTTTGTCCTGTCTGGGCTGTATCAGATTGCTGTTCACTTCTCTATCTGTTGGATGTGTGACTTTCTGCAAGTTTCTGGTGTATGATGGCCACTTCCTTGCTTGTCACTTTGTATGATATTACATTCTGTATTCGCTGCTTCCATGGCGTGGTCTGCAAACTGCAATCCTTGGGCAAATGTCATGTTTGCTATGTTGTGCTTTGGCCGTCAGCTTGTCTACACGCTGTAGTTGAATTATTTTTGTTTCACAACTGACTTCCTCAAGTACGGTGGCCACTGCTTTGCATGGCATTATATATGAAGAATTTCCTGTTTGTGTCGTGTGCATGTGCGTATGTGTGCGTGGCCACGTGTGTGTGCCGTGTGCATGTGCGTATGTGTGCGTGGCCACGTGTGTGTGCCGTGTGCATACGCATGTTTGTGTATCTGTGTGCGGGGTAGCGAGGCGGGGAGGGCTGGTATGTATCAGTGTTTTATTGCAGTCTCATGGCTACATACAGTACATCGCGCGCGTGGTCATCATGTTTATCTTCGGGGTTGGGGTGGGGAGGGAACGGAAAAAGAACTGAAATTATCCATATAAAACCGCTCTGTGAGCGGTTCTGAAAAACCTTTACTGGTACTGCCCCGTCGTAAAAGTAAGAAATTAGAACTGGCCCATTGTCCCCCCAAATGCGAACTGATCCACCTAAATCGCGAATGACGGGACCCGAACGCACCAGTAGCACGAGGTTCCTACCTGTGGATGCAGATGGGGACGTTGGTCCGGACCAAAGGCCATGTACTGTACTAGCGGTAGGTGGTGTTACCCTATGATAATTGCTGTCCTGTGCCCTCCCGACCTCGTGCTACTGGTGCGTTCGGGTCCCGTCATTCGCGATTTAGGTGGATCAGTTCGCATTTGGGGGGACAATGGGCCAGTTCTAATTTCTTACTTTTACGACGGGGCAGTACCAGTAAAGGTTTTTCAGAACCGCTCACAGAGCGGTTTTATATGGATAATAGACTGTATGAGCACACCTTGAACATTTTTATTTATTTTATTTTTAGACCTTTAATTCATCTCATCAAGAGTACATAACCCAGGGGTTATGTACTCTTGATCTCATGTATTGGTACTGTACCAGCAGAATTTAAAAGCATTACTCCTGGCGTAAAAAATGCAAAGAAAACAGAATGAAATTAATACAATGTACTGCATTGAGTGGATTTCATTTTTAAAAAAATTATAGGAATTGAAAGGCAAAAAAGTGTTTCCCTTCAATGTGTATTACAGTATGACATACATTGTATGAGGCATCAGTACGGATTCTTAGACTGCTGATGGGTGACCAGCACCAGTGAGCAGTTCTACAAGACTGGTAATGAGGAGATAAAGAGTCAACTAAAGAAAACAAGAAAAAGAAAATCACCACTTCTGCAACAGCACATAGCAGCTACTAGTAAAATGCTTCTGTCGCATCTGCAGAGAATATGCCGGGGGGGGGGGGGGGGGTCACTCAAAAGCAGGATTCTGGGACCACCTGTGCAATTCCCTGCCTAGATAGTAAAGTAACGTTATGTACAACTGAAATTAGTACCTATCATGTACATGCATGCCAGCACTATGATACAATGTATATTATACAGATGTGTCATGTAATGATCACATGGCCCATGGCGATGGTCTCATTGTTCACTGTTCGTCGCTACCTGCTGGTAGTTGGGCACAACAATGCGAATGCCAACTTCCGGCCGCCGCTGCCCCTGCTCCATACTGTTGTTACAGCGTCGCTGCTTGCGGGCCAAGCGCTTCTCCTCCTTGATAGCCTCCAGCTGGCGGAGACCCGCCATGTCCTCGGGTGTACGGAAATCCTTGAGCGTTGATGTACGCTCCTCGCTAGCCAGCTTGAAGCCGACGGTATCTCCATCCTGCAAGAACACAGGACTGTTGCGTAAGTTGTGCGGTTTCCTGGGAGCAGCGCCCCCTTTCTTCTGCCGTGACGCTGACGATACCACTGCACCTTTTCTGGGGTGAGCGCTGTCCTGAATGGGCAGCCAGTCAAACTGGTCGGGAAGTTGCTTGGCACAGTGTATGGCGGAAGTGTCACAGCTAAGCTGGAAGTGTTCGATCAGACAGCGTTTCAACTGGGCCGCTGTGCAGCCATCCTGCGTGTTCAGGACAATCTCCTCCGCTTGCGAGTAGGAGCGGGATGCTTGCCTGCGTCGGCGCGCCATCAAGATGAGACTGGACTGTGGCAGTACCTCGGGCATGGCGAGAACCTGACACAGGACGTCAGAACCGGACAGGAGCTTCAGGCTGCGCATCGTGTCCCCCTGACGGAATATTCTTCTCGCGTGGCCATCCTGCAAGCGGCGTACACGTAGCCTATCAGGGTCAATTGCAGCATCGCCCGAGGAGAAAACAGGCAGACACAGAATGGCCGATTTCAAGTCTGCAATCTTTGCCGTCTTCTTCACGTCGACCGTGGTCATAAATGAAAATGGCTTTTCTTCGATGACGGGCTTCTCGGTGGTGGGCTTCTCAGCAGGCTTGCTGTTGGAGTTATCTGCATGTTTGGTGTCGTCCTCTTGAGGTGTTTCGGTTCCGGCTTCGTCTGCAGAAGGCGGATCAACACTCGAAGAATGAGTAGATTCCCCAGCACTCACATGACTACAAGCCTCTCCATTCTGCTGGTTCAATGCCTTCATTCCCAGTGAGAGCGATGATGTGATCACTGAGCTGAGCCAACTAACCACTCCCTGGCCTGCACCATCACTGCTGTCAGAAGACAGTTTAGATGCTGTGGGAATATACAGCGACAAGCGAACACAATCCGGCGGCGGTGGCAGTCCAGGCAATAAGAACAGAAAGTCGCCGTTCTTCACGCCCGTTGTCTCGATCGCCATCATCGGATCGTCCAAGATCTCCGCAGCCTCGCCGCACCAGTTTGTGCGGCGTATGTGATACTCGGTTCCAGTCGTACAGGATTGGATCAGCATTGCCTCAACGCAGTCCTGCACTGTTTGACTGTTGTGCACCGTCACCTCGTACTGACGGCCATCGCGCACGGACCCGCCGAGCTCAAACTGCAGCATCATCTCGTCGGCGCCCGGTGCAGCTCCCCTCTCCAGAACCACCTGCTGTCCATCGGGCCAGCCTTGCTGGGCAATGACATCGCTATCACACAGTGGCGGACCCAGGACAGTGACGTGCTCCACGCGCAGGCGTACAGAATTGAGTGGCGTGGAGGTGCCTTCGATGACATTGTTCTTCAGTTGGCCGACAGTCATCGTATCGTTGATATAAACACACTTGGTCGACCAGTTGCCAACACCGACCTGTTCTTCTCGCTTGCTGTCCTCCGCAGCACCAGTTGTTGTTGGTGATGGTGTTGAGTTACACCAGTTCTCGACAACAACCGACCACTGGGCTACGGTCTGTCGAGGCACGTCAACCGCACCACCAGCCACTGCTTTATCAGAAAAGACCAGTAGCGACCCATCAACGAGCCTAGCCTGCTTGATGGGCAGCAAACCATCATCCGTTGTCAACACAAGCGGCTTCTTCTCTTTTGGATTGCATGCTGTGGCGGCAGCTGGCAGCGAGAGGTTATTCTGCTGACAGAACAAGGCAATCACCTCACTAAGAAGGGTTTTCTGGCTGAATGGCCGCTCTACAACTTCCTTTGTTTCGCCATCAGAGGATGGTAGCTGGCATCTGATCAGCATTGGCGCCTGTTCTTCGCCCATCAGGAGATCGTCCACCAGAAACGTTTCTGGGTCGGTGCAGACCACCAGAAGATGGCTGTCGGCCAAGATGTTGTAGTCAGTGAGCGATGTAGCATCACATGGAACTTGCTGCAGAAGGTGAAGGCCGGATGGACATGGTGATGCAGTGTAGACAGCAGTGACATGGCCAAGTGTCTGTATGAGCATTGCATGTAGTTCCGAGAAACCTTTCCGCCTGTCCACACTAATCTGCTTCTGGGCATTGGTCTTCCGCTGGAGAACGCCACAATGAGCACGGAAGTCGGTGCTCTCATGAACGTTGACGGCGATGTTGTTCGTTGCCACTTCGTATGCCTCCCGCTGCTCATCCAAGTCGAAGTTTTCTGTTGCTATGTCACACTGGAGGTTCAGCGGTACAGTATTGCAAGCTATCTCATGGTTATAGGAATGCACGTCATCTGCACCTGCCTTACGGCGATAGAACAGCATGTACGCGCTTTCCTTACCCATGTAGGTGTTTTCCAGGATTGACTTGTCGACCGGTGATACCCAATTGTCATTGAAGGAAAACCATTTGTCCGAGCCGACACCAGCAGTTGCTGAGCTGCTTGCATCAGCTTGCGATGATGAGCTTGAGGCGCTTGCCTTGGCTTCGGTTTGAGCAGTGTCCGGAGCAGAGCCATTTCCAGCCTGCTTAGCATCATTGACAGGTGCAGAGGTAGCTTCAGCACCGTCGACAAGAGAAACACAGCCGTCCGCTTCAAACAGGAATATGTCGCTGTGATCGTGCATGAACTTGGTCAGTGCGCCGTGTTTGCGCTTGAAGCGCTTGTTCCACGATACGCCAGTCTGCTTTTGCAGTAGCTTGCACAGTTGATCAATGGAGACCGGCGCCGATGAAGTCTTCTTATGCTGGCTCAGTATCGTGATAAGTACAGTGACTGGCGAGTCACACTCTGTCAGCTCCATGTCACCGTCAGTCTCCACAAGAATGCTGGATTCTTTCGGTTCCGACCAGCTGCCTAGGCCATCCGCATCACGGATGTAGGCAAAGTAGTGACCGCCGTGCGCACCGCCCCGATGCACCACCACTGAGAAGATCTCGTAGATCTGCTGCACATCACCGGCACCAGCACCGGAAGGTAAGCAGTATGGCGCCATGTCCAACTCGTCGGGGAACTTGAAGCGACCAGTTTCCTTGTACCGGTCTCCCTTTTCCCAGTCGTACTGGAAGCGCAGCAATGAAACGGTCAGGATTGGTGGCAGCTGACTAAGCACAGCACCCTTGCTTGCATCGACTTTCTTGTTGCACCTCTCACAGAAGTACTGGTTAGCGCCGCACAGTTGCTCCTTCTCACAGTACAGTGACTGCAGTGCGCTGCTCAAACTCAAACACCCAACCACTGGCACGGCTATGTCCAGGAAGGATTCATGGCGCTCGCTGCAGCTGCCGCACGCCTTGCAGTGAACCTGGTTGACAATTTCACCATGGTACAGGGTCTTGATCAGCTGACTGCCTGCAGTGCCAACCAGCGAGTCCTCTAATGCTGTAAACAAGATACGATTCAACTCCTGGACGTCGTGCTGCTGTACGACCTCATTGCCACTCCAACCAAAGCTCTCCGTCAACGCACCAGTACTCACTGAATTCACATCCTTCAACAGCAGACGTGCGAACAGCTTGCGAAGCTCCACGGGTATTTTTCGAACCTCTTTCGATCCATCCAGCTCGCCCAGCTCCGCACTATCCAAACCAAACAAACTGTCTCGAAGCTCCCGGGTAAGGAACAAGGTTTGGATGAGTGAGTTCAGATAGCAAGTGGCTCCTTGATTTCGCAGACCACTCAGCCTGTTTGGGGAGCGCCGCTTTTCTGGTGCCGCTCCAAACGAGTTGCTGCCGCTGGCGATGCTTCCATTGGGCTGATCGCTGTCAGCCTCTAAAAACAAGTCACCCAGCATTTCTTCTGACCGAGCAGAGCAGACGCTTGCTTTATGTCAGACGACCAATCATTTCATCGCACAATATCAGACTAGAAACAACGACTAGCGCTTTCAGCATAAACAAAATAAAATGAAGCCTCTCTCCCTGTTCTGCTTTCTTTTGTGCGTAAAGAACTGAACAGTCTGAAGCCACGTCCCCACAATCAGGGAGTGTGCAACTGGTCGCGATACTTTCTACTCTGTAGACATTAGTATTGCAAAGTGGAACACCGATGCAGTAATTATTTCTGGATGTGTTACGTGTTCATTATGACCACTCACACTGCACTGTCAGTACAGTGTTTTCGGCTTGCCACTTTTCGATTTTTGCTGGTGGTACAAAAATTGTAGTACGCGTGATGACTCTTTAAAGACGCCATTTGGAATCTCCATGGAGATGGAGGGTGAACGTTCGAACCCTACTATAGGCCCTGCATATCGATTATCGATAGATATTCCGCATATGCAGAGCTCTAGCTTCATGAGCTCAGCTTGCTCACTATGACGTAGCCGTACTTGTCTTTGTTGGTCTTTCTGGAAACAAGGCAAAGTTTCAGTTCTGGCCATTCTTCCACGTTTGAGAAGTTTTTGTGCTTTGTTCTGGAATAGACAGACTGCACCATGATCAAGGCTATTCTGGTCTTCAACAACTCGGGAAAGCCTCGCTTGACGAAGTTTTTCTCTCGCTATTCGGAGGAGGACCAGCAACAAGTTATTCGGGAGACCTTTCAGCTGGTGTCCAAACGAGAAGGAGATGTTTGCAATTTTCTGGAAACAGGATCGAGCTTGCTTGGATCTTTGGATTACAAGCTAGTGTATCGGCATTATGCAACCCTGTACTTTGTCTTCTGCGTGGACTCGAGTGAAAGTGATTTGGGAATTCTGGACCTGATTCAAGTATTCGTTGAGTCATTGGACAAGTGCTTCGAGAATGTATGCGAGCTGGACTTGATCTTTCATGTGGACAAAGTGCATTACATCATCAACGAAATGGTGATGGGTGGAATGGTGCTGGAAACAAGCATACGGGAGATCGTCGAGGGTTATCAACAACAGATAAAGTTTGAAAAGGAAGACAGAGGTGCTGCGGCTGTTCATGCTGTGAAGGCCGGCGTGGCTTCAGCTCCCACAAGAGCAGTGGCTGCGTTTAACACTGTCAAGCAAACTGTACACCAGAAGTTTTAGCTCATCTCCGATTGCTGCAGTCTAATATCCCCAATGTACATATGTCCATACTTTAAATCATGTCGTAGACTACAGTATGTATGGTTGTGTGTGTGTGTGTGTGTGTGTGTGTGTGTGTGTGTGTGTGTGTGTGTGTGTGTGGTGTATGTGTGTGGTGTATGTGTGTGCATGCATGTGTATGTGTGTACAGGCTTTTGATTGTACTTGTAATCATAATTGTATTCATAGCTAATGAAAAAATTGAATTAACACGTGTATGTGTCATGAAAGCTCATAAAACACATACGCTCACGGTATGTCTTATTCTTTATTTTTCATTGCACCTTTTTTGCTGACTTTTTGCTTTCAACAATTTTCAGTTTCACTGTACAGTCATGTACATTGTACTAGCTGCTAGTAGTACTAGTAGTCTAGTACTCACAATGTTGACTAAGATAGTAGATTGTGGATCCTACTGCCTGTGGATTTCTAATGTTTGACAAGATTGTAATACAGCGTGTAATGTGTGTGAGAGGTCATGGGGTTGCCATGCGAGTGGCCTTTGCGTCATGTGGAGTATACAGGGAGCGGGAGTCGTGCCAAAAATTAAATCGTGCAGGACTCCCTGGTACCGGTGGCACTGGTGTATGCGTACACGTGCGACCTACAATCTACATTGTAGTGTCTGGTGTTGCTGAACCTGTAGTGTAGCCCCCTCACACAAAGTCGGTATGGTTGTGAAGGAGAGTTGAGCACTTCTCAATGTGAAATTCTTTCTACCGGCACTTCCACTCGAGTCTTCAGAAGTTCATCTCCACCTCCGAGCTTTCATAATGTCAGACCCATGCTGATACACATGTACATACACCAGAATGAACTTCTTGCCGTACTGTCTTGCATGCAAAAAACTGTCTCATAGAGAAGCCCGTTTTGAAGACAGACTTGGTATTCTATATGGAACAAGTTACATTGGCATAGCAGGAAGCCCGGTTTTATGCGCTCGGGTCCATAGAAAAAATGGGACAAGCATACATGTACGATGTATATGCATACTGGCAAGAGTACATAACCCGTACTCTTCATTCTGGTATTATCTGGTAGGTTTGAATATAACTGAGCCGGATTTCTGTCCCCGGGGAAAATCGCGATTCCGCGGCCGCGTTTTTTGCGATTTTTTAAAAGACCGCGTTTTCCGCGATTTTCCCCCGTTTATTGAACTTTTTTTGTTGCACTACACGTACACACAGTACGCTGTTCGGTCAGCAACGTCTCATCGTGGCGGCTTTGTACTCAAATATGACGAGTGCTTACACCAGAGACTTGTAACTGATAGATTTCACTACATACTCACTGAAAATTGCCGCATATCAATAATACTCACCGCATACCGGGTATTTACCGCAAATTCACCGCAAATTATGCCATATTCCGCATTCGGGAAAGTGCCCACTGGTTCTGCTCCGAAAGCAAGCACGAACCCTCGCGTTGCATCCTTATCCACTGAACAGAAGAATCTGCACTGCCGCATAAACGCTGAACCTGATCCAGAGCATCGTAAAGCTTTAAAGATTGAAAGATCTGCAAAACTCCACGAGATTCGAAGGATACTACAGAAGGAGGGCGAGCAATATTGGCAACGTAAGGCTGTTGAAGTAGATGCTTTACGTCCTGACCCACGGTCCTACTTCAACACCATCAGCAACTTACGCCAACTACGCTCTGGGAAGAAGGCTGCGCCTGTGCGTCTTGCTGACGCAGACGGCAGAATCATGGCAGACATCTCATGGAATCTTAATGCCTTTAATGAATATTATGAATCGGTATTTTACACTGATGGCCAGCCACTCGACCTCAGGCAGCAATCAAATGAGGAAGATCCATTCACAATCGAAGAAGTACGGTCTGCAATTATCAAGCAGAAGTCTGGTGGTGCTGTCGGTCCTGATGGTATCAGTGCTGATGCTTTGAAGTCAGCTAAAAACCTTCTCGCACCCTGGCTGACGAATTTCTTCAACGCTGTTCAAGCTACAGAGTACTGTCCTGACGACATGCGCTGCGGCCTCATCGTTCCCATCTACAAAGCCGGCAAGCCTCTAGGACATCCAAAAAGCTACCGCCCCGTTATGCTCCTTTCTGTCGTCCGTAAGATCTTGACGTCAATACTCACCCGACGACACACACTCCATGTGCAGTCATATGTGGCAGAGAGCCAAGCTGGTTTCCGCCCTGGCAGATCGACCACGGATGGTGTCTTTTACGCCAGGACGATGTGTGAGCGCGCACTACTTGGCGACTGGTCATATTCATCGGCACTATTGGACTTCAGTGGTGCGTTTGACACTGTCATTCGTCAGGTTGCTCTGGAGAGGTTAGCCACTGCTGGCGCACCAACGTCCACCACTGCAGTCCTAGTATCAAACACAACAGCCCGCACGAAGCTTGGTAAACAACTAAGCAAACCATTTCCAACGAACATCGGCGTCGTCCAGGGTGACCCAATGTCACCAATAATGTTTATAACTTACGCCGAAGGTTCCATGCGTAAGATCCGAGAGCAAGCTCTACCCGCGTCAGACCTACCAGCAACTTTCACACAATACGCAGACGACACCACTGCCCATCAGAACGAGCGATCATCTGTGGAAGAAACCGTCCGTGTGTGTGAACCCGTTTTCTCGGATGACAATCTGAAGCTGAACGTGGCAAAAACTCAATATTTTACTGTGACCAAGGAAGATGATTCCTGGAAATCGGTGAAGCTGCTGGGGAGTATGCTAGGCACAGCAGAAGACATAGCAGCCAGAGTGTCTGCTGCAAATCGGGCATTTGCAAGCATTCCATGGAAACGCCACAACCTGAATTCCAGGCTGTGTATGTTTTCCTGCCTGATATTGCCTGTCTTACTGTATAACTGTGCGCTTTGGACCTTATCGCAAACATTAACCGACGTCGTCAATGTATGGCACCGGAAGAAACTACGTACCATCATTGGTATCACGTACCCACAACGAATCTCGAACACAGCGCTGTATGCCAGAACCGAGCAGACCCCACTATCCCAAGTCTGCAGGCAACGGAGACTGCTGTGGTTCGGCCATGTAGTGAGGGAAGGCGAAGAATCGTCCTCTTTCCAAGCCCTCCTAATGTCAATCAACACAACAGACATACGACGACCCCGAGGACGACCCCGTCTGAGATGGATCGACGTTGTCAAGAAAGACTTACAATGCATTAATCTGTCGCTTCTGGATGCTGTGCAATCTGCTTCTGATAGAGCTGCTTGGCTCGAAATTGTTAACAGATGCGTTGACCTCATGCAATGAGTGAAATGCGAACTGTCATTATTATTATTATTATTATTATTATTATTATTATTATGCCGCGTTTTTCCCCGCGTTTTTTTCCGCGATTTTCCCCGGGGACAGTCCGATTTGAATAGAAACCTACATGTAGATTATACATTGGCTTGAACAGGAATAAGCCCATTCTCAAACTACAGTCAGACCTCTGTAAAATATAAAGCACACACCCAGTATTGGTTATCTGTCTCCGGCAGAACTTTCCCGTTCACATCAGAGAGTCCTATAAGGTATATTCATGCTACAAGTTTTACTGGACAGGAATAAGAAGTAAAGTCAAGCAAGTACATGTACATGTGTGAGACTAGCAAACCACCCTAGTACCCTCTGGGAGAAAGAATAGAATAATAGAATACACACTTCAACACACGCATTGCTTTGTGCATGGGAGTTCATTCATCCACCGCCCTCCCTGATCCAGCTCAAATCTACATAGTCAATGCCACCGAGTCTGACTGCAACATGCGACAAAATTATGGTAGCACACACGCCACACAAACAAAGGCTTATTCGCATACGATCGAAAGAGATACATAACTACTGCAACGTAAGGATGACCTGTTATTTCCAAGCAGAAGTCACGGCTGTTCAAAATTTAATACAGCAGCGGTAAACACCACAGATAAAATATTTTGAAGTAATAATAAGGAACGCAAAAGGATAAAAGGATAGTAATGAACAAAAGTATAAAACGCCTGTACGAAAGGAGACTGGCAAAGGATATCTGTGCTTTTCTCTGGAAGCAAGCTGTAAATACTAAATAGTACAAAATACCTACCACTCCGTAACGCGCTCCTCTGCTGTGCTCCAGCACGGGCTAGAAAGAAAATACACTTCAAAAAAGAATGAATTCACTTTTCGGATCTACATGACAAAGCATCTCAAGGAAATATATTCTAGAAGCACAGAGAAGCTCCATGGAAAGCAGAGATCAATGGTAAAAGTCAGTCAAAGAATATTCGGCCAGCGAAATGGTAGTCTACCTAATAATATTCGTATGAGAGCTCAGAAGCAGCTCGGATAAGGATGATCACGTCAAAACAATAAAACACAGTGCTGCTAGCATCACAAATTGTAAAGGGCACTTGAACCATGCATGATGTAATATGATACCGAGCACGACGTAACCTAATGTCATGCTTGGCGTAATATGATAATGTGCATGACATAATAACAATGACACCCTGTATGATGTAACATGAATACGCATGAATACGCGTGAATACGCACAATAGAAGCAGGAGACCACCACACAGACCAGCTGTAAGTGGCCTCACAGGTCATCAGCTCGAGGGGACTCCGGTGTGCCATCAACATGGTCAGCATTCTTGATGACGTGATGATAGAAGTTGATAGTCTGAGCATAATTCGACTTCGTGATACGCTCGTTGGGCCCATGGAACCGCTTGGAGTCGCCAGGCTTGAAGATGGTGGGTGTGAAGCGATAGATGTCGTGTGCAAGATCGTGGAAGTGCCGTGCATCCGTATTGCCAACCATGAGGCCTGATTCAAAACGACAAGAACAACACGAACAACACAAACAACAACACCAGCAACAGCAGGTTAGAGTGCATGCTGTTACTGTAATGGCTACTACTGTAGTACACTACTACTGTAGTACACTACTACAGTAGTACATATTCACATACTACTGTAGTACACTGCTAGTACATATTCACATATCCTTCAGATACCGGTATGTTAGTCAAGGAGAAATACTGTGGTCCCCAGATCCCCTGACCCTATTTCAGCTCGTCATTACTGTTTCACCAAATTAACCTTGCAAGGTGCAGTTCGAGCAGGATCCAGGTAATGTGGGCATCCACCGCAAGCACACAGGCAATGCAAACACCCACCACAAGCATGGTCCGCAAATTCGAAGGCTTAGACCGACATCTCTCAGTGAACCAACCGAGAGTGCATTGGACAGGAAAACCGTTGGCTCCTTCATTCATTTCTGCATACTAGTAGATGCCCTTAGAACCGTTAATAGTTATAGTAATTTATGCAACTATGGTGTACAAATCTGTTGATCCCCGAGCTGCAGAGAGTGCTCAATGTCATAGACAGAACATAGAACAAAGCAGACTCAGCGGAGGACATTCAGATTGATTGTCAGCTGTTTCCTGTCTGATGATTGCTGTGCGGCAAGAAACTCGGAGTGATAGCAAACCTGAACGTCCTCCGCTGAGTCTACCAAGTGCAGAGTATATACTATTATCAGTATTATGCATGTAGTGTGAGTCAAGCATTAACCAGGGCACAGTGCAGGCCCAGCCCTGTGGGCAATGGCCAGTGTGCAGGTGCAGGATGCTGGCTTGACTTACGCCATCAGATTTCACAGAATAGCACTCCATATACATGTACATACAATCAATGTCATATAATCGGAATGGTACTTGATATTCTCACACAGCTCACTCACTCGTGCACTTACTCGCACATTAATTCACTCACTCATTCATACCATCACCAACACCACAGTGCCAATACCTCAGCATCAAGACCACAGTGCTGGCTAGTGAAGGCCAACCATTCGCATAATTAAAAGCTGCACTGCAAGTAACAGTTGCACGGTGGATGAGAGCTCCGAGGCGTCTGCACATCTGCAGGGTGTCTGCAGGGTATAGGTATTATAGGCTGCTTGACTTGGGGTACAGAAACTACACCAATGGTCAGATCACACTGACTACACGAAACATACCGGGTGCAACGGGGATGCTGTTAAACACTTGTCTCACTGACTTGCTGATAACCTGAGAGGAGAAAAACAAGATACCAGCAGTTTATAAAAGAAGAAGAAGAAGAAGGAATCTAGCTTTGTCGAAGACGAACATGCCAGCTAAATTCTTCACACCATTCGTGCATTTGTGCCCGGTGAAATTTGACCCAGAGTGCATATTTGGCACCGTTAGCTTGCACGGCCCTTAACGCCCTGGCAGTGGCATGGGTACGGCTGCGTGTACACATGTAAAAATACAACAATGTAATCAGAACTGGTCCAGGGTGCCAGTTTCAAACCTTGGACCGGATTTCACCGAGCATAACTGCAGTTAGGATTTGCTAGTTGTCTACACATTAATTTTATGTTCGAGAATCAGCCTCTACTAGTATATACTAGTAATATTTCGTGTGTCTATTCTCTATATTGCCCTTACTGCTGCCGTTATCACCTTTACATTTGTATAATAGTGATCGTACTGGTTAGTTTCTCTTCTGCCTGTATCCACATGATGAGACGGCGTTGAAGTACTTGTTGAGATATTTGAAACGTTGTTTGTGAGGAGCCTGAACGTAGTTCTGTTCTTTAGTCTAAGAAGGTATCTATCAGTATAAATCGTATGTACTAGTACTCACTATTCATACATGCAAACACGTGCAATGCTCATTATCATGCATTGCAGTAACATCGCCACCACCAGCACAACACGCATCCAGCTCCAGATCAGGACTTACAGAGAAGCCAAACGACGACCATGATGATACCGGTGTCGGAGGAGTATTCAGCAGCTCTTCCTCGTCCACGCTGATCACCACTCGAGCATCATTGATGATTTCATGATTGCGCCGAATTACCTGCCGACAAAGAAACAGGACGCAGGGGCGCACGAGGTGACCAACAATGAAGGATGTGTTAAATGACACAAACTGTAAAGCAGGATTCACAGAAGTGATGCCATACGCGATACGACGGCCGCAAAACCAGGAAATCCCCAAATTTCACCAACTGCACAGATCACGCAACTGTCGCAACTGGCTGATCGCGGAAGTTGCAACATTTTCAGCTTTGAGGCACATCAGCAAGGTGACGTCGCATTGCCAACTTCTTCTGTGAATCCCGCTTTTCAAACACCTTCAAGCACACGGAAAGTTGAGATCAAACACACTCCATAGACCACTACAAAAATGCCAAGGTTCTTTGCTGCCATCAAGTTTAATGTGAAGATGACACTGCATGGCCAACATCGATGCAACTTACGTCTTCAAACGTGTCCTTAGGATGGACCCTGTGGTTGACAATGGCCTCTGCATAGCCTGGGATGACATTGGCCTAGCACAAGAGTAGGGAAACACCAAGTTGTCCTACATGCTGTATATGCCAAGTACCTATCATTATGGAGAGAGAGAGAGAGAGAGAGAGAGAGAGAGGAATATGATAATAGAGAGGTTCAGGGGTACGATTTTCCGTGCCAAAATCCGTATGGGCGGTACGGATTTTTTCCAGGCGTGCTCCATACGATTTTTCGGCACGGAGAATCCGTGTGGACTGGCTTTCATACGAACCATGTTTCGTATGGAGATTTTGCGTCATCGGGTGCAGAAAGATTCTTCGCGTACAAATTTGTTACGAGAAACATCGATTTTCCGCGGGAAGTTTTGATTTCGGTACAAATTTTCAAAATAAAAAGGCGTAGCGCGGGAATGTGACGTGTTTGCGATCGTAACCTAGGCAATGACGGCAAACACATAAGGTCCGTACTCCGGAACATTTCACTGCTCGAAAACGACGTATAAAAAATCCGTAGCGCCTCTACGGATTTTGGCACGAAAATCGTACTCCGGAACCTCCCTAATACAGCCCTCACGAGTCTGCTCTTGATAATCCATCAAGCTAAAAAGTCAGAACCACACGCACACAACTCAGATCGTCTAGAGCTATTCCAGACAATGATGATGATGATGATGTCCACCAAGCAAGAGAGCTACACTGCACACTACACACTGCTCACTTTGAAACCGGCACGCATGATGGTGACTGCTGTCGTGGTGCGAATCGTTGCTGCCGTCTCTCCTTTCTGAGCTAGCGTCCTGGCACAATAAATATACACACGTACAGTCACACGCAGACTCAATCATAATACTAGTGCTTGGTACTTGACGCCACATGGGCGTCAAGTAGCCAGAGAAGATAATGCTCGTGAAAAAAGAAGCTACATATTAGGATAGCGTACCGACAGAATATCTTTGGGTGTCAGAAACAGTTTCATGTTCTTCTGGGATATCAAAAAAACAACAACAAAAACTCTCCAGACCCTGCCAAGACCAAACCATGGCTAACAGCTGCACCACGGGTCTATCAACCATGAGCCAAGGCAGAGTGACAGTGTATGTACCGGTACTTAACAGCATCCACGTTGGGGACAGGAAAATGAACAATGTCGATACTACTCCTGGAGAGTGTCTCACTCATGGTGGGTGCACAGTGCGTGCACATCGTTGTTCTCCCTGCGGACCCCCGTGTGCCACAACCCAACGCTAAGGTCTTACCAAGCGACAATGGGACCAAAGAGCCAAAGGTTGGAGATGGCAAAGCACTTAGCCAGTGGAACCTAGGGTGCACAAGCAAGAAACAACCAAGTATTCAGTGTGAAATAGTCACAGCGAGCACAGATCCTGCAACAAGAAAAACAAGGCTACTGTTGCTGACAACAGTGAAGCAAAATACATTTTTCGTCTTAAGCCATGCCACCCTCAACAAGGTAAAAGTGAATAGAATCACAAACCTCATTACTTACCACTGGGGCCAGGTGCTCTAGCATAGCTACCTCTATGCCGGAACCAAAGTGGTGTGGATGAGCTGTATGAGACAGTCTACGCACAATACATGTACACACAATCAGACCAAGGAAAAATAAGAAATAGATTAGCACATAGCAATATGTACAATACTACATGTACATGCACGTGTTGTAGTCTTACACGCTGCACTGTCATTTCGGAAACATCAGCTAGAAATTTGGCCTGTGGCTGACACCTGGACATGTCTCTTGGTACAAATAAATGAAACAGCTGTTTCACCTCCAAGAGCTGGGCAATAATACATCTCATTCAGAAAGTGGTGGACATCATGCAACGCAACTGCATTGGACATCTACCTAGGAAAAGACAGTACTTCAGGACTACACTATGAAGCCTGGTTTCCCAGTCGCCCATTCAGTGAATACAAGTCACTCAAACACTGGTGCCATGTAAATGAGAGAGGCAGCCAGGGAATCGTGGTAGCACACTGATGATGGTGGCATGCTGGAAGGGTTTAAGGAGTTAAGACATAATCACAGCAGGGAGAGACCATTGGGCAAATGAACGCCAGAGTTTGAGTGAGCTTTCTGAGGGCTGAATAGCCGTCAGGGAGTTAAACAAACAGTAACAAAAAGTGAGATTTTTTCTTCCGACTTTTCCTGACAGCATCTTTTCCCTCAAACCAATGAATAAAAGCGAGAGAATTTACCAAAGATAGAATGCAATGTTTAGTTCACCTTGCAACCGCTCTCGCCAGCACGCTGATTGCACTCTCCGCCATGGGCAAAGACGAGTGGCCACCAGTCATATTCACACTCAGTCGTAGAGTAAGAATGCCCTTCTCAGCAACACCGACCCTGCCAACAACCCAGGACACATAATAATTATGATACCCAATTCTGTAGACAGCTAGCTGTTTTGGCAGGTCTCATCACTGACATCAGTACAGCAAAAAGCTCTAACACAGACATTAAGAAAGCTCGTCGCTCTAGCGCCAGAGTCCTCCACCTACTGTAAGTCGACAAATTTTCGGCCCATTCAAATTTCGGCCTCCTAGGGCTAAAATACATTAAAATTTTCGGCTGCATCAAATTTTTGGCCTGTACTGCTGCTGCCTGTGTACACTGTCACGCTGAACCTTGCAAAACAAAATTTCGACTGCAACAAATTTTTGGCCAAATATGATCAGGCCGAAAATAGCCGAAAATAAATATGCGTCGGATATTTGTTGACTTTATAATACAGTATAATTATAATACAGTGCGTATCGGTTATAGTGTGGTCGTGTAAAAGAATATACTGCCTACACGAATGAACTCTCATGTTTGCATAATAGGGCTTGAAAGTGCTACGTCACAGCATAGCAACAATTTCAAAAATTCAAAAACTGGATCCACTTGGATCCAGTTTTTGTATGGATCCAAGCACATTTCAAGCGGTCTTACCCACAGCATGGTGATGTAGCCAGTGAAACTGACTGATTTGGCTACTGGGGGCGGGGTTACAACTGGTGGCGAAATAAAAGTCACACCTGCATGCGACATGAGTGGGTTGCTATGCACCCACATACTTAGGCAATAGCAAAGTCACACCTTAGTGGATCCAAAAATAGAAATCTGATGTCAACTTACTACTACTCCCTGGCCGTTTTGACGTCATCACTTTCAAGCCCTATCATAACAATCATGGGTTTCAATCTTACCAGCAATTTTATCGTACAGTAGAATACATCGGTCCTAAGAGTGGACTTTGTGTAGCGAAACAGGCCAGATTAGTGCAAAGTGTATCGCCTGTAGTAATAACATCTGTCCAATGCAGTTCTGATCTGACTCGCGTTGCGTCGTAGTGCTGCAGGTTCAACTGTTGTGGTCATGTAACTCATGTTGCATAGCCAAAAGTAACCCTATGGGACTATACCTATAACCAGGCGCATGCACAGTAGCACTACCTTGCATGTACGATGAGCTACCTGCCTGTGCGCACATGCATATGATATGCCACACTTTGTTTATCGTGTGTAAGAAATACTAATATCGGAAATAAGGATAGAAAGTCGTTTTTCAAACACCCACGCTATAACCGATACCTACTGTACTATACTGAAGTAGCAAGAAAGGCAAAGCCAAATGCATACACATGTACAGTGGGGTAGTGCCTTTGCTGTTTGCATTACGCAGAGCTCACTGACTTGTCAGTTTGAGCACTCTGGCAAGGTACGTTCGGGCCTGATTTCAATCTGGCTTTGGAAATTTTATTTTCATTGCTATCAGGTTCGGCCTCATTTTCTCTGTGCTGCGCTGAGGAGTTCACAAAGAACGGAACAGCATGCTGTCCGCAGATTGAGTACACATGTACATGTACCTAAAGTTGTCAGAGGGCATCAAAGTGTTCATAGTTCAATAAGTTCATGCATTATAACTTTAAAAGTGCTTTGCTTACGTGGCCAGTCGTCCAGGCATAAATATGTCCTCCATGACTGGCAAACCTTCGTCAAGGATAAACTTGAAGCGAACACCACGCTCCTTCAGGAGAGCTGCAATGCGCACGGCACCTTGGCGGCCACCAACCTGCAACATCAATAGCCAACCAGAAGACCAACACCATTCAGGACACAATAAGAAAACAATGGAAGAATGTGCATGTACGTGTCCATGTACAGTACTGGCCAAAGAAATCAAACCTCATGAATAAAATAGCGTTGCCGGGCACTGCACAGCCCTATAACACACCGGTCTGTGCACTCGAACGCGACGCTACTTTATTCATGAGGTTGGATTTCTCTGGCCAGCACTGTAGGTGACACGAAGAAAACCCACATACATAAACGTACTTCAGAAGAACTACTGTAATACAAGTTGCCAAAACCTGCCTAAATGACCTTGCCTGTACCGTGTAGTTACGGGTAGTAGGCTACTAGCTAAAGAATGGTAACTCCAGCCATGTTGAGTACAGCGTGAGACATCACCATCATATCAAGTTCAACAATGCAGGGGAGACCATTTCCCTGATTTTTCAAAGAACTAATCACCACAAGGATACAAAGTCACCATCTATCCTGACACCACAGGGAAACGAAGTCACCATTCATCCTGACACCACAAGGAAACGATTCGGTTATTCGACATTTTTCGATTACAATAGAATAAGGGTGATGTGGACACGCACACACACCTTCCAAAAGACACTGCAAATCCAAACCAGCTGTGTTACTACCTAGCACTTGCACTGCATTGTACTTCGATCAAACTGCAGGAAGACTCAAAACGTCTCCTGTTTTCAACTGCAGAATATATGTACAGTGCGTATCGGTTATAGCGTGGTCGTGTAAAAGAATATACTGCTTACAAGAATGACTTCTCATATTTTCATAATCATAACATGGGTTTCAAGTGAACATTTATTCTTACAAGCAATGTTATCACATAGTAGAATATATCAGTCCTAAGAACGTTATGCAGAGCTCACTGACTTGTCAGTTTGAGCAATCTGGCAAGGTACGTTCGGACCTGATTGGAAATTTTTATTTCCATTGCTATCAGGTTCGGCCTCATTTCCTCTGTGCTGCGCTGACGAGTCCACAAAGGACGAAACAGTTCTGTTCAGAGATTGAGTCAGTCCTAAGAATGGCGCATACCAGATTAGTACAAAGTGTATCGCCTGTAGTAATAACATCTGTCCAATGCAGTTCTGATCCGACTCGCATTGCATCGTAGCGCTGCAGGTAACTGTTGTTGTTGTCATGTATCTCATGCTGCATAGCCACATGGCAAGCGTATGGGACTATGAACACCCGCATGCACAGCAGCGATACGTTGTACGTGTATGTATGATGGCCATCCTGTCTCTGCGCATTTGATATGTCACACTTGATTTATCGTGCGTAAGAAATATCGGAAATAAGGATAGAAAGGCGTTCTTCAAACACCCACGCAATAACCGATACTTGTATACATGTACACGGATATGGCTGCAGCCATACGAAATAGCAGGGTCTGTACTCGGTATGTTGCTAGATGCACTGCACACTCCAGATTTCTACTACGACCGTTGCAAGTGCAGCAAAAGGCGTAGCACACTACCCTCGCATGGAAAATAACCAACAGTTTAATCAATAACCAATCGATATAATGCTTGGTTAGGCAATAATCAAACACTGAACTTGCCTCTGTGGCTCTCTCTAATTTTCAGGCGTGTTCTGGTAGGAGGGTATTCCCTAGAGTAAAAATCACAAACCTCTTCATCGTGTCCAAAGGCAATGTAGAAGGACCGCTTTGGTCGCTGGTTGGCCTTAGCCAATGAGTTGACCACCTCCATTATTGCCTGGATATTTATCACAAGAAGATACAGTAAAACCTGGTGTAAGCGACCTCTGGGTTTAGCGACCACCTGCTATTAACGACCGTTGTTTCCATACACCGCCAGTTCTACACAGACACTGTGGGACCTGGTTCTAAAGACCACCTGGCTTTAAGGACCGCTTTTGCTTGCACCGTGGGGTGGTCGCTTCAACCAGGTTTTACTGTAGTAATGTATTAGCAACACATACATAGTTATTTCCGTTCTCAGACAGTCATGGTAAAAGCAAAGCGGACATACTTGTATATTTTGATTATTTTCATATCCATCTCCATATCACATTGTCCAACCACAGCCCATCCACACACATCATACCACAGCCCATCCAACCACACCACACCACACCGGTGCCACAACCCCACCCAGCCACATCTTACTACAGTCAGGGGCGTACCCAGGATCCGGAATGAGGGGGGGGGGGGGTGCTCCAACCTTTTCCCAAAGAACCGAATGATGCATCACTCCTGTGCATGTGCTGCATGGATGGTTAGTATCTTGATTTTTAGTGCGCTAATTTTCATGATTTACCAAGTCGAGGGAAAATGTAGGACCTGTTCTGTAGGATGGAGCAACCATGACGCTTTGAGGTACTCCATCCCAAACATATCCCTCCCCAGTTTGGAGGACAAAATTTACTTCCCCTGTAAGCTAGATCCAAGAGTACACTAATCTTGCTAGATCATAATTATCACGAAAACATTTTCAATTTGACTACTGTTCTTTGAAGTACTGGTAACAAATACTTCACTTATTGAATGGGCAAGAAGGCAAAACTACCATTTCAACTTCTGGCAAGAGTAAATAAGCTCCGAGGAGCTTATATACAATGTACTCTTGCTTTTGGTATGGAGAAATAGAATCAGGTAATAGAGGTAGCAAGTGCAATGGAAGGTGGTAGCTTCACAAACAGGATAGTAGCAGAGTGCTGCCACTTTTCTGTTGGTAGAAATCCGAAGAAGTGTCTGAGGTGTTCAATGGCAGGGAGTTGAGGGGGCAGCGACCCCTTTAAAATAGCATATTTAGGATTTCAAGGGCCCGAAACAACAAATTAGTACACTTTCGTGAACAATCGTTTCGGTCGGTTTGTTGGAATAACTGATCGAAGCGTTCCTGAAAAATCGGAATAGAACAAGTCGAGGCCCTGACGATATGGACAGCCCTCTGTCCTGGCACATTAAAGTACAGTCAAATCTGCCGTTAGCGACCTCTGCTGTAGGCGACCATCTACCGTTAGCGACCGATTTTCCGTGCACCGACGGTTTCACATACAAACTGATCTGTCCAGAGCGACCATCTGCTGTGCGCGACCAGCGACCGCGATTTCATGCACGGTGGCTGCATTCAAATCTGCTGTAAGCGACCGCGACCCAGGTTCAGTAAGGTGCGAAACTGTACTTGCCAGTGCGCTGTCAACTGCAAAGTGTGAAAATGCGCTGTCTTGTAAGTGCGGTCGACTGGCGCCTGGCCTGTACTGAGGCTGTCGATCTACTGCCGTGTCGCATACGCGTACTATACGGGTATGGTCGTCGTTGAATATCCAATAAAATGATATTAAAAATCACATTATTCTCGTCGATTTGAGTACATGGAAGCATATACCTGGTATGCCGGATTTACCATACATCTGCCGTAAGAGACCATCTGCCGTAAGCGACCGCTTTTTCTTGCACCAAGGGGCGGTCGCTTACGACAGATTTGACTGTACATGTAACACGGCTAACTATGATCAACTAGTGACAGCGAGTGGAAGGCAAAAATCAGTTAAAAAAATCTGATAA